GTGAAGGCAGAGCGGAGGAACGGAGCGGAGATAAAGCGTTCATGGAGGGATTCCAGTCTAACTATGAGATACACTGTAAAGGAAATATTTAACAACTACATGTACTATAAGTATAGCTGTAATACTTAGTGTTTTGTGTTGAACAACAAAACTGGTAATCAAGTGTCTATTACTACACATTACAGTTGTTATTTGATGATACTGTAGGTTGGTTTCCATTTTGTGATAGGGAGAGTTACTAGTATTGTGTGTTCTATAACTGTGTATTTTCCATTGTGCCCAGGATTATCCTAAACACAGACACCCCGGGTGGAACAAAGGCTCTATAGCTTACCACGCAGGTATGTCACAGATGGCGGGTACAATGTGTATGTTTATAATCATAACATAACAAAAGCTGTGACACGCCCATACACTCAGCCCTTGTACTGTAACTATCCTATGATGATGATTGTAAAAGGGGTATCACTGATACTAGCAGTTAAGGGCTCGAAGTTCATTTTTGAGAATGGGTGCACCGGAGCACCTAACCTAAAAAATTAGGTGCACAAAATTTTTTCTATTGCTCCATATGAAATAAAATACACGTAAGTAGAATGTAAAAAAAAACAACTAATGTTCCATTTCTAAAGAAAAGTACAACAATGATTGTATTATTTTTCTGACAATTGATGTTACATGAAACATCTTTACAGAGGTAAACGTGCAGAAAGATTTTGCACCAGTGCACCCACAGAAAAAAATTGGGTGCATAGCTCCAAATTTGGGTGCACTCACTCAGTATTTCGAGCCCTGTAGTAACCAAGATATGTAAGAAGTTCCTCCAGTAAAATTTTACTGAAATATGTCTGCAAATTAAGGAAAGGAATTGTTGCAGGAATAGAATTTTTTTGTTTCCTCTCCCCAGATGATGGTAAGATCTTTGTCGGCAGCGGTGTGGGAGATGCCTTTGGTCCACGCTGTCACACAGGTGACATCATGGGCTGTGGGATCATCTTCCCTCGGGACTACAACCTGGACAGTGAAGGGGAGAGTGACAAGAGCTCGCCTGATGACCCACAGGGACAGCCCAAAAAAAAGGTCCTTAGAGCCATCATGTAGTTACTAACGGGGGGTACCCTAATTCCGACCCATCCCTAATACCGAACTAGTTTGAAAAATCCTTGTTGCAGCGTTATGCATGGGAGCACGTGCCTAAAAATAACCACAAGAATGGACAATGTTTTTGTGTTGATATCGGTAGTCTCACAAAGTTTGTCTTTGTTCCTACACTCCGACAACAGACGAGTGAAAAATCTGTGTGAATTCGACGCTTGTTCGGGGGTTGACGAGCGTGTCAAAAATGCAGGTTTTGCTTTTCAAACAGCCACTTTGGAGCAAATCGCGTAATCGTAAAAAGAGGACTTGTTTGGGACAGAAGACAGTTGTATATTGTTTTAGTCATAATTTGTGTATTATAATTTCTAAACTCTCTTCTCAGATCGACCTGTGTTAAACACTAGGTCGGAATTAGGGCACCCCTGTTGCGATAGAACGTTCCACCGGCAAAATGACCGAAAACATGCCGTGCATTTCGCGAACCATTACGCTTGGGTGCAAGGCGCTACACTCAAGTGAAATACACAGCTGTGCAGCTTTAATCGTTGTGATCTTTATCTGTCAATATTATATCTCATGTTGCGCGGGTTTTTGGTCAGATAAACTAAACTATAAGGTCTGTGCGTTTGCATGGAACATAGGTTGGAATTAGGGCACCCCCCGTTAGTATTTATTCGAAGACAAATCAAACTCTACTATTGGATAAGTAATCAAGATAACTTTTGGAAATTTCTGTCGGTTGTTACTCGAAACGTCCGGAAGTTATCTCCATTATTTATCCAGTAGTAGAGTTGTCTTTGTATATTGTTTACCTGGATGTCTAACCAAGGAGGTTATAGGGGAGATGTAATCTCCTTGATCTAATCTGCTATGGTGTGATTATTCTCATTTTGTACCTTGAAATCAGCAAAAAGGCTTGATGTTGACTTTGGGTTACGACTGAAAACATTGCGAATATTTATTTCATACTTTCTAGGTGGTAACAGTCAGTGCAGCGAATAAAAATCCATGTACACCTACATTTGTATATAAACACAGTACATGGCCCAGCACATGGACTGGTGTAGGTAGACATCAGAAATACCTGCCCAGGAGAGAATTAAGTAAAGGTTAAGGACACTGAGGTCGTTTTCATCAGGAAAGCACCAGGAGTTTCAGTGTTTGATTATCCCCCACAGGAGCCACAGAACCAGCTGGAGGAGCTGGTGGACATGTACGGCGGCCATGACAGCAGCAGCGACAGCGACAGCGAGGACGACGAGTGGTTCCAACACGACGAGGAAAACGGCATCCAGGTTCAGGTCAGCGGAATCTTCATGTCAATAAATCACATCAATGTCCAGTTCCTTGGTTGTTGAACTGCTGATTCATTTATTTTTGCTGAGAAAGAATATGTATCAATCCCAAAATGCTCATGGGCGTTACAAATCATGGCTAGAATTGTAGGTTTTAAAAGAAATGTTATGGGTCAGGAGAACTAGACATTTCTACTAATTCTATTTTTATCACCTAACATTCTAATCTTTTATGAACAAAACAAAACAGTTTAGAAACAATGAAATACAAGTTATAATACATATACAAAGTCTCTTGTATGTACTTAATGAATTGGAGCTGTAAACTTTATATGTCCTACCTAGTGGAAAATGATCACACTGTTTTTACAATCGATAATTTGTCCTTCTCTTCCAAACTCCAGGTCTTCTTCACTCGTAACGGAAAGTGCCTTGGTAGGAGAGACGTTCGGATCCCAAAGGGCGGGTTCTTCCCCACCGTCGGCATGCTAAGTAGCGAGGAAAAGGTCCGGGTTGACCTGCGACCCCTCACAGGATAGAGCAATGTCTCCGTTATGCAGGAAAGAGGAGGACAATCAATTTCCTGGACATGTCTGGACTTCTGTGTCCAGTTGCCGTTTTACACTTTGTATGTACGGAACTATTCAACAGTCTGTAACGTATTTGTCTCGACAATACCACATTCTTTACTTTACTGCTTCCTTGCTATTCATTATTTCCTTTGCTTCAGAACTACAGAAGCTTTTTAAGATTTTACAAGCTGCGACTTCTAAATGTTGACAGAACTATGCGATATAAAGATCAACAGTTGTTTATTATTCCCTGGCGGAAACTGTAGGGGCCATGAACAAAACAGGACGGGACTGTTCTGTTTTTATATGATAATTATGCCAAAATGTGTCAGATTCACGATGGATGTATGATATACTAGTAGTGTTGAAACTGTTAGAATTTCTCTGTGAGACCAATTGGCAATAAATCTTTTGGAAACAACTTTGTGTATTGGTGACTGTTTCATGAACTTGAAGAGATTACATTTGTATACCAGGTTTTTCTCAGCTGCAGATTTTTTCATGATTCACCATGCCTTGTGGCGTACTTGACGTACCTGGAATTTTTACTTTTTTTCATATTGTACACTCCAATTTTGTCTATCAATATGACAGAATGGCCATAATTTTTACTGGTCCTTAACAATGAGAGTCTGTACAATGTCAGATGCAGGTGAAAATCCAGGTGTACACAAATGCACTCAACTGAGGAGTTAAAAAAAGGACTTAATTCCATCTTGCTCCCAGAGGGAGTATGGCACCTCTGTACATGGACCTCTACCTGCTTCTTCCCAAGCTGTGGTGAATGTCAAGCATCAAACTCCAATGATTCACCTCCTTTTACATGATAAATGTGTAATAATAGAAAGGCATACAAAATGTTGCAAAAACATATGCTTAATTTAAAACAAAAAGAAACACTGTGAAAGCTTACATCTGTTGGGCACTTTGAATTCCATATACATGTATATGTGTACAGGGTTTCAGTTTATTGTTGATGGTTGTCAATTCACTTTATGTTCATTGTATTGTTTACCATACCTTTATCATTTCTGATGTACACTTGCAATTAGCCCCCTGGCATGGATTTGTAATAAAATTGCTTTTGTTACTCTTTGCTCAACCCTACCTGGATTTTAATACATGCACTCTTGGGCAGTAGATTTAAGGCCACACCAATTTAATTTCTTGGTTAACGGATTCGCCGCTTCATTTTTTTTCTGATTTGCAAATAAAAATAAAAATTCAGAATCAACTGCAAAATGCTCATATTTTGCCCTGAACAGTTGAAAACAGTCCTTTTAGTCCGACTTGTTACAGTTATTCCATCTTTCAATGCATTGGTATCATTAAAAGTTCAAAATTCATTGCTTAAATTTTGAACCAGCCTGGTATGTTGACTTTATGGCTCCTATCGTACCATTTTGGGCCATAATAGGATGCCTAGGTCTGTTTTTATTTTTATTATTTTTTCGCCCGCCCGCTCCATTATTTTTCTTTAAAAATCCGTTAAACAAGAAATTAAATTGGTGTGGCCTAAAGGCTGTTTGTTGGGCCCTGAGGCTCTAATAGCCAGCAGTAGCTCCCCTGGGATCCATGCCACCCTGGTTGAACTCGCTGGGAGCATGATAAACCTCTCACCAAGCCTGCTGGTTTGTCACTACAATCCAGATGGTATTGCAAATGTCAAAAGTTACATTGTTGCAAATTTGGAGCTCATTTGCATAACTAAATAGAATATGAGTATTGGGTTACCCCAGACACAACCAAGAATGGGTATTGTGTTACCCCAAAGATATCCGGCCAATATATCTACCTGGCAATGTTTCAGAACAGAAGTCCTAGCTTCCTCCAGGCTAGTGAAATATTAGCAGCTATATGTTGTGTCGGAGGAAACCCAATGATTTTACCAACCTGATGAAACTAGAGTTTCCACGGAGAGATACAAAATGTAGTCAATAATGTTATGATTGCCACTATGAATCAGTATGATCCAGATGATATTGCAAATGTCAAAAGTTATATTGTTGCAAGTCAGAGCTCATTTCTGCTCATTTGCATAACTAAATAGAAAATGCATATTAGGATTCCTCATACACCACCAAAAGATACCTACCTGGCAATGTTTCAGAACAGAAGTCCTTTATATATAGCTTCCTCAGGGCTACTGAAATGTTGGCAGCTATTTATCTCTTCGTTGTGTCTGAGGAAACCCAATAGAGGGTCTGCATGGGGGGGTCCTGGCAACGGTTAACGGTAAATTCAACAGGGCCGATAACGCTTAACGGTAAATTCAGGACGGTCGGCAACGCTTAACGGTAAATTGACAGGCTTTATATTCGAGCTGCACTGGATTTGGTATCTCGCTTTGTGTTAAAAGGTGATCACTGACAAAATTACGTACTGTGTATACCTTACATGTAATGAAGCTCGCATTAAAATTATGTATTCTCTGTGTTTCCCCACCTGCCCTGGTCCCCGAGTGCGTCCACAAAAAAAGGGGAGTCCGAGTCGACGTCGGCCAGCTTGCATTTTTCAGTCTGCCCAGTTTTACCGATGGATTTTGAGAAATTTAGGATTTCTAAGCCTTCAAAAACGCAATTTCCCGCATTTTGAGAGGCAAATCATGGTGTTGAGAGTGTTTGTCAGTCCTTCTGATGTTTTCATATTTCACTCAAGATTTTTGTTAATTTGCCTGTCAAGGCTGACGGATTCGTTTAAAAAATTCTGTTACTCTCCGCAAACTTGCGGAAATTGACGGGAAATCTGGTTCTGTCGAGACCCAGAGGGACCGAGCGCAGAAGCGCGAGTCGAGCGCCAAAGGCGCGAGCAATGTAGGGGGGTCCGGGGGCATTCTTCCCCGGGAAGTTTTGTATTTTTAAACCTTCAATGACGCATTTTCCTGCACTTTGAAAGGCAAAATTAGGCGTAACGAAAAATTATTCATTAACGCTTAACGCTGAATTTAGGATGACAAATAACGTTTTACGTTGAATTAAAACGACCCATAACGCTTCACGAGGAATATACCGATAACGCTTAACGTTGAATTAGAGCGGGCGGGCAACGATTAACGGTGAATTAAAATATCCCATAACGGTTAACGAAAAAGGGCATGCAGACCCTCCCAATACTCAGTGATTACAAACCTGATGAAACTACAGTATTCACGGATAGATATTAAAAAAGATAGAAAATGTAGTCAATGTTATGTGTTTTTATGATTGTAACTTTCGATATGTGTACCCAGGCTTGTATGCGCATGTATATAAGACGACTAACGTTAAAGCTTTTTTTTAGCCATGATAAAACAAGTAACATTACATTTGTAGTTAGCATTAGAATTCATGATATACAAAATGCCACAAACTTTCAAGAGAGACTCAAGATAAGCACATGCTGGGTACACACTCTAGAATTGACAATTAGTTCATTTTCCCCATACTGTCACATCATTCTGATTGGTGTCCACTACATTTTACGTTCACATTCGCCTAACTGTGCAGTCTCGTACCGGATATCGGGAACCCCCTTCAGAGCCTCGGTCCGTGACGTAGCGCCCAACACTGGGATGCAAGACGCCGCTGGGAGCTCTGTTGGTTTGCACGGGCAGGTCAGCGAGGTGGGGCAAAACTCCGCTTTTTCTCACTCCTTCTTACCTTAAAACTACGCACTGTAATCCATGATGCTCGGCTGTTGTTAAATACGCCGTGTACTTGACTTTGGGTCCAGGAGCGAGACCCAGACACGGGAGAGTTTGGAGGCAAAACACAGACGGATGTGGGGTGGGGAGGGGGGCGCCCGAGACAACAACGCTTTTCATATTCATGACACTTGTGGGTTTTCGAGTCGACGACTTTTGCTCCCGCCCGAGTTATCTTTGCGAGCAAAATCGTGGGGGAAACTACCGTACGTCTTTACCGCCACGATTGTCTCGTAGGGCGCCTGTGTGTTGCGATGATGTTGTGTGAGTGTAGGGGGGAGTTTGTGGTTGTTGATTTTTGTACGACTTTTTAGACGAGTTTTCGCCATGATAGGTTTGAAGTGAGCCCGGGAGTCGTGATCAGCCAGGGCGTACAACTCTTCTACCCTCCCGCTCGCCTTTTGAACTAAAAAGTATCGCCTGTTGTCGCTGGTATCCCTCCTCAGCTCCCAGACTGAACGATGAGCGGGATAGAGGTAGCGGACAACCGGACGGAAGGAGTCGAGCTCCGCGATGTCCAGCCCAGGAAGCGACCTGAGGTGGGGAATGGCGGGGACCCGCCGCCTCAGCAGCAGCAGCACAACAACAACGTCCCCGCCAGGAACGGCCCTACCACAAACAACAACCGGACCGCCAGGAAAGGAAAGTGTATCCCCGTCAAAGTGCTCCTCCTGGACGACACACTGTCAACTTTCGAGATACAGGTCAGCAATTATGATTTTTATTAGCACGGACGGAGTATGAAAAGTATGATCCTAGAGGCTACCAAAGGGGTCACCGCGCACCAGGTGTTGACCGGTTTTGTAGTATGTTAATTAGGTTTGTTGCACCCAGGAAAACACAGGAGGGTGGGGACATGTAGAGAAAAACAATGGCTAGAAAATTTCCTGGTAACGTTGCACATTTTTAGAAGGGAAAAATCTGTTTGTTAAAGAAGGCAGTAACACTAACAGTTTCAGAGAAGGCTTGCGACAAATTATGCACACGCACACACACACCATCACAAGGTCTGAAGGTTCGCAGACAAAACACTCCCTGATGTTCATGCTAATTGTTAGAAGCACGACTGGTACACATTGATACATAGCAGTACATTGCGAGGTTAAAAGTTCAATGGCTCTTTTAAAACTACTTCTCTGGCAGAAAAGAGGTATTATGTTTCAGGGTTTTCTAACTAATTTGTAACATTCTCTCCCAGTCTCTTTTCTAGCTGGAAACTGATTTTGGGGCTGGGTGTTGGAAAATGAAGTACAATTTTGATTTTAGTGTACGAATGCACCTTTGTGCAAACTATTGAATTTTTATACTCGAACCAGTGTTTCTGATAGTGAATGATATTGTTTTCCTGTTAATTGTTATTGAAATTGTCAACCACCTAATCATAGGAAGTCGTGGAACCAGTGACAATTAGTGTTGTCTGAATCACCGTTTTTATAATCAATGCACAAGCAACTGCATCTAGCACATTGTCCTTGTGTTAAATACAGTATTCTGCAAAACAGTGTTACCAAGACAATGCCCATTTACAGCAAACATTAAAATTGAGCTGAAGTGTTGTGAAAATGACACTCTACCTAATGTTATAATCGCCACCTAATTGTTTTGAACATTGCCATGTTGTTTTGCTTGTCGCCATTTGGTTTGGATTACCACTGGATTCCAACTGTTAAGTGTTGTCAGTCTTAAATAGGCTTTATAAGCTTTGTAGGATGGTCATATTCTCATGTGTTATTCTCATGCATTAGTGTTACTTATTAAAAATATTTGCAACAACGACGTGATGATCTTGGACCATGGCATAATTGTTGGTTCTTGCCTTTAAAAAAAATGTAGCTCCTCTTGTTTCAAAAATTCAGAACTGGAAACATTAAAACAGTTATAGCACCATGGCCAGGGAGTAGATTCAAATTCAGGTTTTCTTTCTAGCCTGTTTTCTTCTTGTCCTCTTCCTGAAATTTCACCATGAAATGTCAGTGATCAAAGGAGTTCATTTCTGAATTGGTGTCACCATTCAGGGTCCATTGGTCCACAGTCATGACCTTTCAATTTTTTGGCAAAAACATCTGCAACGTTTTCTTGTACGACTGTGTAAAAGGCATTGGCAAGAGAACCTGAAGTAAAATACCCTTTTAAATTTTCGCTAGCATAAACTATGATAAAGATTCTGCTTGGAGTGTTATGAAGTCCTATGTAGGATTTCCGATATAAAAGACCTTTACCTTGTATGTATGACCCCTGAACTAGAACACTGGGCTACCTGCGTTTACAAACTATTTGCGTAGACTGAACTCAGGTTGCATAGTGCAAGGGGTTAAGCATTTACTCTGTGCAGTGTCAATATTACTGGAGACAGCAGTTGTACATGTACTACCAAGGGCGCCCCCCCGCTGTGACAACGGCTTTTCTATGAGATCAGGAATGGAAAATGATTGGCAGATAGGTCGGTCCAATGACACGAGGTGCTTCTTTATGAGACAGGTTTCTATTCAAGGCCACCGTGTAGCCGATAATAAATTGGCCGGGAATAAAAATAGCAGACAATTTAGGGTCAATAGGTTGCAGATGTTTTATAGAGAGGCAATATGAAGACCTCCATGATTACCAATAAAATGTTTTTATTGAAATTTTGAGAAGTTGAAGAAAAGACCGCTGGCTAGTTTTACTACTGGGAGCTCATATACGCTTTTCCTTGATGATGTCCAAAATTAGCTGTTCAACAAATGAAAGAGTGCTTCAACCAATGAGAGAGTGGCTTTGCATCAGTCAGTTTTTTCCCCCACGGTGTTTTTGTTTTGAACTTCTTTCCATGTTTTGACCAAGGTGGCTAGGGTCATGACATTGGTGTATCACTGTTAGGTATGTCTGATGTCCATTTCTTGTCTAATGTATGAAAAGTCATTAAAATAAGTTCATTCACAGAGAGACTTGCAGTTCAGTTTTAGTACAGGTTGCCCCACGAAGGGAAAAAGAAAATCCTAAAAAAAATACAAGTTTTCAATCTTGGTGAGATTTGCAGCCATGTGGTAGAAATGGCAACATTCCTTGGTTCGATCTCTGCCCCCTTGGCATGTCTTTGTCGTGCTGAGTTGTTTATCTGGCCCTGTTTGTTTTGGCTTTTACAAATGTTGTGGGCCAGCACTCAGCGGAGGAGGAGATATTTGCAGATCTGGATGCGAGATTAGTCCGCGTGATTTTCTCCGGGCTAAAACGTTCTCGAGTTGGCATTGTGGGACGATAAGTGGTCCCCCTGGTACATGGGGAGAAAAAAACAACACCAGCATTCATCCGCAGAGTTTGTTGTCCAGGGAAACCCCTTTTCCGATCCCCTTTCTAGTTGTTGCTTGGGAACTGCCTGTTAGCAGAGAATAGACCTCTAGATATTTAAAACCTATTCATGCTACAGGAGAACTCATACAGGGTTTTGTCTTTAGTTGTTTTGTGGAGTAAGTTAGTAACTCACTTTGCTGACTGAAGTCATAGTCTCCAATGAGTCAGGCTTATGAAGGGTTAATATACTTAAAAGTTAAAGAGATAGAGAAATCTTAAAAATCTGTGGATTTACAACTCAGGAGAAAGGCAGTCAATATTATATGGTTTTGGTGGCAAACTGAATTTGGTGATACTATGCAATAGGGCTGATCAACTGTCTGTCTATGGAAATGACCACAAAATTGGCCATCATTATGAACATTAAAACCTAATCTTAGATTTTAGTGTATATGTGTAGGCTTGTTATATAATGATTCTAGGCTTATTTTGTGTGACACATACCACACACTCACCAGGTTTTTGATTTACACCTTTATGGTTATGAACAGTTCTGAACTTACAGATCAAAGTTACAAGAGGTATATTTTATCCTACTGTTCAGCTGTATTTGCACATGTCAAGAGGACTGTTGGTTCACAGATACAGGTGGTACTGTAAATTCCTTTTAGCTTCACAGCCCTTAAATTTTGCAGTGTGGTAAAAAAATCGTAAAAATCATAAAAACCAAGAGCTCATTATGTCTTTCAGTTCATGGTCAAAACAACCGTTAGTAACACAATGAGAGACAGCTGACAAGAAAAACAGTGGGCATAAAACCACCGTGAATATATCACAATTTGTAGTATTAAAAGTAGACAGGAAAAATTTGTGATCATGTGCCTTTGGTTTAAATTTACCCCTTTATCACCTTTACCCAGAAGGTGAAGTGTTTTCAGTAACATACATTAGTGGTTTTGAGGTTGAACTCAAGAAGTTTTAGATGGCTTTTTATGATATTTTGTATGCAGTTAGGTTCCAAATGCACTGTTTTAGTGTTTAGGTAGTGTGGGAGACTCATATACTTAACTAGGCCTGACATTTTTTGACCGAGGTAAATTGAAAATTGTCTTTGGTATTCTAGAGAAATTGTTACTGGTTGCAGCCACACCAGATGACATGAAATTTTTGGCACAAAGTTGGAATCTATAAAAATCATCAAGTTCTTGTTACAGACTGAACAGACTACATGTATTTCATATTATCATTTGATTAAGCCCTAAATTAAAGGTGGATTGTGAATCGACATCACGAACAAGTCCCTAGGTAGAAAGCAGGTGTACTATAGACGTATGTGTATTGAGTACTGTATGGAACGTCAATATAACCATGATTTTAATGTTGCCACTGCTATAACTGTAGAGTATAACCTAATAGGAAATCTATGGTAGTAGTCACTATACATTTGGTATGTATCATTAGTAGGCTTTGATTTTAGCCTATCGATTTTTACACTGCTTAGCTAAGATTAGGCTGTCCATTTCTATTTGTTGGCATTATAGACTCATTTAATGCTTAGATTGTAAAGCTCTATGATCAAGATTAAAGTCACCCAAAGCCATTTTAGGGTAGTAAAACTGGATATTCGAAGTCAATTTTTCGTCAAATTGTATCAAGTTGTATCAACCTTATCAATCCCATAGCATACTGAAGTCTTAAAGGCAAAAATGTGATATTACTGACAGAATACAGTTGCTTGTTGTGTATCATAGGCTGGTTGTAGCTATTTATTGTTGGTACCCAAAAATGAACGGACTCCTGATGTAGCTTGTTTTGGGCTATTTCAATGTTTCGAGTACGAAATGATGACTAAAATGTGCTAAGAAATGGCAGTAAATGTCAATATCAGACAGATTTCCTAAGTATTTTTTGTTTTGCCTGAAACTGCATTAGATGCCTTTAAATTAAAGCTAAGAAATGTACATGTTAGATTAGAATAAAGTTGTGGCGACAGTTAAGCAATGTCTCTCACCCTTCATTGTTAAGATGTTCATTACTGCTTGCCCGAGATTTATAACCTCATTAGTGGAAATTTATCTCTGGGTTAGAAAATTGGAAAAATGTAGCACCCAATTTCTGGCTGGCAATAATCACTGAAGGCATCTGTGCAGGTGTAAATCAGAGCGGACGTCCCTAATCGTTTATTCATGACTTTGTCTCGAGGGGATAGAATAATAGTTCCTGTGCCAGCATTTGTTCCTGTAAAATTCTTTTGATCTTTTGTCATGTTGAAGTTTTATAAACAAGTTTTAAAGGGAACAAAAGCTCTGTGGGGGAAAAAACTTAACCATTTGCATAAAGAGACATATGTTACAATGAATAGATTGAATTTGGTTATCAAAGAAAAGTGTGTTCATGGAATGTCATCTTTTTATTTTTGTCAACCTATACTTTCTGGTATAAATTGTGAAATTGCTGTCCCCCAGTTTTGGATTCGTAACACAATTGTTAGATTTTTGTTTGGGTCTATAGCAATGCTGATCTTATGTCAAAGTTAGCAGTTATGGGTATGGGTCTGTTTCAGTGATATAAATCATATTACAGTCAAAAGTGCCCTAGAAGATGACCCAGGGGACTGATAAAATCTTGTCTATGTGGACAGGTGGTCACTATAGACAGGATCCTCAATGCTTGTGGGAAAAATTATCTAAGGAAGCACTTAAAGTGGGCACATTGGCCAGGTGGTCCGTATGTAGAGATGGTCACATGTACAGGTTCGACTGTATTACATTCCCCATAATGTCTTCAGGAGGCCTTTTCTGGGGAATGCTGGTAGCTGGTTTAAAGTGGTCTGCGTTTGACTTCCGACACGCCTCGGTGCACCTACTTTCCAGGGACAGGTACTTTATACAGACTGGCTTTTTATAAGTTTAACCCTTTATTGATCGTTTTCTGACTGGGAAGGTAAAAAATAGATCTTTGCTTCATACAAAATGCTGTGTCCCAGAAAATGTCCAATATCAGTCCCAAGACAAATATTGTGGTGGCCTCATCTAAGGCAACATCAATTTATTTTCTCCTTGGATCTTCCTGCTGCCTAACCCCATAACCAGTAGGGAATTGGTAGCCAAATTGCTACTTCAGTGTGCTAATTATTCAAACTTGACCAAAAAGTTGAAATTAGGAGGACCATGAAAAGCAGGACTCTGGCTACATTGCCATCTTAAAACTTTGTATAGCATTTGTACAGTATTTCTCTAAGCAGATTGTTTTCATGTTAGAACTTAGATTTTAGGGTTTAGTGTCATCTAAAATCTGAGAACCAGGTATTGACTTGGTCTGGCCACACACATACATGACATTAATAATTTTTGTGCGCAAACTTTCTGAAAATCATGGAGTTTTATCCCTGCTATAAGGTTTGCTTTTTGAATAAATAAATAAATCTAAAATCTGAGAACCAGCTATTGACTTGGTCTGGCCACACACATACATGACATTAATAATTTTTGTGCGCAAACTTTCTGAAAATCATGGAGTTTTATCCCTGCTATAAGGTTTGCTTTTTGAATAAATAAATAAATCTAAAATCTGAGAACCAGCTATTGACTTGGTCTGGCCACATACATGACACGAGTCCACCAGACTTGCTCCAGTGGTTCCCAGTGCAATATATTGGATCCACCCTACCTGTTCAAATTTCTACATTGTATCGATCAGCCTCATAACCGCAGCCATATATAACAAGCGCTGGCACTTTTCCTATTTAGCCAGCACATCTGGTGTGGTACATGTTAAAGTCAAGAAAATGTTCGCACTTCTGGAGAGGAGTATATACATTGGTAGAAATACTTTTTTTCTGTGTTTTGCAATATTGCAGGATGTCAAAATTTTGTTCTGCAATTCTGAAATATGTCCTGCAAATACACACTTCAAAGTTTGGATCTAAACCAATTGCACATACAAAATTGCATGTTAGCAAATATTTTACATTCAATTTAAAATTACTTATACATGTATATGATATAGTAAAAACAAAACCATTGAACCCCTAGCCTGATTTTTTCAGTCTACAAAATTGCAGGTTGCTTAATTTTTCTTCTGCAATATTGAAAATGCCTCTGCAAAATGCAGACTGCAGATGGGTATTTCTAACACTGGTATAGTTTATGTATGAGAAATGCATATGTATGAGAGATCCATACATTTTTAAAAGCACAAATGCGTTCCTGGCAATCGACATGTTAAAATTAATAACCATTATTGATATTCCACATTGCAGCAACATGAAACTTGTAACTTATGTAAGCAGCCTCAGGTAAAGAAAAAACAGAAATATCTTACTCGACTTACTTATATTATAACTCACAAGAGGTATGGAAGTTTTCAGTTTTTCATTATTCAGATGTACAGACTTGTTCTGTGGTAAATAAACAGAATTTGTATTCTTACAGCGTAGACACAGGAAGTATGGAGAAATTCTACCTTCAGGGCTTGAAACCCTTCATTCTGTCTCTTGCAGTGTATGATTTGTGGTCCTGACTCAAACTGAGACTCTACAAGGTTGCAAACTGTACATATTTTCTCACATCTACTTGTAGAAATTTCAAGGTACAAGTGTCTTTTTGAGTCAGTACCAAGGACATACATTTCTTTATAAAGAAATGAAGAAATGTAGGGTCCTTGGTGCTGACTCTGAGACTCTCCAAGGTTGCCAACTGTAGATATTTTTTGTTGAAATTTCAAGGTACAAGTAGGTATTTCAAGCCCTGTACTTGCTCGGTGTAGGCAGATGTTAGAGGGGCAGAGCGCTGTATATTTCCATCCCTGGCATACGGTCATGACTCCATCAGTAGAAAATAGCAGCAATTTGTGTTCAGTCAGACAGAAAATTGTGCTGGTTCATGGGCAATTACCCGGTGTCTGCTGCTGCTGCACCCTTCCTGTGGGGACCTAGCCTCCGTTACAACTTACAGACCCCACTGGACACTTTTTTTTCAAAGACATCCTTTCCACTAGATAGCGATCACTCAGCGGTCGTAAAACGACCAAAATTGGATTCGCGTGACCCTTGATTTCATAATTTGAATATGATGTGAAAATATAAAAGTATGATTTAATGACAAAAAACGTATTAAAAAAATTGTATTTGTTGAGCGATCTGTGAAATCTTTGCTTGCTCAGTGGGCATAGCCTGTAATGGAAAGTGGGTGGAACTACTAGTATGTCTTCTGACTGCCACTGATACTATGATAGGTTCTGGTTCGTTGCAGAGATCTGATTGCCTGAGATTCCTCAGGCTCTCTCTCAATAAGAGCCTGACAGCTATCAGAAAAATATATCTAGTTTAGGAAAATGTTCAGTAACGGCGGCTAGAAGGAACTCACATAGGGGTCTGATAAAACCTTCATATTATCTGCGACTCTTTATCTACTATATTCATAATGAAAGGCTTTTGAAGAAACTATAGAATCTTTTCTACTGCTTTAACCATTATTCGGAAGACATGTGACAGAGTGTAGTCTGCTTGTGACGTCTTTGTGTTTTAGGTATCCATGAGAGTTAAAAATCAAAGTGCAAAAGAAGACTACATGAAAATTTTGAATGCTCGCTTCAGGGAAAGACATTGATTCAGGGAATAAACCATTGATTTTAATGGATCTTACATTTGGGGAAAGTTGCCCTGAGGCTTGAAGCAACAGAAGGATAGATTTTCAATACACGTGAGTGGCTCTTGCATTTCGAAAATCTCGCCTCAGAGTCAAGCAGGAATAGATTTTGATTTGCTCTATGGTTACAGATTTATGGCTCTAAAACCAGGCCTGAAGCAAAACAGAAATAGATGCTTTAATGTGCTATGTAGGTGGCCCTGGGCTTTGATTGCTCTATGGTGTCCGATTTATGGCTCTAAAGTCTTACGGTAAAGCTGCCTTGCAGTAGAACTGGAATAGAGTTTTAATCTGCCGTAAGTGGCACTAGCATTTTGAAAATCTTGCCTTGGGGGCAGACAGGAATATCTTTAGATTCTAGAGTCATCAGCAGTGAAGAAATTTAAAGCTCCGTTGTCTGGGCAAACTTGTCTCAGATCAAAGCCCGAATAGATTTCTAATATTGAGTAATGCTGTGTAGTTACCTGAGCCCTGTTAGAATTCATGGCTCCAGTGTTTGGAAAAAAACTTGCCTCTGGGCCAAACAGGAATCGATTTCTGATGAAGTCTGCACTTACCTGTTAAAGTTTATGCCTCAAGTATTAGGAAGGCTTGTCCCGGAGAGTATTTGGATTTATGATATGCCATTTACTTACTGTTACGACCATTAAAATTCATGGTTCTGATATTGGGAAAACTTGGTATGGGTGGCAAAGGCAAGACTAGAGTTCTGATATTGTATGTACATTTGTGAAGTTACTACTAGGCCCAGGAATATTGTGTTTCTGTTTCAGTCCTTTTTCTTTTCTTTTCTTTTTTTTTTTTTTAGACTTTGGTGATCTCTAGTGATCCAACAACACAGTTTAACATTTTCAATGTTGATATTGGCAAACTTCTTGTACAATGTTTCATCACTCACTGACTCAGGTCATGATCATGGAGCTAGAAAAGGTCAATCAGCTCGAAAAATTTATGTCCCTTGCAGGGGTCCACACACATCATGATGTTACTTTTTTTGTTAGGGTCGACAGTTTTTTCTGGGGTCAGGAAATACGGTATTTTGTTTCTAGCCCTAGCACTGTTAGAATACGTGGCACTAAGGCTAATGTGTGCATTTTGTGTTCCAGACTAAGGCATGTGGCCAGGAGCTCTTCAATGCGGTGAAGGACCATCTGCAGTTGGGAGAATCTGACTACTTTGGGCTGGAGTACAATGACCCTGCTGGAAACACTGTAAGTCAGCACACCAAACAATGGACAGGTCCTGTGGCCCTTTTCAAAAGCTTTGTCAAAATGTTTGAATACAAAATTTTCCTGTCCAGATGTGCCAATACCTATTTACGCACATGCAAATATTTTTGACAACTTAACAGTTCATTTTGGTAAAATATTTGACTGGAGGATTTTAAGTGAAAATGATTTTACACATATGATATTATGAATACAAACATTTTCCTGTTCAGATGTGCCAATATCTATTTACCTACATACAGATATTCTTGACGATTTAGCAGTGGTTAGATAGTTGACTACTTGACTGGAGGATTTTAAGTGAAAATGGTTTTACACATATGATATGGCTGATACAATTGTCTTTGCTGTAAAGCTATGAGAACAGGCATAAGGCTCATAATATCATGCATTACCAGGTGGTATTGCAGATGTCACCATATTGCCAGTCATTGTTGATCAGTCAAGTACAAAATTACAGATTGATAGTGATCAGTGAGCTGAACATGTGCTGTAATTCAGTGTATTAAACAGCTTTGTGTAAGCTATCACTGAAACAAAAGTTGTACACATCAATGGTAGGAAAATACAGTTAGCACAGTAGATAGGTTTTACCAACCTTATTGTAGTTGAACTTAATGTAGTGGAAATTCAAAATAAGAGAACATCTGGTTTGACAAATGTTCTTTTCTTATTTTACAGACTTGGTTGGATCCCATGAAAATGATCCTGAAACAAGTAAAAGGTCAGTTGTATTCTTCTTGTCTTTACCAGTTTGAATTTCTGTTCTAATACTAGGAAGAAGATAAAACATTTCATGTTTTTGCAGCACAATTGTAGTAATTAAAACATCCATTGATCAACTGGTACACCCAAGAATGGGGCCGAGCAGAAATAAAGAAGAATTGAAGATGTATTCATACAATGAATTCATTGTTTTTCGGAGACTTGTTTTGATTCGAGCAATTCATTGTCCTTTTCAGATCCCAAGAAAGTCATGTTCCGCTTCTGTGTGAAGTTCTTCAGCCCCGACCCTGGGCAGCTGCATGATGAGTTCACCAGGTAAGTTGGGTTTGTTGGGATAGGGGGTCATGACTCACCAGGTCAAAAGTGTTACACAGTGTCCTACAAACTGAGACAAGGCAATCAGAGATGGCAGACTTCACTCCCTCATACTTTGTGATACTTGTCAATCGTTGGCGTCTCGCAATTCAGCCCCTGGCTGCAAAGAGAGAGTAGTCAGCCTACCCAACGAAGTATAAACACAGACAATAGCAACACTTTGGATGTATGGCCACACTTCATTGTTTGTATCATATACTCTTCATTGTTCTAGCTTTCTCAAGCTGGTGTGTTACGCCAAAGGGCGGTATATCCAGCTATACAGATACAGATACATTGACAGACAAGCCAAAACACTCCCTCACTGGGAGGTAAGGTCATTACCATAGTGTTGTAGTCATTGGTTATGTAGGGCTCTGCATAAAACATCAGTTCCCTTCATCACTCCCTCACACAAGCATGGGTCAATAACCTTACTCAGGGGAGTGTTGCACTTGATGAGCCTCTATTGAAGACACTGTCTGCTGAGTGACATAAAACAACAATAGATTCCACAATTGGATCAAAGGTCGAGCTGGGGTCAAGTATTGACTAAGTCCCAAGATAGTTGACCCAAATACTGGATGCAGATCTATGTGAATGGATTAAAGCATGACAAATACAGAGCATTTAATAATACTAATAGAAATATTTGAAGTGAATGGATCATTTTGTTACTCGTCAGAGAAAAGCCATTATTGGTGACTTTGTTGTGCTGACAAATTCTTAGAGCAAAATATCCAGGTGAACTTTACATTTAGATGGAGTTTGTCTTCTTCACAATTGGTACTTGTCTACATACAATATTGCTCATTTTGGATATTAGAGTAATTAGACAATTCAAATTGTTGTTTTAACTGTTTTTTTTTTGGAACTGTTTTTTCTGTAGGTACCTGTTTGCTTTACAAGTGCGGAGAGACCTGGCCACCGGTCGGCTGCCCAGTTCTGATAACACAGCCGCACTCATGGCATCTTACATTGTGCAAGGTGGGCAAGCTTTCTGTTCAAGTTCCAGGGTGTCCCTGATAGAGATTTTATTTTGTTTGTTATAGCAAGCTCATACCGTCCCTGAAGTATTATTTTCCTTTACAAATCAGTAAAGACCCCCACCTTGCTTACATTTTGATGTCTATCAGACACCTTCCTGAGAGCTTCTGACTGGAGTTCTGCTTCTCACCAGTGTAGCCAGTGTAGGTGGCACTTTTGTGGCAAGAACAAAAAAAACTATTTTCAGTAGACAGGCCAATGTTGTCTGTCAAAAGGAGTTGCCATATGCTTTACCTCAATAGAGGACAACTTTTTTAAATGTATGTCTTTTGCTTATTCTTCAGCCGAGGTGGGTGACTTCGCGGCTGAGGAACATCCAGAGAGTTCCTACATCACAGAGTTCAAGTTTGTGCCAAACCAGACACCACAGATGGAGAACAAGATCATGGAGTTCCACCAGAAACTTGCGTGAGTTCCGCCATTGTTCATTAATACGTCCAGCTTTAGGCCACACCAAGTAACTTTTATGGATGATGTCCTCTAGAGACCCTAAATCTAATGTGAGCGCGAAAAAAAAATGAGGGGCCGAAAAAAACAAGATGCCTGGATTTGAAATACACTAAGAGACGACAAATATCAAAACACAAATTGAATGAGATAAGACAGTGTAACAACCAAGTCTTTTATTCGTCATGAAACAGCAATAAACCAATGGAATAGCAGTTGTCGTCCTGCCCTGTTTCTTTCCTTTCATGACATCTTCCAATCATGTGATTAGCGGCATTGTCATGACTTTCTGGTCATAGTTACAGGAAGCGGAATTTCTTTTTTTCTGGTAACAGGCCAAAATCAATGTGCGTGTGAACGTCATTCATAAAAATTACCTGGTGTGGCCTTGAAGTATTGTACCCGTCCCATGGTATTGGAGTCTCCATACAGTATCTGGGCTTGCCAAAGTGCAGTCTAATTACGTTATACAAAATGAAGATTTCATTAGTGATAGACACCGGATGCTGTCTGGAGCAGTTCATTGATGAATGACAGTAGATTCTGTCTGAAACATCTATGATATGTTAGAGACTAGTAAATTCAGTGGTTTGTGTGATTAGTTTTGTATCATGTATGATGTACCTGGCTGTGTAACCTATATCTAAATTAAATATGCAGTCTAATTTGACAAAACTTCCAACACCAAAATAGGACTTTTCAACTAGACAACTCCATTCTTTGCCAAGGAATGAGTTCAGACTGGAGTTGTAGAGTGAAAAATTTGTGTTAAGTCCAATTTTTTGTTTTGCAAATTACATGATGACTTCTACCAACACAGATGAACGTTCAAGATAAGAGAATTATTTAATAGGTTCATGTTATGAGCCTTTAAAGGCATCCAGTGTAGTTTTTAGGGCTTGGAAATCTGATTTTTCAAAGTCAATTTTCTAGTCATTTATCTAGATACTGAGTTGAAACCACGCTATCCCAATATATATTGACCCTCATTGAGCAAAAATACCCAAAATTCTGACGGAAAATGGTTACTGGAAGGGCCCTTGGCTGATTTTTAGGGTACCGCCCATAAATAAAGGACTCATCTTGGGGCTTGTTTCTCCAGTTTTAAGTACCCAAAGTATGAAATAATGATTAAAATTTGCTAATGTGAAGTAGTATGTGTCAATATCATAAAGATTTCTTTATTCAGAATATTTCCAGTTTTGCTGCTCTTAAATCGCATGGATGCCTTTAAAAATGGTCTGCCCAGTGGTGTTAGATTTGAAGCTCTTAAATAAATGGTGTTCTCCTGTTGTTTGCGCCAACAGTGGTCAGACTCCGGCCGATGCGGACAGAAATTTCCTGGACATCGCGCGCCGCCTGGAGATGTACGGGATCAGATTACACCCGGCACACGACCACGACGGGGTTAAAATCAACCTGGCCGTCGCCAACATGGGCGTCTTGATCTTCCAGGTGAGATAGTAACTTCAATCCATCTGTGTCTGCTCTTATTGACTGTATTGTAGTGTGGAAAAGTCAGCTTAATTGTATTTTGTACAGTGTGTAAGGCCTAGGAAAAAATTTTGTGTTTTCTGTTTTCCGACCGACCCTATACTTTTTTTGGGGGTGGACAAATGACATAGATAAAATTTTTTGAGCTCATCAACCTTTTCTAGCTCTATGATCTGACAACTGAGTGATGAAACGAGGTACAATCTGTTTTCCAACATGGACGTTGAAAAAAAGTGCTCTCATGCAAGTTTTCCTTTGTTAAACTGTATTGTATAAGCAAGGAGCAAGGGCCCAAGAAGAAGATAAGCAAGGAGCCCCTTGAGTTGGATCACCTAGAAATTGCCAGTCTAAAGAAAAAGAAGAAAAAAAGAAGAAGAAAAAAACCAACACTAATTTTTTAGGACTGAAACAGGAAACACAACATCTTTTACTAGGCCTTATTGATTGTATTGTAGTATGGAAAAGTCAGCTTAATTATGTTTTGTACAGTGTGTAAGGGTGTGACTAGTCGGTCAATTATTCATGTGCCTTTTTTCTACTTTTCCTCAGGGTCACACAAAGATCAATACCTTCTCCTGGGCCAAGATTAGGAAACTCAGTTTCAAGAGAAAACGTTTCCTGATCAAACTGCATCCTGAAGCCTATGTAAGTTTTAGAAGCAGTGACTTATTTACCATGTTACTACAACAGACAACAGTGTCTCCAGACCAGATACAGTCTAGTGCTACAATTAGTTCTTTAGTTTAAGTTACAGATCATTCCTTGCCTGGACAATCAGTTTTAGTTCACAAAATGTAAGGATTGAAGAATTAGAATATAGACATTTCATGCCGTGAGAAAGCATACCTAAATCTACTTGTAACTATGGAATCCTATTTGCCTAACTCATTTGTAAAGGCTGGCATTACTTGATTGGTACCTGATACCAGCCCAGAAAAGAACAAGAAACAGTCATGTCTTCAAATATCAGAGTTATCAACCAAGAATTGAGTTGTTCAAAAACTTGTGCATGTATTTTCCAAGAAGTACATGTATTGTAGAATGGAAATTCTTGTCATCAAGAACAGTTGGGGCATCATCACTAGAAAGCTTTAAACAACTCCTGCAATTAAATGTGCAAAGATTGAGTGGAACAAGTCGTTCGGTATAATATAGGTAGCTACCGCCGCGCCGTGTGCCTGCGAAGCTGCTGTGTTACGCCGAAGGGCGATTATACAAACTGTACCAATACAGATATGGATACAGATTTTGTATGATTGTGACACACAGTGATTTGATATTCAACTCGTTTCTCAACTTGCTGCTGTGTTACACCGAAGGGCAATTGTACAAACTATACCGATACAGATATGGATACAGATTTTGTATGATTGTGACACACAGTGATTTGATATTCTCAACTTGTGTTTCGCAGGGATTGTACAATGCGACAGTGGAGTTTGTAATGAGTTCGAGGGATGCCTGTAAGAGTTTCTGGAAGTTGTGTATCGAGTACCACGCTTTCTTCCGCCTGGAGGTCCGGCCAAAGCCAGTGCCAAAATCTATCCTTTTCAGCAGAGGGTCTTCCTTCAGGTTCAGGTCAGTCAGAGCTTTTTAAAGTTTTTTCCCTTCCTTAGGCCATGTTGATTCGATTATATGGATGACATGTGCGCGCATGAATTTTCGTCGGTTTCACCCAAAAAAGTTTTCAACCATACTGTAAATCGGCTGCAAAATGAGCAAATATATGCCATAAATAGCAAAACAATTATTGGAAACTTATAGTTATACTATTGTTGTAAAATGTCAAAATCAGCTCCAAAGGAAAAGAAAATTAGAGTCTACTCTGTGTGTTTAGTTATTTATTCAACCTCTCACATAGATTCCATAATGAAGGCACCTTTTTTATTTTCACGCTCGCATCAGTTTTGGGGGTCCGAGGAGGATGTCATCCATGTAATCAAATCAACATGGCCTGATCTTTTGTCAGAATCTTTATTGGTGACCAGCCCTGCATAGGGACCACCTGGCAATTGTGGCAACTTTGCTATTTTTCTTTGAACCAAGCATTAATAATTCTGTCTGTAGTATTACAAATGACCAGGCCTGTCTACAAGTCCCAAGTGGTCACTTTAGACAGGTTTGACTGTAATTGAAGTAACAAAGCAAAATAGCTCATGTTATGTTGAATTGAAGTACTTAACATCCAAATGGTACAATGTTCTCCAGCACATCAGAGAAATTTTCCTGTTTGTGATTCATATTACAATGTAAATTTAAAAGTCTTTTCTGCATGTTTCAGTGGTCGGACACAAAAGCAGTTGATTGAAGAGATGAGAGAGGGAGGCTCCCCCAGCAAGAACCCCAAGTTTCAAAGGTATGTTCCCTCATGTTCTGGTAACATCATTGTCTGCAATTCATGGCAACATTTCTCAAAGATTGCCCACTACATAGAATTACTTTAGTCATTCAACAATGCAATAATTTTGGACATACATGTACGGTGACATTCGGACCATTGTAACTTAATTTACAATGTAAGCAAAACCAGCACATTGTTTTATCACTCAAGCAAAAAATGTCTGTGACTGTGTATACATGTAGGTCTTTCAGTTGATATAAAGGCACCAACTTAGATGGTGCTATGTTACAATTTTGATGGGCAGTGTACATGTGACATGTGTGTGCATTGCACTTCATCCTATGCATTGTGCTTCACAATCACCTAGAGAGAGAGTGGATGTAAGATGTGTTTGTTTGTTTGTTTTATTGGGATCTGCATTAGTGTACTGATTAACAATTTTTTCTATGTGCTCCTCCAGGTCCCACAGACTGCGAGCTTCAACCCAGAGCCTTCAGATCATGCCCACACACGAGCCTGTCTCCCGGCTGGACACCAACAACATGCGGGCCAACAGCTTCAGCCACTACGAGACCCAGGACCCCCGCATCCTGCCCTACACCAAGCCTCGGCCGCCGGACACCACGGTGGTCCAGACCACCACGCCGCTGGGCAAATCAGGTGACCTTGACCGTGACGAGCACGTGGCCATGCATGACCTTGTTGGGGAGATGTCGGGCGAGCATGAGGCCATGCAGGGGCTGGTGCAGCAGATGACCAGCGAGCATGACCAGATGCAGCACCTTGTGAAGAAAATCACGGCCTTGCATGCCGATTCAGACGAGGTGATAGACGAGAGAGACGGCGGGGAGAAAGAGGAGGCGGGGACGCCCGGCTCTGAAGGCAATGACGCTGTTCCTTCTGCAAGTAGTGACACGGGGATAGGGAATGATAGTCCGAGTAGTGCGGGGGCCATCAGTACAGATGAGCCTCTCGACTTACCCACAAATGTGCTCTTAGAGGGACTAAAACAGGCAGACACTGCTGATACAAATGACAATTGTGTTCAGGAATTCCAGGGAAAGAGTACAGCCTTGTCGAACGAAAATCCAAGCAATTTGCAAAATCTTTCAGAACCTAAAGCAACAAGTAACATGGTTGATAACAATTACCAAAAATCTGCCGGCAATGCATTGAATAGTGCCCCCATGACTTCTAACAATAACCCTGTGATTGTGAACGGTTCCCAGGCTGAAATTCTGACGTTTGCTAACACTCATGCGTCGTTTGGCAGTGGCCTTGTGCATGACGATAGCGCATGCCACATTCCTTATCAGTCCCCCTGTGAGCTCCACATTACAGAAGGCGAGGTAAGGCCCTACAGCGGCCCCCACAACATTCCTCTACACATAACAGAAGACTCCAGTTCGTCTTCTGACAGTTGTTCAGAGCCACCTTCGGCCCCAAACAGCCCCGCTCTACACATACAGAAGTCACAAAACCTGCCCTGTAGAAATGGGAAGCATAAAACTATTGTCGTCCAAGCAGACGTAAACTCCACCTCTGATACACACATGAGGGAGTTAGGCCTTGGGCCTATCGAATTGGTCCACACTGAAGAGCCCTTGCGAGATCGCTCAGACTATTTAGCCATTGGTTCAGTGGAAAGCATACCGACTGGGCCGCCAATGGCAGAATCGCCTTCCTCAGAAATTCCTCCTATGCAGCAAAAAACGAACCCTTCTTTGTCCAGTGACAACATTCCTCCCACAGAAAAGTCAGCTCGGTCGGCCCATTCAGTGGGAGCTGCGCCCCGCTTTTCGGGGGCAGTTGTTTTCGGAAACCCCTATGCACTTGGCTTCGGCCGCCAAGAAAGCGAACTTTCGGATGACGTTTTTCACCCAAGCCTCGCAAGAAATGACAGCGATGGCTCCCTTAACCTTAGTGACGATAACAGTGCAATAAGTAGCAATAGCGGGTAGCAGTAATATTTTCAGCAAAATTCACATGTCAAAATCAGCATGTCAAAAAATTTTTTTACAGTTGCACCTAATGAGAAATTTTGTTTCTGTTCTTTCTCTTTAACTTTCTTGAAGTTTAATTCAAGATATGTTTTTCATTTCCAGCATGGCTTGTTAAGTTTGTTCCAGGACTTGCGTGACTTGCTTGGTTCCCTTTTCTTTGTCTTGCAGCTAGCATGCTTAGTTCTCTCTGAGTTGTATTCTCTCTGCTTCTTTGTGAGGAGGTTGGCACCTTTTGGGTTGCAGTGCGGTTCTTCCTTTGTCTCCCCAATATTTTGTGTTGGGTTATGGCCTGATGAGGTTTTCCATTGGGTACGCCATACTGGATAACAAAATTAGCCTGCACCGTTGAAATACTTTTGTGTTGTTGGTGCTGTGGAATAGAGGTACCACATCCCAGTTGAGGTACATAAATGGTTAGAGGTCTTTAGTGACATTACATGGTGGTGGTTGATAAGATAATGATTTCAGTTGCAAAGTTACATGACATGTTCACATAGTTTATAAGTTTTGGTGGTTGCAATTTGTTCTGAGGCCAGGTTAGTCAGGAATTACTGAAACTTTCTCTGAGAGGAAAATTTTGATCACGTAAAAGTATAATTATTGGTTGGATCTAGCATTGTTAGGAATTGTTGTCAATATGTAGTCACTATAGTATTGCCATGGGCCAGAGTTCTTGCCAATGCAAAAATATTAGACCAATTCCCTTAGTGATTTACATTACATATAAAATGTCCAAATTGGAGATAAAACATTAAGTCAGTGGCAGAATTTGGAGCTCAACATTATGCAGCATACTAAAGATTGATAAATATTAATAAAAGAAGTTGCCAGTACAGTTTAAAATAGTACTAAAAGTGATTTCCATGACCTAACAAAGTTTACTTTTTATTTTTATTTTTTTTTGTTGCAGTGTTACCTTAAAATATAGGAAACATAGTGCTATATCTACATGTAAATAGCTACTGTAAATGCTTTTTACAAGAAAGCATGTCCAGACATGCATGTATGAATAACCTACATTATAAAGAGACTTAAGCTCAGTATAGAAACCTCAGAAGTTGTGAAGGACTGTAGGACTAGATAACTGTGCCCCAAACGTATCTGAGAGAAGGCACTTCTTTATATACACCCATAGCAATTGGTGAATCTTGCCATCTTTGACAGCTCTGATAGTCTTTTTATATGAAGAAATATAGGAGCATACATGTAGCCAGAATTTAGAGTTTCTAATATCTAGCAAGATATTTATCATACATATGAATATTATCTACCTTGGACTCAATTGAACTAGACCAGATTTACCTATCTACTGTCAGAGTCAAACAAGTATCTCCTACTTTTTAAACTATGGAAAATGTTGTACATATTCTCTCTTCCCTTAGACAGGACCGTCTAGAATCATGGAATATTGGAGCAAAATTCTTTCATTTTACTATCCACTGTAGCCTACAGTACATGTATTTTTTTGGGCAGTGAACAATCTTAAGTGAGCTTGAACTTCTACATGCAAAAACTGATTCTCTGGTGGGTAGCGCAAAACTGGCTCTTGCTGTCCACTTATATAACAATTTTGTCTTGAAAATAGTTCTGTGGTACAGTTGAGGACTTGCCATTTTGCTAAAGCCATCTATTTCTTTGAAAGGAGGGAGTAGTCCTTTACTTGGATATTATCAAATCTTGCCAACAGCACAAGGATTTTGAATAAATATCTGTAAACTGGTCCTTCAGAAAAGCTGATCACAATTAATACATTGCCCCAAAAAATGCATTAGAGGGTTGTATAGACACTTTGTTTTCAACATCTGAAGATTATTCATAGCTTTGTTTTCACGTAAAGAAAAGAGACGTCCCTAAAGAAATGTTGCTTCTGAAGAGTGCACAAAAGAAACTAAAACTTAAAAGGATTTTTTTAATTCCAAATAGAATTTCAAATGATGATGGTATGTACTTCAGTGTTGGTTGGGATTTGATTGAGAATATAAGCCATAGGGATTTGATTTGAAATACGTAAAATTTGAGAGTACGTAAATAGCAGTTAATATCTATTCATTAATCTAAATGTCATTACAGTTACTGAACATATGAATATTTTTCATCTTATCCAAGAATATTTTTAGTCAGACCTATTTGTAGTTTGAATCGTTAACATATGACATTGGTGCTTCCAAGCACCTCATAAATAGGTACTTCTAACTGAAGTAACTCTATTAAATCTATTAACATGAATATCTTTTATTTACCTTACCTTACATTGATTGAAATTGTTAAGTTGCCATCATATCTAGAAAATACTGCAAAAGTACCTTAAATTGTTCTATCTTAAAGTTTAACAGTAAAGAGATTAAACGTTACTTGATGCTATGCCTCTCCAAAGGCACCCAGTAACCAGACTTTCCTGTTGCACAGCTTTCATCTGTTCCATGCTAAGGTAGCCTTTGAGGCTAAATTTTTAGTTCATGTAGTTTCAGGGCTTCGTGTCGCAGCAGAAGGTTAACTCTGGTAGGACATTTGATTTTAGCCAAATTCTTTAGGCTAAAAAACTAAAAAGTTCATCATATTACTCCAGACATGAGGTTTCACAGTTATTTTTGATGCCATTTTTCGCTGTTGTTTTTTTAAATAATCTGAACCATTTGATACCTTTTTTTGCTTTTTTGCTGTGCCATTGGAACTGAAGCCACAAAATACTATGTTACAAGTGTCCAACAAAGTAAAATGGACCAGACATGAGCCACCTTTTATGAACTTACTATCACAGTTTCAGCTAAATGTATTTTGGACAGGGTAGTTGCATCATGATCACCTCACATTGTCATTTGTGTGGAGCAGTCTCTCTCTGCATATACATGTCTCCTGTGGGTTTAGGTCTGCCCCCAAATCATTGTACAGTGTTAGTCTTTATACCACTTGATGTGTCTTCACTGACATCTACTAACTAACTCTTGAAGTTTATTTTTGAATGCAAAATCAACAACTGGATTAATGCAGGTAACTTTTTCCTGTTTGTTTGACCACAAACACTAGTTGAACTGTAAAGAAGCAAAAGAACCAGAGAGATTCTGGCATTCGGAAACGTTGTAATATCTTATGATGTAGCATTTTATAAGATACAAGAAATGTTAAAAGTATAGCTTCTACAGTTTTTGTATAAATTTAATGAGGCGGCAGCCAAGCCCTGATTTGGTCCTGTCCATATAGGAGACCTACACTATGTAGCAATGTCATTAAACATCTGAGTTGGCAACATTATGCGCAATGTGATGCCACTTCCAAAATTGGTAAATTTCACTGATGTTTGAGTAGGACTCAAGTTGGGCTTTTTTTATAATTTCAGTATTTCTCTTTAGTGTACATGTCGGATGACCATAGTCACATGTCCAGTATCCATTGCAAATTGTCCATAGCTACATGTCAATTGTGTCCATCTGGTATCCATGGTTACATATCTGGTATCCATGGTTACATGTCTTGTGTCCATGGTTACCTGTCTGGTATCCATGGTTACATGTCTAGTGTCCATGGTTACCTGTCTGGTATCCATGGTTACATGTCTGGTGTCCATGGTTACATGTCTGAGATCCATGGTTACCTGTCTAGTATCCGTGGTTACCTGTTTGGTATCCATGGTTACATGCTTGGTGTCCATGGTTACATGTCTGTTGCCCATGGTTACCTGTGTCCATGGTTACCTATATCCGAAGTGACATGTCTGTTGCCATGGTTACCTGTGTCCATGGTGACATGTCTGGTGTTCATGGTTACATGCCAAGTGTATGACTCCTGTGACAGGACCAAACTAGGCTGATTTTTCTCTACATGTTGCTATTTCCATGTTGTGCGTTATATTTTTTTGCTACCAGCTTACATGAAAAGCAAAATTTCATTGCTGTTAAAGTGTTTTCCTTAAGACCAACTTATTGGCATTGCACCAATCTTGGTCATGTTGTATTTCCATATTCACTGAGGAACTTATTATGTCTCGACCAAAAATGTAATATAAACTAAGACAAACCATAATGCTTACTGACATCACAATGTATCAGTACGTAATAGATTAAATGTATTGGGAGCCCGGAAAAGGAACCATGACCTTATTGATTTTATCTAGAACTAACTTACAAGAAGTCGACAAATCTGTTTTCACGAAGGTTACCAAAGTTCACCCACAAAGTTGATTTTCTTCACATTTGGCAGATTGCCTTTGGGGCAGAGCTGATAAAATAGTATTCAAGCTGCAATTTGTGTACATACTATATTGTAAGTGATGGACAGTAGGTCTTTTCCTTGTACCATTTAGTCTGTATATTTTTCATGATGTCTCTAGGCAGGTTGATATCTAGTATACATCTGACAGTATTTTCCGTGCATGACGAGTTACTAGTATTGCAGAGTCATATATCAGTTCTGTAGGAAGTCCATCTGTGGTACTGTCTAAAGTAGGTACTTGTAAGTCCAAGTAAGCCCTTTTTCTCAGAAGGTCCAAGTACGTAACTCACCTCTGCACAACTGTCTTCCACTGTCAAGTTGACGGAGCTTGGTGGAGAAATAAAGTCCTTCCATGTGAGACTAAGTGTGTTGTGGTTGTTTGTGGTGTCTGTATCTTGTTACCACGCTGCATGATGGACTTTCCTGGGGTCCTCTCTCTCTCTCTCGATTTCCGTTACCATACGTGTAACTAACTGCCATTCTTTGGCCCAATTGTTTGTATTTAACACAATGTCTTTCTACATCTCATACTTTGCTTCTTTCTTCTATTAGCCAGGGACATGATATGTAATTTAGAAATAGGTTAGCTTGAAGCTTTTAAAATTGTTCATGGGAAAAATGCTTTTATGTATTCATGGTTGTTATAAAGACTCGAGGCTTGAATCTTTTTCTGAGATCAATAGAAAAAAATACAAACTGTTTTTCTTCGATGAGACGAGAGGACCAAGAGTATTCCGATGGTAGCCAGATGGTATTGCCCTTCATTACATAAATGTTGAACTCAAGACTAAAGTGCCTCAATCAATCATTATCACAAATGTGGCAGAAGCTTTATTAAAAATAACAAAAATTGTACAGCCATTTTCATAGCCAATTGCAATTCTAGCAATCTTGACGCAATTTACTAAAAATTAAACGTAGCAGCAAAGGTACAAAATATCTTCATCAAGAAGTGTCAAGTACATTTTCCCAAACCGTAATGAAAGATGTCGTTTTAATGAAGCTACCTTTATTATTCTACCCCTTAGGTTATTGACCCTAAAGGTTGTACATCTACGGGTGATATCTTAAATCTGCTGAATGGATAGTAGTCATTTTCCTGTCTACAAGAATTACTGAATAGAAAATCTTAACACAATAAAACGTCCCATCAAAGATACAAAAAAATCATACATTAGATTCGTGCAAAGAACAGAGCACCAGAATGACACGAGTTCAACAACTTGTTTCCGTAGATTTCATGCAATGATTACAAGAAGTTTTACCCTTGGTGCTGGACGTGAACCTCGAGCTCAAGACAGAATGTCATATTGGAGCAGTGTTGTCAGCTTTGTGCTTGCCTCTTATTACCTTAGTAGTGTGTATACTGGTATGTACACATGTTTATACATGTATGTGTACATGCCAGTATACAGATTACAATACACACATATATACGCACACACACACACACACACATGCTGGCACACTTATGCACACAAACAGTCAACACCCTGAAGTCCCTGGGTAAGTTAAGTCTACAGTTACTTCATCCATCTAGCTTGCTCATAGATTAACATATAGCCTGGTTACCAGACCTGTTATAGCTCCAAGTCCTACATCCTCTATTTGTGGAGAGGATGTAGGACTCAGGAGCTATCATAGGTCTGGTAACCAGGCTAGGATTAACAAGAATGGAAACACAAATAACCTAAGTCGAAACTTTCCCCCGCCTACAACAGACATAATTCCCGAGACGCCCACCAAAGTGCGTAAGATCGACCCTTCCTCCATCGGCGACATCCCAGGCAACGTGAGCGCGGAGAAATCCCCGGTGCTCAGCCCGCTGTCGTCGGTCTCCACGTCCCCACAACCCTCCGTCATCAGCCCGGACAGAAGTCCGCTGGTGACGGCGGCGCCCGCTCCAGAAGAGGAAGAAACAAGAAAGAAGGTACTAAAGAACACCAAGGTAATAATGATGTGACAAGGACCTTACACACCGTCCTCCAATCATCTGGAAAATAAGGTCCATCAATCTACATAGGGTGCATGGTAATCACAACATGGTTAATTAATTACATTTTCATGATCTTTGCATGTTTATAGAAACCTGTGTGAACCTGCATGAAAAAGTTGTTTAGTCACATACCAGGACATGTACATACAGTTCCCCTTTGAAGCTGAATTCTCTGGGGAGTATGACCTGTATACAAATGTCCAAACGTAAAAAAAATGTGGTTAACAAATCCCTTCAATCTATAACAAAGTTTAAAGGCAAACATATAAAAATTATCCATGTTATAGTGGTGAATGTGGTTAATAAAATCCATTCAATCTGTAACAAAGTTTGAAGGCGAATAACATTAAAAAATTATCATATATTATGGTGGTCACAAAGATGCTTTGATTTTCCTTTATGTACCAATGTAGTCTTCTTTTCGTACTTCAACAAGTTTTTGTTACTTACTAAGTGTGGTCTTGCCTTTCAGCGGTACCCAGCAGACAAGGCCTACTACATTGCCAAGGAGCTCTTGTCAACTGAAAGAACGTAAGGGACATTTTATTGTCTTACGAAATCCTCAAGATGCCAAGTAAAAATGATATGTTTCTGTTGTCTATGTACGTGTAAGTGTAGCTATGTGTAGAAGATATATTGGATGAGGAATGACAGAAAAATAGAATGTTTTCCTTATCCCTTCCAAATGTTCAATGTAATGAAGATATCATGCTGCAGTACCGTGCTGAAACACAAGGAGGCACAATAACACAGCTGCTTTATGACCATTTAATTTAAGTTAAATACCAGGTTCTTGTATAAGTTTTAAACATTTTGTCTCTTTACAGGTACCTTAAGGATCTGGAAGTTATAGTTGTGGTAAGAAAGCCTAATACTTCTAGTTTATGTTTTTATCCAGGATTGTTTAAAATTCTTGAAATATAAACAGTATGATGACCATTGTTATTTCATTCTTTCAACAATCACTACAAATTAAGCAACTGTAAGCAAAGAAATAATTCCTGTGTCATCTCTAGTCATAGTTACATTCAGATTCCATAGTGGACATTATGATTATTTGCATATATTGAAATTCCAATTCCAAATGTACAATTCTTTTCGTAGCTGAATACAATATGCTAAGGCATGCTATAAATCAGGAAAAGTTTTCCCTATTTATGTTTACCGAAGGAAAACATTATTTTTGCTACATTTCCTCTTCTCCAAATGAAAAAACTAGACTGTCTGTTACCATGGTAACTAGTGTTGGGTTACATCATGTTGCAATTTTATAGCAGGAGGGATTTAGACTCCTGTCTGACCATATACATGTATATGAATGTGTTTGAGTAAGAATTAACAGAGCAGACCATGTGCAAAGGTAAACATTATGCATTTGCCTTGCAAATGTTACCTTTTTTAGCGTCTTATTCCATTTCTTCTCTGTGTCCCCAGTGGTTCAGGAATGCGGTTATCCAGGACATGTCCATCACAGAGTCCCTGGCTCACCTGCTGTTCGACAACTTCGACCCGCTGTATGAGTTCCACAGGGGCTTCCTGAAGGAGATAGAACAGAGAATGGCACTGTGGTGAGTATGTGTGCTGTGTGTGACTTAACTTAAGACAACTGGCTGGCCCCTATTCTTGGCTGATTTCCAGAAATTTCCCTAAAAAAAATTCATGCTGGCTAGTTTCTTGGAACTTGGTTTCCTTTCTAACCAGCTAAGTTTGTGTTTTTACCAGGGAGGGGAGGTCCAATGCACACCTGAAAGGGGACTATCAAAGAATCGGAGACATCCTACTGAAGAACATGAAGTCACTCAAGGTAGGCACACTAAGCACGTCAGCAGAACGCACTGCTGTGGTCACTTTTTTGTCCCCTACAATGTAATTATTACATATTGAAAGAATAAGTAAAAAAGGTGACTTTTAATTGATAATTATTGTTGTATAAAGAAGTAAGCTGTTCAAACAAGCTTTTGTTCTCAAGACAAAGCTTAGTACATGTACATTTTTGATAGCTAGTAGTAGTACATTTTGTACTGCAATACAGTGGTGTTATAGCTTAAAGCTTACAGCCAAGCACTCCAGGTCACCCATGCTCCTCTCTTCCCTAGCTGTACATGCAGCACATTGAGAAACACGAGGAGATTCTTCTGGAGATGGAGAAGGCCACCAGGAGGAACCAGAAGCTGGAGAACGTGTACAAGGAGTTTGAGATGCAGAAGGTGTGCTACCTGCCGCTCAACACCTTCCTGCTCAAGCCGGCACAGAGACTGCTACACTACCGACTCATCCTGGAGAGTGAGTAACATTTCAGCTCAAGAAGAATTCTTCTTTGGTCATCCTCATCACGAGCTGTAGCAGGAGAAGTTCTGTTTCCAGTACTGTTTGTCAATCGTTGCAGACAGAAGTTCAGGTCCTTGTAGACCAGTTTCAGATTCTATTAGTTCTTTTAAGAGTTGTAGTTGGATGACTGATCCTCCTTTTTGCATCCGGAAACCAAAGTAAGAGTCGTCCAGCTGAATCTCTATCATGAGTAACAGAATCTCTTTTTACACAACCAAGTGTTTTATTCAACCAACGTTTTGGTGACCGTCTGTCACCTTCCCCAGGGTAAGGCCACACCAAGTAAATTTTATGGATGACGTCCTTTGGAGACCCTAAATCTAATGCGAGCGGGCGAAAAAAAAACAAGAAGGGCCCTAAAAAACAAGAGGCCTAGATCAGAAAAATACTAAGAGACGACAAATGTTAGGACACAAATTGAATGAGGTGACACAGTGTAACAAGCAAGAAGTCTTTTATTCATCACCAAAACAGCAATTAATCAGGTGGAACAGCAGTTGTCGTCCTGTCCTGTTTCCGCGTTACGGGTTTCACGTCAATCACGACGATTTCCGGCACTGTCCTGACTCTTTGGTCATAGTTATAGGAAGCGGAATTTCTTGTTTTTTTTTCTAGGAACAGGCCAAAACCAATGCGCGCGTGGACGTCATCCATACAATTTACTTGGTGTGGCCTAATTGGGAACACATCTATAGCAGTGACACCTGTGCTGTACAATGTGAACCATGTCAGAATACCACCCATTAAAGTTGTCTATTTTATTTAAATTTCATCCTCATTTTACTCATTTTAAAACATTGTGCTGTCAAGAACACCTGTAACAAGAAATATAAATTTTACCTTTATTTGTTTTCTCACAGGACTTGTGAAACATTACCCCGTGGATCACAGGGACTACAAGGACTGCAGAGGTCAGTGTTTCTGATTGTTTGTGTGTTAGGCCTAACCAGTTTGAATTGTTTGCTCTCAGATTTACTCAACTAAAAAGATAATACTAAGCCAGAAGAATGAGGTAAAGTCTGAAGTCCACAAAAGCTATCTCAAGAAAGTCCTTTTGTTCCCTTTTTCTTGCAGCTGCCTTGGCTGAAATCATGGAGGCCACCAGTAATGTCCAGGACAGTATGAACAGACTGGTGAGTGTATAAATGTTATAACACATGTTATAGGTACTAGCAATGTGCTCCATATATGAAATTCAGTACATTGTAATGTATTTCTGAAGTGTTGTCTTTAGCTGTATCTGTGTTGAACAATTATTCAAAGGTGGCAAAAATTTTTTACGCAAATTATAAGTGTAGACAATTAATTAGAGTGCAAAGTACGAAGAGATATTATTCAAGAATGCCATCACTGATATTTCATAGTACAATTTTATTGTTCTGTGTAAAAAAGACAGAGATTTCTGTGTGCATTGGGTATGGATATGTTGTTACAGCATTTTGTTGTTTGCCCACAGGAGAACTTCCAGAAGCTGACTGAGCTGCAGAGAGACTTAGTGAGCTGTGACAACCTGGTACAACCTGGCAGGGTACGGTGTAACCTTCCACAGTCTGCATGTAGACAGTAACTTTTCTATATGCTGCATAAGCCTATCTCAGAAGTATGGCCTGAGCAAGAATTCATTTTTGCTGAGTTTCTTTGAGGATATTGATACATGTAATCTGTAGTAAGTTGGGAGGGTGTATAATGGATATGAAATGTACAGTTTGTGACCTCTCAATTTTATTTACACCTATTTTAAAACTGAATATTGTGCTATTTATTAAGATGGAGTTGCGTAACCATGGTTCTTACCAGTGCATACAGCTGAGTCAGTAGATTTCTTCATGTACAAATTATTTCTCCCCCCTTGTAGGAGTTCATCAGAGAAGGTTGTCTTCACAAACTGTCAAGAAAGGGCTTCCAACAGAGGATGTTTTTCCTGGTCAGTATGGTAAAATTACTCTGGTAGCTTAGTTATATTTACAATACTAGTATATTGTTTTTGCTGAGTTTCTTCTTCCTCTTCCGTTCCAAACAAATAAAGTCAATGACCTGGACTAGATGTCTGTCACCATGGTAACTGGTGCTGTAGCAGACAATCTGTGGTGTTGGGTTACATTATGTAGCAGAACAGAGTTTGAGAGCCTGCTCACCATACATGTACATATGAATGTATTTGTTGTATTTGACTTTGAGTAAGAATGAACAGTGCAGTACATTACTTTGTTGAGCTAGGCCATGTGAAGGTAAACATCATGCATTTGCTCTGCGAATATTACCTCTCTAGTTCCTTGTTAAATTGGATGGCTGTTTAATGAGTAACTGTATTATGTACACACGTGGAGATACACGTCCTTGCTAATAGATATTTTTTTTATGTTTCTCTCCAGTTTTCGGATATGATCCTGTACACCAGTAAAGGTGTGACGGCTACAAACCAGTTCAAGGTGCATGGACAACTGCCTGTACAGGGCATGGTGGTGAGTTAGGAATACACAATCATGTACATACATCTTACACAGTTTGTGTTGCTAATGTTGTTGTCGTTTGTACATTACAGGCATGGGACCTGTGCTTAAGTGTTTAGGGAGAGAGGTCCAACGCACTGTCAATAAAAGTTAAAAAAGAAAAGAAAAATTGCCATGACCCTATACTTTACAGTGTCACCACAGCAACAGATGCACATACATGTAGGAATGTATCTTCGTATCTCATGTATTTCTTGTCAGTACCAGTGTTGTTGATAAACCCTATGTTACTGTACTTTCAGGTTGAGGAGAGTGAGATGGAACGTGCTGTAGCCAACTGTTTCACCATCTACAGCACCAACAAGTCAGTGGTGGTGGCAGCAAGGTACGGTCTCCTGTAACCAGTTTCAGTAAATAAGGTTCTTAAAACAGTTAACCTGAAAAGTGTTTCCTATATAAACTATAAGGGCTGAAAATTACAGAGTCTGTTGTATTTGAAGGCAGCAGTCTACACAATGTGTATTTTGAAAATTGATAAAAAATCTATTTGCATTTTTGATCAAGCTAAATTTCTTATCAGGTTCTTTCACTTGGATATCGTATGTTGATGCATCTTTGGCTGATGCTCCTGAAATTACAGTGTGTGTAGATCTGGCATCCTAGAAGAAATATCCATAGAAGTAACTCCCATTCATTATGTTGGTTACTTGTGAACTTTCCCTACAGTACGACGGAGGAGAAAGACAAGTGGATGGAGGACATCAATGATGTAATCGTCAATGCAGCCGAAAGAGGACTGGGTTCACAGGATTCGTCCTTCAGCAGTGAGTAGATAAAAATGTCACATTTAGAGCTGTGTATCTTTTGGTGAAAAGACTTTAGCCATTAGCCATAGGAGTTTGTATGCCCATGGTAGCTAATGGACACTCTTCTGGCCAGTGGACACTGCCTTGCCACCATATGATCTGCTTGGAGATTAGTCATTTTTATCTTCTGTGTGCAGGGTCGTCAGACGAGATGGGAGCAGACCGAGAGGACGGTCAGGATGAGTCAGAGGATGACGTCCACTCTCCGCGGGGGTCGCTGGACCGTACCCACACCCACCACCGCGCCAACACCACCATGCACGTGTGCTGGCACAGGAACACCAGCGTCAGCATGGCAGACCACACCAAGTCTGTCGAGGTCAGAGGGTTACTAAGAATTTTTATGTTTACCGAAGGAAAACATATTGTTTTTACTTAGTTTCTTCCAGTCTTCTTCTTCCGTTCCAAACAAATAACATCACCTTGGTAACTGGTGTTGGGTTACATAATGTTGCAAGTGCCATGCAGAACTGAGTTCAAGAGGGGCTGCATGGTCACCTTATGTATGTGTTGGTTTGAGTAAGAAAGTTTATTTCATAAGTACAAAGTATGTCATCTTTTTCTTCCACAGAACCAGCTGAGTGGATATCTTCTGAGAAAATTTAAGAACAGCAACGGATGGCAGAAGCTTTGGGTCGTCTTCACCAACTTCTGTCTGTTCTTCTACAAGACTCATCAGGTATGTTTTGTCTCAATCCTTTATGCCCCCCTCCCACCCTTATGTCACCAATAGTGTTGAACCTCTCATAATTTCCTGGAGTACATGTGTTGTTAAGAGTCTGACCGTGTGATTGGTTTACAGGATGATTACCCCCTGGCTAGCCTGCCCCTGCTGGGTTACCAGGTGTCGACGCCTGGAGAAACTGACAACATCCACAAGGACTACGTCTTCAAGCTCCAGTTCAAGACACACGTGTACTTCTTCCGCGCAGAGAGCGAGTACACCTTCGGCAGGTCAGTTCTTCTTTTTCTTCTTCTTTCATTTTAAGGCAACTGCCTTCAACTTAAGCTGAAAATTCTTCTACCTGTAGTTTTTGTGGCTAATACAAGATGAGGTTTGCCAGGCCTCCACCCAAGATTGATGACAAGGCAGGGTTTGAACCCGGGACCTCTGCCGTCACGCCACACGGCCCCAATTAATTCAAAGTGCCATTGCAAAGATGTGGTTTGTATGTTCAAGTTCAAGAGTTCAAGTCCAAGATGGATTTATTGGTTTTTCGCAGTTAAAAACAACTAAAATTTAAACCAATTTACAAAACATCGGAACATTAAAAGAACAGATTTGCAATCTAATATAAGTTATATAGGTGAACGATTAACAAACCAATAAAGATACATGTTTCATCCATTATAAATTCCTGTACTACATTTGATCCAGAACACTGTACTAAGAGTCAGGGGTTCAGTCCATGGTTATTGAGTAGTTGGTCCATAAACGGTATAGGCGAGTTCTTATATCTATTTGTTCTTGCTCTCGGACAGTCTAGCATCTCGCTGTTTCTATTACTACGGCCTGTTATTTGTGATCTCTGTGGAGGTAGCCAGCCTCTGTACTGTATGTGATGTGTGTGTGTGTGTATATGTTGTGTGCAGGTGGATGGAGGTGATCAGCAGTGCCACCTTCTCAGCCAGTCGAACCCGCATCTTCAGCAGGAAGGAGAGTTAAACCGACGGGGTGGCAAAGAAAGAAAAGAAGAAAAGAATCACAACAAAAAGAAAAATGAAATTGGATGATAACACTGAAATAAAGACCTCGTGGCTTTAGACAAACATGATTTCCTAACAGCAAGTTATTGTATACTGTAATACAATTTGAGAAAAGATAGTCATATGGAACATACACCCAAAGTTGTGTCCTCCTCATCTCAAGTTTTGACTTCTGTGAGTATAAACTGACATTTCAAGTGCCTCTAAAGCCAAGGAAGCCTAAGCACATCTTGCCATGCTTTTTATGGTGTCTGTATTAGTTCTAAAAAAAAATGTTATCTGTAAAAGGCAAGTTGTCTGATGTCTGTCCGTCCACATAGTGGTAGGACAGTTTTGGCTATGCCTCAGGGGCGGAGCCAGTTTTTATACATGTCATGTATCTGTCTACATGTATTCATATGCACTACAGTGGAGTAGACAATTGGGGTAGATTTTAGAGTAGTTTGTATTTTACTGTTGTACATTAATGTAAGCTATAGAACAAAAATGCAATGATGCACTCACATTGAATCAGCTGCATGTTTGTGTTCACAATATGCAAGTGCCATACATCAAGGTCTTAGTGAAAAATAAGGAAAACATCATGTTCATAACATGCATGTACAAGTGAAGTGAGTTACTAATCATTTTCATGGTAATCAGTTCACTTAGAAGAACTGACAAAATTTTCTAATGATAGAGGCCCTATTTGTGTAATTGAAAAGATTATGGCATTCATAGTTTTGTAACAATAGATAACCATATTTACATAATGGGTATTCATACTAGAGACAAATAGATTTTTATATGTGCATGTATACTCTTGTACATGTAATTCCATCTTGACTTGTATCCTAGAATGTCTGCAAGAAAGGATTCAGCCCAATGGACTTTAACTCCCTGAGTCTTAAAGATTATAGGTGATTCTTATAACTTACAATCAGAGCTTGTAATGACCAGATTATGACAACACTGAGTCACGTGGTTGATACTCGATACAAGCCATCATGGCATGACATTGGAACCATAAGTGTGAAAAAATAAGTCAGTATTGTCAGAACACTTTTGTAGTTTCACAATAACATGTTATGTAGACTCTACATGTATTTATCATTTACCATTATTGAACTGCAAGCCTTTGTTTCTTTCTAAACAGGAAGGGATTTTGTCATATTTAAGAAGCTCAGATTTAATTTGCAGTTAGTAAGAGATGTAGCAGCTGTGTTGTCTTGAAGAGTCAACTGTGATTTCTTCTCATGTATAGTGACCATTTCTGAATGTACAAATGTGGTGAAGGGCATAAGAATGGTGCAGGCTAGTAGTGTGTTTAGTCCTGCTAGTATTGCACTAAGAGAGTGTTTGTAATCTGTGTCCTGAATTTGGTGCCATGTTCTTCAACCCATCAGCCACCCAGCATGTGGGTAAAATGTACTGCACCTGCGTGGAACCCGTAGTACTTTGGCAGAACATCTAATATAAGGTCATATTCATGCATATATGGTTAACATCCCATCTGTAGTTTCCAAATGTTGTGTCTCAAAAGATATCTTCTACAAAAGGCAAAAATTCTGATGCAACGTTGACCAAACATCCAACGAAAACCGTGAAAAATCAGTGTTTCGCGGAGGTGCAGTACGTTCTGCCAACGTGCTTAGCTACCCAAATCTTCCCACACCCCAGACTGGCTACTCACCCCCCTCCCCATATGGTCCAGGAAGCTCAGAAAGAGCTATCATACTGTTACATGTTGTAAGACCCAATAAGATTGCGTTATTGTTATGAATGAGTTCTTGTGTTGTATCAAATGATTGTAACAAAAGTACCTGGAGCATATTTGTGTTGTAGTTGGTATTACAGTATGTTCTTGTTATACTGGCTTGATGAAGGAGGCTATTACCAGATTGTGATAATGTTTATCAATAGTACTTTTTTGTAATTGACTATAGGAGTCCTGAATGAGTAATGTTGCTACATGATTGACATATTTCCATACCTTTTTGACAAATAGTATTCCCTTAAAAAATAGTCGACAAGAACCTGTTATATATTTTCTAACTATGATCAACGGTTATTGCAAGTAAGAAGTTTAGGCCTAGGTGGCAACAACAGTTTTTGACACCTAGTTTGAAACTGATTCATTTCTTTCTCAAGCTTTTAATTTTTGAAACACTATTTTTTTTTAAACTTTTATGTTGAAGTTTTACATCCACAAAATTCCATGGCAAAAAAAACGACCTGTAATACATGTAGTCTATCTAAGCAGGATTGAATACACTCAGATAACATTTTTGACCCCCCCTCCCTTATTCAGTTAACCCCCGGCCCCCATTGCTTCATTTTTATCATTACTGCCTCCCTCCACTTCTTTAATGGAATAACCCCTACATATGTGGACTTTAGGACCAGTACTGTATTCTTTGCTCAACCAAATGTCTGTGATAACGTTAAGTGCTGATAATAGTGATATGAGCAATAGACAGATGAGTGGAGTGTCAACAAAAACCTAGACATCTAGATTTGAAGTTGATAAGTACACATGCTTCAGTTACTGGTTATTTTGAGAAGTGATGTTTTCAGTATGTTTTGACAATTTGATGGCAGGTGACTTTTAGTCATGACATAAGTACATTGTATATCTGTCTTAGTTTTGGTTTATACATGATACTAGTATAACTTGAAAGCTTGCGAGAATAGCACTGAGTAATTGATTTTGCTTTAACACTACGCCTGTACATTTTCTGGCTTTATAACATAGGCACACCCCAATTCTGGTAATCTACATGGTGTATTCAGTAGACTGGACATGCTTTTGCAAAGGAGGACAAAATCTATTTGTGTGCTGAAGTTGTAATAATGTATTTACTGCTTTTATTTTCGAGTGCGATGGCAAGTATACAGTTGGGAACTAGAACAACTGGTGGTGTAGCCTTGACGATTCTCGTTCCCAGCCCCCGCAGAGGTGATCCTGGGAACGAGAGTGGTCTGGAGAGACAGTCGTCTTTCATGTGTAACATTTTCTGTTCGTTTTTAATCTACAGGGGGTGATTTTAAACATGGTTTATTTATGTTGTGTTGACTCAGGATCCAGTTGATTTCATTGGTTTTGACACATGTCCATTTTCTGTCCAGGATTACACTAAAAGTTCTCATGTATCTTGGCGTCTTGTCTTGTATGAGTCTGTGTTTTCGTGTATGTATCGGACTGAATATTCTTGCCCTTTAAAGTCGCTACAGCATATTAAAGGAGCACCACTTGTACAATATTGCCTTTAAAAAGTGTGCTTGATGACAATGAATTTTGTGGGGTACGAGTGGGGTAGGGGGGAGAGTAGAGGAAGGGTACGAGTGGGGTAGGGGGAAGATGGAAGGGTACGGGTGGGAAGTATTTTGTCGCACATGTTCGTTATTTTTTTAATTTTACACAAGAGATTTACTAACTTCATCGAACTTTAGGTTTTGACCGTCTATCATTTTCATCAGTGCAATTTTGAATGGTTCACTTTGCACTGTTCAAAGCTAGCCTGTTACAGGTTCACTGTGCACTGCACTGAAGCTAGCCTGTTACTGGTTCACTGTGCACTAAAGCTTCAGTACACAGTGAACTTCATGGTCGTGTGATCATTGTAAGATTTTGATCCCCTGGTGATGCTAATGTTGCAGCGCGTTGCGTGACAAGACTTCGTCTCTTGTTGATGATCTCAATGCTACACTGCTTTGCATCCCCGTTGTTTAACCAAGTTGAACAATGCGCCAGCTAGCATGATGAAATTCGCATTGCTGTAAACCTATGCTGTAAACCTATGTATCAGAACATCAGTTGATTGATCTAAGGTTTAAAACATGTGAGCGGGATATCGTTCCATTGCCCGTCGACTGAGCAAGGCGATTTAAATCTCATTGGTCTGAGCTTTACACTATTACAGACTTAATCTTTTGTTGGACGTCTAAGTATACATAAGATTTGCAGTGCCGTCAGTCAGTGGTGTAATCCGGCCTTCACGATTTCAAGTGAACTGGTCAGTGACCCGCGACACACGTGTTAGCACACACAGCCGCCTCAGGCTACAGGAAAGTTTCTTAACAACCTGCACACAGAGGGGCTCGGCAGTTGCTCTGAGGGACGCGGGTCCAACACTGGTGCTACTGAAGCTTGCCTGTCCTGATTTCGGAAGCTTGTTGTGTGTTGGCTGCACTTCTCTGCTGAACAGGCGTCTCAACTTTTCACACACAAAGGTACGTACTTCGTCTTATAAGAAGATACAGTCAGCTTGTGGTGTTTAAGGTTTAAATATACAGCAATTAGAGAAAGGAAAATGATCCCCAATGACGTAAATGTACATGTGGTTCTGTGGTGGGTTACAGAGTTTTTCGCGGTCATGGAACAAGCAATATGTTGGATGAAATGACAAGAAATGACGGTTGAAGTATAATGTGTGTGTGCCAACTTGATATCTATGAAAAATATGCCTGATTAGCTGACCTCTAAATCTATTTACTTTCCATAACGCACTTGTCTAACAGGTGACCCCCTGGAGCAATATTTGAAAACATCAGCGCGTTGATAGAACACAGCCCTGCGCATTCATAATAGAATTAGCGATTTAGCCTAAGCCAGGGAACCAGGGAACTTTCGAATCTTAAAGTACAATTTGGATCAGAGAAATGAGTGATTCACAGTATGTAATTGCAGTAAATGCTATACCAGAGGCTACTCAAGCGATCTCTTTAATAGGTGTTGTCTGAAGGCGCCTTTAGCCATTTTGGTATAAACGGTAACATGATGAAACACTTGAAAAACAGCTGGTTGTAGGATTCTAGAGACAAGTTATGTAGGGAAACAGTACACATAGCTTTACTAAAAAGATAGCCACTGCAACAAAGAAAACCAATTTTACGGGTCAGAAGAGCCTGTTTACCTTTCCTGATGGCAGATTATTGCAGGTGTTTACGAGTCATCATTAGGTGGCCCAAAACCATGTTATCATTAACGGTTATGGCAAGTTACCATAGAGAAACATTCTGCGTATTTACAACATTTCGTAGAAAGGATTAGATAAGGTACCACGACAGGACATAAAACATATATAGCAACCTGTACGTCCGGAGCCCTTGTTCGTGTAGTTACTTTTACGAGCCACCAACTGACTTAATAGCATGTTATTGTACCTTAACTTGGTGATAAAATGTAGTTGGGGTGATTTTTGGTCTTAACATAAAAGGATTTATCTATGAACTTTGCTGTATCACCATAGAGTTCTTGTTCCGTGAATTTTCCATAGCAAAAAAAAGTGTATGATCGCATCAAAGCAAGAAACATCTGAATCTGTATCTGTATAGTCGGTATAACCGCCCTTCGGCGTAACACACCAGCTAACTTAGGCATAACACACCAGCTAACATGGCGTAACCTGTCCGACCATGAGGGCAACGACCTTTCCCGGACAGGTCTTGTCTTGTCTTGTCAAGACAGATTTGAAAGACACCAAGCACATCATCTGTAGTCCCTATGCCTGAGGCATTATGGTCATTGAATGAAGACCTTTATTTTGGTCATTATGTACATATACTATAAGAAATCGCACCAATGATCGATGCTTAGCCGACGAAGCAAAATAAAACGAGAAATCGGAGATTTCAGAATTTTGAAGTGTTTGGGTTTTCGTGATTGTATTGGGACTGTGGAAGTGATGGTACAATGTCACCACATCTTTCCCTCCAAACAATCCACTACGATACGCTAGACCTAAAAGTTTTTCGTACAATTTTCTTGAGATTTCGTACAATGTAAGGAGAAAGTATTTCAAAGTCTTTTCAGTGGTTTGTGAGGGACAGTTCTTTGGTGGATTCTGAGAAATTGTGGTGCTTTTGGGTCAAGGATTTTGTCTTCAGATACAGAATACACGATAGCAAATTGTATTTCATTTTCATAGACGCTACACTTGCCTTTTGTAGGTTACGACAGAAGCTCGTTATGTACAGGCACGTTCCTTTCCCACACAAACACACAAGATCGTGTCTTTGGAACGTTTCCTTTGCGATTGATTAACCAAGCAGCATGTATATCTCACCAAACGGTAACCACACACGGTGGAACCCGGAGCTCACAACGGTCGATTGTCGCAGGCTCACACTACTGAAGCAGAAATACAGTGCAAGTTCATTTGCGGTGCATGTTGCCCGTCCGGTCAACTTGTGGGGCATGTAATCTGTGTTTGTTGATGCAAAAACAGTTCCTTTATTTGAGAAGTACAATGTAGATCGTGATAACCACTGAGTACGTTCTCGCATTTAATGTTATACCTCCTGGGCACAATATAAATTAGGAACACCCTATGACAGGTATTGCTTCAAACACCCACTGTGATACCTCTATACAGGGAATAGAGTTTTCATCGTAAAGTAGGTTTATCTCCTACTTCAACTGATTCAATTATCCTGACCTGCAGGGTGAAATGAATGGCAGGACTAATGACTGACTTACAAGGACAGAACCTGTCTGGTCATCAGTCTTCTGGAAGGAAAAATGAATGAACGAATGAAAGACCTTTATGCTACATTCATGCCTCGAAGGGCTACGCACTGGCCTGGTTACTAAACGTCAGTCTAGGGTAAATTTACCAGCCGACTCACGCACTGTAAAAATGGTACATACTGCTTTCTCTGCTTTATATAGCACTCAGTATTTGGGAAAGAGTATGGGAGTTAACACACACACCACTACCAGTGGACTAGCCCCCTACTGTAGTGATTGCACCGCTGTGTGGCCCAAAAAAGGAGATGGGCGCCGCCCTATGCGCCACTAGACGCGGGAATGCTCTTTAACTTTTTTAAACTCACTGTGTGATACCACTATTATTCTGGGCATGCGTGTGCCTTCTGACGATGCACGGCGTACTCCCGTAGGTTGACATGATAAGATCATAAGTTACCCGTTACACAATCTACATGTAACGGTAGGTTCTTTTCAAAGCAACGCGATCTCCAGACCACCTATTAACTACAATAAAGGAGAATTTATCGTCTACTGACCTCCAAGAAAATACGACATGTCTTACTTGAGCACGTGCTAACAAAAGAAAGAATGACTTGATTTACATTTCCAACAATGGTTAGAAAAGATAAGCCACTCCGGGAATATGTACATGTCCTCCAGCCACGATGAATTTGCTCTTACTGTTAAAGGGCAAGGACGCTATTGTACGAGTATACAGAGCTAGTTTTTTTTTTATATATATATTCCGAAACATGTAATCACAAGACGTGGTGACAACACACTCAAGTTTTTTCAACTTATATTAATGCCGCCACCAACACAGGGACAGTACAATATTTACACCTGAGCAAAGTGAGGAAAGTCGTGCAAAGTGCCTTTCCCAAGGGCACAAGATCGGTGGCATGTCAGGACTCGAACCCGCGGCCTCTGGTTCCGAGTCGAGAACGCTGCCGCTACGCCACACGACCCCACTGCTAGTTCTTTGCCTGGATGGGTTGGGTGAGGATCAGGCACCGTCACAGTCTGGATAGTCACCGCGTATCTAGAAAGTAGATTTGCCCCGGTCACGGTTCTAGATATGAGTGGACTATCTAGAACAGTGCCCGAGCATGGTACCGGTCTGGATAAAACACGGTTCTGGATACAACAAACAATTGATCGCTCTATGATTCATATTCCTGACTAGCTACTAAATACACAATATTTTCTTCTCCTTTCTTTTGTCATATTTCTTTCTTTCTTTCTTTAATTTTCTTTCTTTCTTTCTTTCTTCATCTTCTTTCTTATGCTACGGCTAGCATATTTAGACAAACACTCGTCATGATCTTCGAATAGTGTATCGGGTTCTTTCAAGGATATTCTACTCTGTAAAACGTGTTTTTGTGCCCCTTGTAGATGCAGTGCCAGCAGGTGTTCCGCATCATCCTGACCGCGGCGTTCTGTGTACTTCTCTGGGGCGGGCTGGTCGTGGCGTACGCCTACGGTCTGCGCTTCATCAACACCGCCGACGGCTACCTGTCCTTCGGCCTGTACGGCGCCATCTTGTTCTTCCACCTCGTCATGCAGAGCGTCTTCGCCCTCATCGAGAACCGGAGGATCAGAACAGAAGAGCTGCCCGACTGTAAGAACAAGAAAGTCGCCCTGTGCATCTCGGCGTACCAAGAGGACCCCTTCCTCCTGCGCAAGTGCCTGGAGTCAGCCCGTGACATTGACTACCCCGATCTCAAGGTCATTATGGTTATAGACGGAAATAAGAAGGATGACCTCTACATGAGGGAGATATTCATGGACGTGTTCGGCCAGGAGGCAGAAACGTGCGTCAGTCAGCAGAACTATCACGTGAAGGTCCCACTCAAAGTACAGCTGAAGATGGCATCCTTGAGCAAACCGTGTTCAGGGGTAGATACCGTGAAAAACGGGGGACCGATGGTAGTACACGGCACGAATAGGGTGTTGGAGGAGACGATACAGAACAACCGGTATGTTTGTGTCATGCAGAAGTGGGGAGGGAAGCGGGAGGTCATGTACACGGCTTTTAAAGCTCTAGGAAACACGGTGGACTACATCCAGGTGTGTGACTCGGACACCATCTTGGATTCACAGTGCACGAGAGAGATGGCGAAGATTCTGGTCGCAGACGAGTCCATTGGGGCTGTAGGGGGCGAGCTGCGAATCTGGAACCCTTCGGACTCGTGGATCTCGTTCCTCAGCAGCCTGCGCTACTGGATGGCCTTCAACATCGAGCGCGCCTGTCAGTCCTACTTCAACTGTGTGGGCTGCATCAGCGGGCCGCTCGGCTTGTATCGTAACGATCTTCTCCAGGACTTCGTCGACGACTGGTACAAGCAAACCTTCCTCGGAACCCGGTGTACCTTCGGCGACGACCGCCACCTCACCAACCGAATCCTCAGCCTCGGCTACGGCACCAAGTACACCCTCCGCTCCTTCGCCTACACGGAGACGCCCGCCCAGTACCTCCGCTGGCTCAACCAGCAGACCCGCTGGACAAAGTCGTACTTCCGCGAGCTGCTGTACAACGCCATGTGGTTCCACAAGCACCACCTGTGGATGGCGTACGAAGCCGTCGTGACGACGACTTTCCCCCTGCTGGTCACCATCACCGTGGTCCGCCTCTGCTACAGCGGCCTCCTCTGGAACATCATCCTCACCCTCCTGGTCATCCAGATCGTCGGGATACTCAAGTCCATCTACGCCAGCTTCTTGCGCGGAGACGCCGTGATGATGTACACATCCATGTACTCGTTCCTCTACATGACCAGCCTTGTTCCTATCAAGTACTGGGCCATCTTCACCATCAACAAGACCGGGTGGGGAACTAGCGGGAGGAAGAAGATCGTGACAAACTTCATACCGATCGTCCCTCTGATCACCTGGGGGTTGGTGGTCTTCGGGGGAGTGGCGTACACGGTCGCGATGGAGTCTTGGCTGGATCTGGACCAAACCAAGATCTTGTACCTCAGCATCGGGTTCGGCGTGTTGGCGGTTTACTGGTTCGTGATGCTGGTGCTGTCCAAGTGGAAGATATCGTACAGCGGTCCGATTGACGTGTTGAACAAACTGTGGAGCAGGCTCCGCAAGTGTACGGACCTCCGTCCGAAACGGCGAGTTGTCATGAAGATATTGCACGCAGTCCCGCACAACGTGTACCACGAGCCTGCCGGGCAGGGCCAGGCTGCAGAGGATTGTAACGTTTGAAACAATTTCAAGTCAGACCAGGTCGTAATAATTGCTCATTTGCGTTGTTTTCTTTTATATTTTGTCCCAAACGTCATTGCCGTTATGTTATTTGTTTGTTTGTTTGCTTGTTTTGTTTGAACGTAGGCAACCAACGACACCAGCGTTTAGAACAGCCTAGTCCTAGCTATATCCATTCTAAAATCGGAAAATACGCGAACATTGCCCACAAGCTGTGCTTATTTCCTAACCTGTTCATTAGTAACTAGTATCTAGCTTAGACTACCGTGCTTAGACTTGTTGTTACCGAATGTTGAAATGAAAGAATATAGAAAAGTAGAAGCTTGTTGTATACAGGATTGATACATGTCAGTGTCATGCCACAAGGATCGTAATTTTGCTAAACTTCATAATCGTGGACTCCGTGCGTACAAGTAATCATTTCTTCTCCAAACCTTGAGGTACTACATTAAGCATTTTTGTGTGTGTCAAAGAGTTATCCAAGTTGTTACATGAATGAAATAAATTCATCGTCAAGCTTCGACAGTTGGATTGAAGTCTTTATGGGACACTCCCTGACTTCAAACTAAGGCTTAGTTCCATTTTGATAGTTGACATAGCAGCTTATACTAGTACATTGTGTGGAGATTATAGATAGTGGGTACTCATGTAAGTGCGAATTGACGATTTGGCTGTACATAACAGGCACGCCTCCTAGCGGTTTCCTTAGCTTGTTTGACTTGTCTAGGCTACCCACCTGTTCCAATTGGATGACAACAGTAACAATCTGACCTCTAGCGACAAATTAGTAAATGACATGTCTTAAAAATGATGCGGTATGATCTGAATGTAAACAGACAGGTCATTCGAGGGGTCACCACACATCAGTAATTATCATTACTCTGTGTTAGAATCTGCGGTCAGTTATCATTGCATAGATCGGATTTCTCTATAATTTGTCCTTTTAATCATGTCAAGTATAATGTCTTCTCTTGTTCTTAGAAAACCACAAAACACTGCTAGACATTTCGACTGTATTGTACACAATATGACCTTTTACCCCTTCGCCATTTTACCTGTGCGTTGGATCGGAACCAAACGACGTTCCGCCCTTTGTGTCACTCCATGCCCCAGGCACGTACCTCCGCTCCAAACCTGTTCTTGTTGAGGGGAAAATCATTTAATGTCGAGGGACGTGGACAGGTATATCTATCATGATGGTAGGAACGCATTGGGCTTGATACCCCACCTATTGAGATTTCTGACTGAGCCCGTAACGTTACTGTAGCTTTCTCAATTGAACGGCCATTTTGATGTGACGATTCCAAATGTGTCACTGAAGTATTGAATGTTCAACCGTCCCTGGCTAAAGGCATTTTACCACCCCGGTATTCTTAGAGATGCGGGCTTTTCTGAGAAGATATCCGGTCATTGATACCGAGGTAACCAGCTTCACAGACAACGTCAAATAGACCTCTTAACAGGTCAACGACCGAAACCCAAAATTCGTCCCTATCTACCGAGGGTTTATCACTTCATTCGAGGGCAAAGAGACAACGACAATCGACACAAAGCCACCGTAAAACGTATAAACATGAGTAACGCTATTTGACTGTGTATATATAGTTGACGTGTTTAATATTTCTCTTGGGAGCATCGTGTCTTACAAATGATTTGACAATAACATATTGTGACAGACGAGACCGTACGTGACCATACTCGCGTAACGATCACCCAGACTGTTGGCACGTCTTCCCAATGTCTGTGTTCGATCTAAAATATGGGTACGGAATAAACACGTAGTCTTGACTTCAACCATATACTTTTGCATATGATCACAATGCTTCGCTGTCAATATGGACTCTCCCCTGAACGATAGGAATTTTAGGGCTTTGAATCTGTCGTCGCAGATGCTTGAGTACCTCAACTATGCATTAATGTCTTCTTCAGCAGATACTCTTGAAGTCTTCAGATACTTAAAACTGTAAACAACATTGCATGCTTACTGTTGTTTTGGCACAAGGCCAGCTCATAAGCATAGGCGTAAACTCTACAAGCTATGCACTTGAACAACCTGTTTTCTACATAACGTTAACGTTTCTCTATTCCTAGCACATACAGATGGTCTGTCTGTAAAACGCAGGAAAACGACAACAAAAAAGACACACTTCAAACTTTTGAATCGATATTAGTTTATTTGGCGTTATATACACTGTCTATTATCGTAAGGATGAATATACTAAGATATGTATGAATATTTGATAATGATATATCAATGATATACCCATGTGTTTATGGATTAATATCGGGTTAATTATCTTGTTGACAATCATGTAAGATTATTGACAGTTCAGAAGGTGACCCTCCTGAAGGTAGATTTGTTAAAGACATGCCGCCATATTTTCCTCAGGCGTGCCGCGCATTTTCCACGTGAGCAAACAACTTACTCATCCGCTGTCACACGTCCCTTTATTCTCTAAGGTCCGCCCAGTTTGGCAACACGTACTGTCTGTTCAACGTCTCGTACATGGTGGTGTCTTCTTTGTATCCGTAATAAGAGGTCTTTCTACAGTTTGCTTTGTCTGTGTTGTCACCATGATTCGCTGGAACAAGGGGAGCAAGAAGTATCGCTACGTGGTGAAAGAGTCGGAGAGACAAGAGAGAGATCCAGGTAAGACCGACCGCACAGGACAGGAAGCCAAGGCCTCTGTCGGCAGCCAGAGGTATTCAACAACAACAGCGACGCACACTTCGCGTTATGGCGCGTCAGGGAGGCCGTACGAACCGCCGACGAGGACCCCTCAACCCGGTACCGCGCCGCGGGACATACCGTCTACGTACACGGGAGGGTATCGTGGTGCTACCGGTGTCGTCCCTGGAGCGACGGCGACAGAGACAGGATCGTGGAGGGATAAACAACATGGCGGCCTGGGGAGGGGGCGGTCACCAGCAACAACTTTCATACCCAGCGGGCAAGGACAGTACAGAACAGCAAGAACGGACGTGTTTAGCACAACGCCTGGACGTTCTACATACAGGCAACCTACACGCACAGCTTCGCCAATGAGGAGCTCAACTGACAGCAGGAGTAGAACAGCACAGTTCATGCCAACTACACGCACAGCCTCGCCCATGAGAAGCCCGACTGACAACAGGAGTAGGACAGCACAGTTTGGTCAGAGGGACAGAATGGAAGGAGACTTCGTCGTTGTTCCTGGGGAGATGGAAGAAATGAGGCAGGGAAGATACGGAAATTTCATCAGGTCTTCCACTCCGGCACAAAGAGTTGGTCCATCAGGAAAATATACGCCCGCTGCCTATCCCAAACCACAGACTATTCCATCAGCTGGACAGTCAGTTGTGCAGAAGAGCAAACCAACCGACGTCCCTCCACAGTCAGGTCGAGATGATGGTAGAACACCATCTGGTATCTCAACCCAACCTGCTAGTGTTGCCCTTACTACGGTAGACGACGGGGCCAAGGGAGCTGAATCAGCCGAACTACCGCTTGGAACGGCCACGAGCTTGACCGAAAGCATCACTGAAGGATATGTTGTTGTTCCGAGGCCTGAGCAAGAGACCTGCACTTTAACTGTCTCCCCTGACCCCGACGCTAAGGACAAGGTCGAAGAAGAAACACAAGACCCCAGCAGCCCTCATAAAAGGACCTGGGACGAAGCTATTGGAACCGAAGACAACGGTGCTAAGGAGGAAACCCCCGAACAGCAAACTGAAGAAGTAAGCACCGTTCAAGACAGAGACCAGAAAATTTCTGATCAAGAGAGCCAAGCAGACGACAGTCCAAGTGCAAGTGACACAGTAGACGTTGGTGCTAAGGACATAGTCAAAGAACAAGAAGCAAAAGACTCCAGGGTCCCTCATAAGAGAAGGTGGGACGAGGCTCTTGGAGACAAAGTTAAAGAGGGAACTCTAGAACCACAGACCGAAGAAGTAAGCACATTTTCAGACACGATTCCATCACAAGCGAAGGCCACCGTCGTCACGCCTTCGCCTCCTCCCACCAAGGCTAAGATCCGCCGAACACCTTCGGAAGAGGCACCGGTGCAAGTAGATCTTCCTCAAGAAGAGAAGGTGGAGCGGCCGTTCGAACCTTCAGAGTCATTGATAAGCAAAGACATCTTCAAGAAGAATCAACATCAGGTCAGAGCCATGGAGACCGAAGAAGTTCAAGAGGAGACGTACCAGACTATTAGTCCGGAGCCGGAAAAGCCACCGATGCCCGAAGATGCCCAAACAGTGAAACCCAAGGCAATTGTAGTCCCTCCCGCCCACCCTCCCAACATAACAGCCACCACGACACCGTCTTCGGGAACAGGTTCACAGTTACAACCTACAGTTTCAGAGACACCTCCAGTTCACTCACAAGATGTAAAATCACCACCTACCCTTCCCTCGAGTCAACAACCTCCAGTATCGTATCAAAAGGAAGAAAACATTGCTGGGGAGAAACCTCCAGTTCACTACCAAGACCCAGAAGCACTTCCCCCTAGTTCACAGCCTACCGTCGCTATTGTAGACGACTCACTGGTTGAAGAAAGTGTCCAACCCTTTCCTTCAAAAGCCAAGGCGACGGTCGTCCCACAAGATCCCTCCCCTACCAAGGTGAAGGTCACCAGGAAAAGTTCACTGGAGTCAAAACCACTACCGGAGTTTCAGTCGATCGTTAAGGTAGAGCGGGAGGTGACACCGCCGGAACCGTTAATCCAAACCGACCCATTACTCAAGAACCAACAGCAAGTGAGGGCTCAGACTACAGATGAAGAGGAGGAGACGGTTCAGACGTTCGGACCGTCGCGGGGAAAACCAGACCGACCGGCGGACGCGGTGCCGTCTCGGGCCAAGGCGAGCGTGGTGGTGCCGCCCACCTGTCCTGGGGTGACGGCCTCTGTCATACCTTCCGCGGGAGAGGGCCAGGAACCTAGACACCCGCCACACGACGACAAACAACAGAGTGTGAGTCTTTTCTTGATATGTTGAGTAAAATAGTTATACTTGTATCTCTACTTCCTGTCGTTCGCTGAAAATGTTATGGTTATATTACCGTGAACCTGCTTTCAAAAATAGATTCGCTGAAAAGTTGTCACTGCATTATGTTCGTGCAAATGTTCCTTTGGAATTGTACGTTGAACCATCAATATCGCTCTATAATTATGTCGGACGTGACAAACGATGCATACGCTACAAGAATATTATATGTCTCTTTTGGTGTCTTGAGTACGAATTCTATTGTCTCCAAATCTTTAAAGAGTTTGGTCTCTAAATCTTTAAAGACATTGTAGATACCCTCTGATATCTTCTACCAAGAAACGCTAATCGTTTTCAATTTGCTTCTAAAAATATTTGTTTTCAAAGCAGCAGACTATAATGTGTCAATTCAACTTTGGCCTTTGGTAATTATATATGCGGCGTCATTACAAAAGGGGGTTGGGTCGGGCTGGGACCGTTCAGGTCAATGCGTTTGGCACAACACAAACTAGGATTGACTACTAGTATCTTGCCACATGCGTCGCACTGTCGACGTGCGATCACAAATTGACGGTACGGTAGTCTTCAGATAGTCTTGCATGTGTTCTGCAAAATTCAGCTGTCTTTATACGAAAAAAAGTCTTATCCTTGTCGGTGGTTGGTTCTGTCACAGCTTGCTTGAAAATTCTACGGCATCAAAATCTTACACTGAACTACATATATATATATGACGAAAGCCACCGCGCCACTGAAACCATATTTGTGTTTTACACAACATACATGTTCAGACAGTATTACGAGACGAATTATGATTATACATTGCTGTTTCAAGACATAACAAGGTGTGGTAAATAAAGGATCTGTTCAAAGTGGTTAATCATGGTTGACATGGCACGTCCGTGGTGTGAATACTAATGCTTCGGTTTAATGGCACAGCTGATGACGGTTAATTTTGGGTCACGCAAAGTCGTAAATACATTTTAGGAACATCTGGTGACACTTCAAGAATTGAAATTTGCCCAATGCCTTTCTAGACGAAAAATCATAACCATAAGTTCTGCTACATTACCAAGGAATGTTGCAAGGGGATGGGCAAAATAGAATGTGCTGGTCACTATCCGTCCATTAGCACTGCCTTCAATGTTAAAGTCAAATCAAACAATAGGAAACGTTGGATTTGAGAGACGCCTACTAATTTTACCTTACTCATTTTCAACTCTCTGTCTTTGCATGTGTACGGTTGTGTGTTAACGCTACTTCTTTATTTGCACTTACCCTCCGAGCAGTTAATTTGCAAAGACTTAAGTGTATTCTCTCGTCTCATAGGGAGACCAACGACCAGATGAAGGGTCCGCTTATCCCCCGGTGTTGCCACCAGCCGGAGGGCTTCCTGCCGGGGACAACACGACAGGTATGCCTGGCTCCACCCTTCCGTATCCCTCCTCGGACCAACCCACCATGCCTATTGTGCCACAGCCACTACAGGGAACGGCACAGCTTCCGCCACATCCCGAGGGCCTGGTCTCTTCACCGTGGCAATTGGGGGTCGGCCAGCCAGGGCAGGGCCCGTCATATCCACCCGGAGCGCCCCACGCACCGTACCCTCCTGGTCCATTGCAACAAGCCCCTTACCCGCCTGGTCCAGGGACCAAATCTCCTTATCCTCCTGGTCAGGCGTCCGAAACCCCTTACCCTCCTGGTCCAACGTCCCAAGCCCCTTACCCACCTGGTCCAGCGACTGAATCCCCTTACCCTCCTGGTCCAGCGACTGAATCCCCTTACCCACCTGGTCCAGCGACTGAATCCTCTTACCCACCTGGTCCAGCGACTGAATCCCCTTACCCTCCTGGTCCAGCGACTGAATCCCCTTACCCTCCTGGTCCAGCGACTGAATCCCCTTACCCTCCTGGTCCAGCGACTGAATCCTCTTACCCACCTGGTTCAACACCCGATGTCCCTTACCTACCTAGTCCAGCGACCCAAACGACTTATCCGCCCGGACCAACGACCGAAGCCCCCTACCCACCTGGACAAGCACCCGATGTCCCTTACCCAGCGACCCAAGCCCCTTACCCACCTGGTCCAGGTTCACAGGCCCCTCACCCGCCTGGTCCAGCATCCCAAGTCCCTTACCCACCGGGCCAAGGGACCCAAGCCCCTTACCCACCTGGTCCAACTACCGAAGTTCCTTACCCACAAGGCCCAGCTCCCGATGCCACTTACCCGCCTGGACCAGCGTCTCAAACACCCTATCCACCTGGTACAGGGACCCAAGCCCCTTACCCGCCTAGTCAAGCATCCCAAGCCCCTTATCCGCCTGGTCCGGCACCCAACGCCCCTTACCCACCTGGACAGGTACCAGCCTCCCCCTCCCCATCTCCCTTCTACACTCCTCCGGGCCCAGCGTTTCCCTACCCAGCAAGGCATCCTCCGCAAGAAGGGACCGAAGGTACCGGTCAAGAACAGCCTTCGCCTGGCTCGCCATATCCACCTCCCCATCCCGCATATCCACCACCAAGGCATGATCCAGCATTTCCACCTCAGCTCCCACAGGGTCCCTACCCGTCTGTTATATCAGCATACCCTCCTCAGGCACCGTACTATCCGCAGCAGCCAAGTGAAACCGCTGGGAATCTCCCACAGGGTCCCTACCCGTCTGTTCCGTCAGCGTACCCTTCTCAGGTACCGCACTATCCACAGCAAACCAGTGACACCGCCGGGAATCTGTCCTACCCACCGGCAGGCGACGCGTGCTACCCTCCACCACAGCCTACGACACAACATCCCGGCCAACCGCCGCAAACGTCCCAACTCAGCCCGGAAAGCAGCTCCGGGGAATCCCAGCCAGAAGGTGCCCGCCCTTCTGTTCCTCTGCAACCGCGTCCTCCTATTGGGTTTGATCTTGTCTCTCCCCCAGGGCCACCTGTAAGCCAACAACCCAGCTCAGAGGTCCGAGAAACAGACATCCTCTCACCACCACCACAACCGGAACAAAGTCAGAGTTTCCAAGGAAACGTTCAAGCGGCAGATGACACGAGCAAACCTGACGACAGTCTGTCATCTGACAAGTTAGAGAAACTAAGCTCTGAGACCCAGCACTCCAAAGATACCAAAGATCCAGGGCCGATGTCTCCCCCAGACAAAGCTGTTTTGCCTTGGAGGCCGGTCGAAGAGATCATCTCACCCAGGCCAGGCTCTATAGCCATTCCATTGCCTTGGACCCCCACGCCATCGCCCGAGAAACAAAAGGCGTTTGACTTTGGTGGAGCTTCGAGAAGACACGTAACAGTTCAAGAGGAGACGACAGAAGAGGATAGTGAGCATCAACAGACAAAACAACAACCGACAACAACATTGATCTCTGATACCGAAAGTGGCACCTTGAGTACTTCGTACACGTTGTCAGACCAGGACGTGCCCGCTGAACCTGAACAGGTCCCCACAGAGGTGACACAGAGTCAGTCTGATACATCTGGACAGCCAGGGTCGGTGAAGGCAGAGGACGAATACGGCTATGGGGTAGTTACGCCAGGTTATGAAGCACACGACAAGGATAGAGCGCCAGAATCCAAAATCCCAACTCCAATAGGAGTGCACAAGCCACAGGACAAGCAAGACACAACATCACAGAGTAGTGGACCTGAAGTGCTGCAACATTCGGCGCCAACGTCAACTCTTCTAGGCAAAGCGCCTACAGAGCCACCAGTAAGCCAACAAGTCGACTCAGAGATCCGTGAAACAGACATTCTCTCGCCACTGTATACATCCTACCAAAGTCAGGCGTTTGGAGAAGATGTTCCAGACGCGAGCAGACCAGACGACCAACTGTCACCTGACAAATTAGAGAAACAAAGAGTCAACTTTGAGACCCAGAACTCTAAAGATATCCAACAATCGGCACCGATGTCTCCCCCAGACAAAGCTGTCCTCCCATGGAGGCCGGTCGAAGAGATAATCTCCCCCAAACCAGGCTCAATACCCATTCCATTGCCTTGGACTCCCACGCCATCACCCGAGAAGCAAAAGGCGTTTGAATTTGGAGACCAAAGCCAGGCTTTTGGAGAAAATGTTCCAGACGCGAGCAAACCGGACGACCATCTGTCAACTGATAAGTTAGAGAAAGAAAGAGTCGATTTTGAGACCCAGAACTCTAAAGATATCCAACAATCGGCACCGATGTCTCCCCCAGACAAAGCTGTCCTCCCATGGAGGCCGGTCGAAGAGATAATCTCCCCCAAACCAGGCTCAATACCCATTCCATTGCCTTGGACACCCACGCCATCACCCGCGAAACAACAGGCGTTTGAATTTGGGGGAGGCAAAAAAAGACACGTGGCAGTTACTGAAGAGGTAACGGAACTGGATAGTGATCGTCAGACGCAACAGCCCACGACATCGGTGATCTCTGACACCGAATCCGGCGCTCAATGTACCTCGTACACGCTCTCAGACCAGAACGTACCGACTGAATCTGAACAGACCCCTGCAGACGTGTCAGAGGAGGAGCAATCTAAAAGCTCGGGACAACCAGACTTCACGGATGTGGAAGAGGGATACCAACGTGGAGTGGTCCCTCCAGGTTTTGGCACCTCCTCTGGCGAGGAAAAAGGACCAGAATCCAAAGTGAAAGATGACACATCACAGAGAAGAGAACGGGACGACGCTGGACCATCATCACCCGAGGTCGAGCCACTAAGTCCTCAACAACCGACACGACCAGTAAAAACGGGCTCTCAAGAACAATACACGGCGCCGACGTCACCACCAGATAAGGCCGTTCTGCCATGGGAACCCCTCGAAAACATCATTTCTCCAAGACCAGGCTCGATAGCAATCCCTTTGCCCTGGACCCCTACAGCATCACCTGACAAACAAAGGTTGTTTGAGTTTGGGGGAGCCACGAGAAAGCATATATCAGCTACTCAGGACGTAGTAGTACACGACAGCGATCCTCAGACGACACTACCAGCGACAACATTGGCCTCTGGTACGGGAGCCGGCACCTTAGGTACTTCGTACACGCTTTCAGATCAGGAGATGCCTGTTGAGGCCACAGAGGAGACAGAAGCCCAGTCTACTGGACCAAGACAGACTGGATTCGTAGAGGAAGGTTACCAGCTTGGAGTTGTTCCGCCAGGTTATGACATGTACGACATGTACAAGGCAGAGGACGAATACCAGCCAGGAGTTGTTGCATCAGATTATCAGAAATACGAAAAGCCACAAGAAACGCAAAGCACTGCGGACGACGACACATCGGAACGTAAGGCACAGGGCCTAGACGATCCGTCATCACCCGAAGTCGAGCCGTTAAGCCCGTATAAACCGGTGAGGCCTACACAAATGGCGTTGACCAAGGAGACGGAGGCATCTCCCAAGACACAGTTCTTCCCACAGAAGAGCGACAGTTCTCCCGACGGACTGTCCTCGTCCGAATTCGAACCTGTCACCCCGGAGAGTCCGATGTCCCCGCCGTACAAGGCCGTGGTTGTCTGGAGGTCGAGGGAAGAGATCCTGTCCCCTCGGATCAGCTCTGTGGTCATTCCTCTCCCGTGGTCTCCACTACCGCAATCCCCAACTAGGGTCCGACAGTTGAATAAACCGAAACCGACGAAGAGAGAACAAGGCTTGGTCGAAGGGACGACGATATTTGAAGAAGACCCAAGCATGACACAGCTTGCGAACGTCGTGGATATTCCTCAACGTGAAGAAGTCGCTCTTTCTACTTCGTTTGTTCCATCTCACCCCCCGGACCACGGGGATGTTGACAACGAGTTGAACAAGCAAAGGGAGGAAGTAAGGAAAGAAGGCTTTGTTGAAGAAGCCACGTCATTTGAAGCAGACCCGAGTCTGACAAAAGTTGCCCGCGTGGCGGGCGTTTCTCCACACGAAGATATCGCTGTTGCTGCTGCCTTTGTGTCCTCTCAACCACCTCAACACAGAGAGGGTGACAACGAAGGTGATGTATTCTACGACGCACCGGACACCACAGAATCGGAAAGGCCGGCGAAACAGTCGAAGATCCCCACATTTCAAGCAAAGAGTCCTCCTCATTCAACAAAGCCAACAGAAGCTTCGACTCAGCAACAAAGTCCTGATCGAACTCAGCTGGAACATTCACCGGATTCCTCCCAACAAGCTTCTAGTCCGTCAAGGATCCCCAGAATGCCGAGTAAACTACCCACCAGTCCAACGCGGAGGGCGGATAGTCCACCTCCGCCGTCTAGAACACCAATGAGTCCGACAAGGAAGTCGACAAGTCCATCCAAGATACCCACCGTAGCAAAGCCGTCAGGTATTCCCACAAGAACACCGACGAAGGACTCCGGGAGTCCGGTAGGGGCTGCAGTTCCTCCAGGCCATGAAGAAGCTGCTACTGAAGTGTCAGAAGTTCCCCAAACTAAGGAACAGGAAATAGAACCAAGAACGGAAGATGGGGAGGAAAAGCAAGACGTAAAGATGGTGAGGAGTGACGAGGACTATGCTGTAGCAACTCCGCAGGACAGAGCAGTTGAGGGAGGACCACGGAGATCCTACCTCAGAGGAATATCAGGAGAGGGGACCAGAGGACGAGAGGGAAAGATACGAAATACCAGAGGATCTAGAGTCGATAGAGGAGGTAGACGAGTCGTCCAGAGACGAAAAGGGCTACTCTGGCGATGAAGATACTGAGGGTGAGAGATTAGATACTAAAGGCATCAGGGGAAGAGTGCTGAGGAAACGCAGCAGCAAGGAAGATCTACTCGCAGAAGACGAAGCTGACAAGGAATTCGAGGAAGATGTCAAGAAGGCTCCCAGTCAGAGGAGGGCACCACCGAAGACGCTCGCCCTGCCTCTGGACACCTCCCGAACGCCCACAAGGCGAGAAACATATCCATGGCCCTCTCCGACGTCGCCGGCAGACAGGGCGTTGTTACTATGGAAACCGAGAGAGGACATCCTGTCTCCGAAGCCGGGATCCATCGTTATCCCGTTGCCATGGAGCCCCACCCGGAAACCGCCCTCCCCGATGACGCCGCGAGCCCGGAAGAGGTTCCACCCGCCCCTCAGGCAGCTGCAGAAGGTTCTGAAGGAGAACACCCTGGATGTGGGACCGCAGCCCACACCTTCGTACCTGGGCGTCTCGATTGTCCCGGTCACAACTCACTACCTTGCCACAGGTAATTTTTATTAGACTTAATTACTATAATAAATGATATAAGGCTTCATGAAAGAATGTTTTCAACTGCATGTGTACAAAAGTTGAACTATGGTCGTCTTATTACCAATACAAATGCCCTTTTATTCTGTTTCTGGTAACGTATTGTCAAATCAAATCAAATCAAATCAATCGTGGTAGGAAAGGCTTTTTTCTATCAACCGTCTATGGTTTGTGCTGTCAGTACTAGTGTACGTAAGCCGTTGTAGGTGTAGTGAGGTACCGGACTCTATCTATTATCTGTGTAGCCGGTTTAACACACCAGCCATGACGTGGACTTATCCTGTACTACACATAAACGTACAATGCATAAAGGTATTTCATCCACTACCCTCCCCCAGCATTCGTGCTGTCCGAAGACTCCTGCAGCAGTGAGGACGCGGCCCCTGTACCTGTGGAGGTACACGAACTGTCCAGCCATTCTGAGGAGGAAGACAGTTGGGTTATGGTGGAGGGGAGCGATGACGACATGGCAGAAATGGGCGCCGCGGGGTACACGGGCCACGAAAAAGGTGCGTGTGCATGTGTGTGTGTGCGTGTGTGTGTGTGTGTGTGTGTGTGTGTGTGTGTGTGTGTGTGTGTGTGTGTGTGTGTGTGTGTGTGTGTGTGTGTGTGTGTGTGTGTGTGTGTGTGTGTGTGTGTGTGTCGGGTACGATGGGTGGGGTGAGGCGCAATGGTCTGAGGCTACTGCCTTTAGGTGTTGTTTCGGGTGACTCCGTCTAACAAGACAGTGCCATGCAGGTGCGACCTTGGGACTGAATGTTTCTACCACAGGTAATGGGACGTAGCCCTACTTCTTACTGTGGTGTGACTCTCCTCAAACCCAATACCCCCGGCGTTATGTCCCATCTGATGTATCGTAATACTACTGTGACAGTCTGACAGTACAGTGCAACTTGTTTCTTTGCCTTCTTGGTCCCCACACTGACACGGTATAACAGCGCCACCTTGTGGCCACTACGTGCGGTGCACTTATTTGGTGCAGGTTCTATGTGGACCTTCTATACTTTCGTGGATACATGTTACTTCCCCGCACTTTCCTAGTTGTTGATGCAGATTTGTAGACGGGTTAAGGAAGATTTTCAATGTGAATTTTGCGACATCTGCGCGCCAGAATCGCACCCGGTGGTTTTGCAGACTACATTCTAGGGTGATAGTGTGGTGGCGTTTGGTTTCTTACCTCGGATCTAAGGATTGAACATTTGGGACTGCATTGAAAACGGGTACGTAAAGTTGTTTATATCTTATAATCCTGTACACAACATACAACAAGAAAAGGCTCTTTATTAGTGGAATGCTTACTAATTTCTTACACGCCGTTCCATATGTATGTAATACTATGTATGTAAGGATGGATGGATAGTGTTCAGCACCAAGGACAGGCCTGTTCTGTATGTACTGTATCTATGTATGTTGGATAGTGTTCAGCACCAAGGACAGGTATATTCTGTATGCATGTATGGTAAAACAATGCATTGTATTTGTAGTGCAATTGGCAATGGCAGGCCACTACGTAGAAATGGGATCCGCTCTGCCTCTGCCCCATTCAGGCAACCCTTCTGTCTCTAAGTTTATAGTCAACGTCGATGTGTGATGTCAAAATGCCACAACTGACTACTGATCCCTCTCACACCAGATGATGACAATTTGTACGACCCTCCCCTGTCCAGCGAGGAGCAAGCCACTGTACAGAGGGCCGTGCACGATACAGTGGAGGAGTTCTTCGGGGAAGGAGAAGGAGAAGAAGAGTTTTACTAACACCAGTGTGCGTTTTGCTGAATATACAATAGAAAAGGATATGCGTTGTATTTGTCTAGGTACATGTATTGCAGTTGATTTGCTTTGGAAATAGGGACGAAAGGTACAGTCGGAGTTGTGTAGAATGCCAGAATAGAATAGAATAAAACAAAACAAAACAAAACAAAACAAAACAAAACAAAACAAAACAAAACAAAACAAAACAAAACAAAGCAAAAAAAATATTTAAAAACCTTACATTGCAAGAACATCTTAGTAACTTGAGAAAACAAAAGGGGAAAATATAATATGCAAAACCTTTAGCATGGCCTTACAAGTCTTCATGATCCACCTTCACTTAATGTTTGCAATTGGGGGTTCGGGGATCGAAATGAGCATCATAGTGTTGGATTCATAGTTAAAAAAGACAGTACGTTTAAGTGCTGTGATGGTATTTCAAGCTAAGTTAGTACAAAGGGTTGATCGTTTTCGTGTATTGCTAAGTAGTAACTGAAGCTGTATACATGTAGAGAAACGTCACTTTATGGATTTGCACTTTTTACTCCATGTATAGTCTGCAAATGGTAGCTTCTAGCTGGTATAGTTGCAAAATGCAGATTTTAATGAGAATGATACGATGAATTTGCTGGGCAAAGGTTTTGTTTGTAGATTACTATATCCATTCAGCATAGGAAAAGAGCAGTAAATAAGCAGTAAATAAGCTTGGTCACGAATGAAAACAAAATGTAGCCAGTACAGCAATGCCGTGTTTCTTATGGGAATAGTCTTGCATTGTGATATACCATCGTTGGAGGGCGCTTCGTAGTTCAAGTCTAACCTAGTTTATTACGTTGTCACGTATACACGATATCTACATTGCTGGTTGATGTATGATCTTTTTCGGTCTTCCTTTCTGCAAATAAAGTCACATTTTCTTATATTGGTATGCGTACTAGTGTAGGAATGAGAAAAAAGGCTATACCAAAACCAAAGTGTGATAATTTTACGGATAGAAACATGCCAGTTTATGACAAAAAAGAACGTATACTTCCTTTCCTTAGTGAAAATGAAGTCACTTTTTTTATATAACGTTAATGCTAAAAATACGTTGTTAACACACAATATACAATAAATGATATCTCTATTGTACTAATCCGATAAAATTTTAAACTGATACTAGTACGTTTCACAGTCTCGGTAACACCCCTGAACGTGTTGGCAGCAGCATTGCTGAATTAATCGGATTTGAATCTGCCCAGACACGTTGCCAGTTGGAGATACGCCAGACGCTAAATATGGTAATACAGTATTCGGCTATGTGGCGCAAAGGGGATTGTGTTAAGGGGCTTACAGTAAAATATGCTACATCGTACCGATAGTTTAACGAAAATTGCGACATCAATTTCGTAAAGAAAAAAACTTTTATTTGATATTAAACTTTATTAGGTTGATATGCAGCCAATAATGCCACCCAACAAACGAGGGTCTGTGAGTTCGGCCTGTAGCCAACACACACATATGTCCTTCCCATCTCTATATATCTAATTTCCTTAACTTCCACACTTCACCTCGTTACTAACACAATATTTTACGACCACTTATAAGCCATATTAAAGGACCACGCCCCCCTTCTCTAGAGATTTGACCGGAGAAATAAGTAAACCGAGTCAGGGAGTTTCCCGCTGTCTGATTGGCTAATCCGCTAGCGAGCGCATGCGTCCTGCATAACACTGAAACCAAGATGGCTGCCGAAAGGAGAGGTGAGTGGCAAAGAACTCGTTTTTCCTCCCCTTTTGTGGTAAAAACGATCAGTTTATCAAAATCGAGGTGTGTTTTACGGTGAGGGTGGTAGTGTTGCATATTTCTGTCGGTGGTTGGAGTTGTCTTGACCCGCCGATTGCTAGAGAAAGGACTTTTCGTGTGACACATGGCACTCACTCCATTCAAGTTCCCAGTTTCACTTTTCTGTGCGGCACGAAAATGACACGTTGGGCATGGAAGAAATCGTGCGTGAAAAAGAGGACGTGTCATCTCGACAGGAGTATCCTATTGTGTTGGCAGCTTTCCTACCAGGTTCTGTGGTAGGATCTTGAGTTAAACTTAAAACCTTTAAAATTGGGCGGAGAATCCGGTAGGTTTTTGTGTTCGCGTGCGGTTGGGCGAAGTCGCCCGGTTGCATCCCGACCTCCGTGCCAGATGTCAAAATTACAGCTGTTTCTTGACACCTCCGGGCTGAAACGCAAGCCTTTTCACGTCCAACAAATGTCAGACATGCCGAGCGGTAACGTAGTTTCACGTCCCAAAGGGGGCGTACTCCCTATAGGCCCTCATCAATGATTTATATCGCCTACGCTAACGTAGTTTGAAGTCCAAGTGCAGACGTTCTGTGTAAATCAATACTTACCGACCTAGCCTCTACCTGACGTTGAAAATGCGCGCTTTTTCCTGGGACACGTGAGGGGCGTTACGTCGACGCACCGGCGCGAAGGCGTCCTTGGTTTCCTTCCAACAAATTATGCAGTTGAAGTACATGTATAATATAACCAACGAAAAAAAATCATCACCTCCTACACGTATTCTAAGCACATCCCCGCCAGCATTTACCACAGGATGGCTGATGAATTCTGTCTACGTGCTGGGTGAAACGTACAGGGAATATCATAACAGCACCTGACCGGCGGACGTTTGCGTCAAGGTCGCGTGATTCCAAACCGCGTTCTGTCAGTCCCCATATCTCCTACCATGCAATCTACAGTGTTTTTAGTTAAGATTTCCTTGTCATTGGCACCTGGAGAGTCTGCATGATGCTAGGTTGGTTTGTGTTGCTCCTACGGAGGGCCACCTGCTGTATTAAGAGCAACCCTTTCCAGCTCAACAAACCAGGAGCCCTCCCACCTCTACAAACTACCAGTCAGCAGGAATGTGACCCAGAAAAATCCCCACCGGTACCCCGCGGTAAGGTCGCCTCAACATGTTCTGTGGTTGACTCAAATGTCTCTGACTTCTAGCTATTGGATTCCAATTGCAGACGTTGCCTGTAGAAATGTTTGTCTTGGCCAAGTGCGTTAGATTTCTATTTTAATCCACGAAGGTCACTTATGGTTGGGTAATATGAAACCCCCTTTTTGTAGCCATCTCTACGTCATTGTCAAAGCCAATCATGGTTTACTGCCCGCATCTAGCCTCTAGAATATTTGCAGTTGCTTCTACGCCTCAAGGAAATGAGACATAAACGTCCCCAATGAGGGACTATAATTATGTCGACTGAGTGTATAATCACTTGTCCGTATATGCATGTGTAGCACGGACTGTACAAGTTTCCAATTCTTGGTGGTCTATTTTGAGTTGACCCGGCCAGCTTTTTCTCCGTAAGGCAGGGAGTATTAGCCTCGCCCAGACACCGTTTATGGCACTTGGCAGTCAGGGGAATTCATTAGGGCTGAGTAATGATTTGTTTAGGTCGAGTTGATCTAGGGTGAGATTCCTTAATGTGCATACAATGTATGTCACATATTTTCATGAATGTACTGTTCTACCGAATTGTCACGAAGGAGAAATATTTTTTTTAATGTAGGCTGTGAAAAATGTATAGCACAGATTTTTATGACTTATATTTGACATGGTGACCTGGAAATCCCAAGTTGTCATTCAAAGAGGTTATCATAATAACAAGGTTAACATAACAATGTTACCATGTTTATTGTCAATGCTGCATTACTTGTGCTGTTCATTATTTTATTGCCACATGGTCCTTTGACAAAGCTGTAAATTATCGTACAAGACTTCTGATTTGGGATACAAAATACAAGCAATTACATTGTGTCAATGTGTGTTGTCATGGTGCCTGAGAGGGTTGTATAGGTCTTTCACCATGCAACATTATGATAATGGTAGATACAAAAATGTGTCTGTAAAGGCTGTAATAATTATGTGTCCAGATCCTTGTTTGAATGTGGTTAGGTATCAGACATGACACCTACAAGAAAACTAGCAATTTTGTCTCAAGAGTCGTGGGGGGGGATCTGATTATAAGGTCTAGGGTGAGACAACACATGTACTAACATGTGATTTCATTATCATATTTGTAGTTCACCCAGCTGTTTTAGGTAGGCACTAGTATGTTAGTACGGTCTGGTTAACAGTAATTGGACCGGAATGTGGTAACACAGCTTTATCTTTCTACCTCAGTGGTTTGTAAAGCTGCTCACTTTGGTAAAGAAATGAAGCATACCAAGACTACATGTACAAGTATTTGTTCGTGGTGCAGTTAAGAAATATATCTTTCTTGTGTCAAAATGAGGGTCTGACAATTTTATGAAAAAGTTAACGAACACAGAGATTTTTGCACCATCCTGTATCCCTTTATTTTGAAAATATATTGCTAACCACACAAATGTCAAAACAAATTGGCCATGATTTAAGATTTACATATTCTATTTGAAACATAGGGTAGCAAATCACTTCAAATAGAACAGATGTTAGTGTTCCAGGGTATTATCTCTTTGATGACACTGATGCTGTGTCACGCATGTTAAGTGATCTCTTAGTTTTACACCCTGTGAATATCTGAAATTGTAGGTGAAGACTTGCATGAAGACAATATACAAAAAATTAGTTGTCGAACAATTACACCCAAACTGTCCTCTGCAATAGCCTCAAAACGATAGAGGATACAAACCATTTATTATAATAAAAACCATTTATCATTATTAGTATTATTTATTATGATATTACTATGGAAAACCAATTGCTGATCTTGACCATGTACATGTATATTGTTATCATAATGTCAATGAGAGTTTGTGGACTGTAAACTCACTACAAACTATAAAAAAATTAAGTAACCATTATATACTAGTTTATACAATGAAAATTGCAATTACAATTGGTCTAGGTCTTTATCATGCCAATATTGCTACGTTACATTTCAATTCCTAACTTTCTACAGCCTGAAAAAGTACAATGTTCGCATATTTTTACCTGTAATCTTAATTAAGAATCTGTCCTCACAGTTGCAGTATTTCAAACCATGCTAATTGTAAAGTCAAAGTTTCTCTCAAACGTGGCAGTACTACTTATATAACAGTTATCCTTATCAGCTGATGATGTGTGGAGAAGAAACAGGTAAATAGAAGTCCCTGGGGAACACCCTTACAGACGACATGCAGGGTACATGTGACTATCACGTGTACTCTGTCACTGAACTGAGCATCGTTTACTTGTCGGTCAAAGGTCATCAACTGGAAACTAGTCTCCCAGAAGGTGACTAAATCTTCAATTTGTTTCTTGCTTTGAAATGAAACGAAAAGGTGGGAATTCAATACAGAGGTTGTGAACAATATCCTAGTCATTAAAAAAGATTTGATATTTGATTATTACATTTTCATATGTGCAGGTAAGAAAACCTCTGAATATTCCTTTGCATATGTTACTGAAAAGAAAACACAAATTCTATACCTGATGAAATACTGTATAGGACATTTCTACGTAAATATCTGAAAGATAGGTGTAGACTCATGATTGTCCACTTGCCGTGTTAGCATATTAAGGGCAGCCTGACCTTTAATAGGACATCGACCCCCTAAATGACCTTGAAAAGGTGGCAAGTGACCTTGCTGTGGTGTCACATGACCAAAAAACGGATGCTTGATACTAGATAGGGATGTATAAAGTCAGTACATATGTTTTCAGACACATATTAAAAGTGAACAGATTATGCCATCTATTGCTTATAATTCACGGGTTTATAAAGTCCACATGTATATGGTCTTCCTCTAGGTCAATGTTTCATCACACGTGGGGCTAAAACGGGGTCGGTTATGCAAATACCTGAGAAAGTAGGTCAGGGTGAACGTGCCAGACTCAGACAGGCGAGACAAGAGAGGGGTGGGTCGGCTGTAGATGTCTTCTCTTTTCTGTTCTGGTCGGAAATGAAATTCCAACTAAAGGATTCTGCTAGAACAATGGGTAGGTAGTTATTTGCAGCAAATATCTATGCCCTTTTCTTGTGTTTATATGATATGATAATTGATATATGGTGGAATGTGACATAGTGTCTTCGTGTTTTTGTAATAGGGTATATGATATACAAAATGTACTTGAATGATACTTAGGGTTTGTTTCAGTATTTCAAGCTCTGAAAGATATTCACATTGTTATGTATAAACAGACAACTTGAATTTGTAAGATTTTCTCAGGTTTTGTAATACATGTATTGGAATACTGTAATGTGGTAGCCAAAAAGGGTGTGGTGTGTACTTGCCACATGTACTTGAACACTCCTGTAGCTACTGTACATACATGTGCATATACTGAGCATTTCCATGACTCCCCATGAGTATTTTATGTTCTTTACATACATATACATGTATGTCTGGACTCGTAGTTTTACTATAATTCAGGTAAACTTGATTTTATCTTGATTTTATTCTTAATCTGCTAGCGGTATGTATAATCAATGATGTTTTCTAACAATAGAGATGATATGCACATGAATAATATATATATGCCAGGCGATATGTTTGGGAATGTGATGACATTGGATTCCTGTTTCCAATTTTTCAATTCAAGCAGCGATCGACTTGATTTGATCAGGACATACACAGAACTTAGTTTTTGGAATTCCTCTTCTAACATTTTTTCTTTCAAATTTTAGATTAATAATTGACATTTCAAAAGATCCACACTATTGTACAACATAGTACTACTGGTAGTGCCATACTGTCATTTTTACACTGCCATCACAGGGCTCAAAATACTGGGTGCATGTTCACCTTAGTGCACGCAAATTTGGAGCTGTGCACCCAATTTTTTTCTGTGGGTGCACCAGTGCACCCAAATATTTTTGTTGGTTGAAGATGTCAAATGTATAGCAGTATACAGCATCCAAGTGGCCACAAGAACAAAATTAGTTTTTGCTGATATTCTACTTATTTTATCTTATATAGTGCCCCCAAGAAAATTTTTGTGCACCCATTTTTTTTAGGTTGGGTGCACCAGTGCACCTATTCCCAAAAATGAATTTCGAGGCCTGATACACATGCTTTCCGGCCAGACCATTTATGTTTCTGTTCTGTATTCGCCCCGCATCAATAAAATTCTATTGATCTAGGCTGCATTTAAAATGTCAGCTGAAGCTGCTGTCTAGAATATATCCCAAGACAGTGGTGATAAGTGATTTTTTGCTGATGTCTGGTATAGAAGGTCAACGACCTGTAAGGGATGAATTATTAAAAGGATAACATTATGTTAGATGACAATGATTTCTAAGTCAGCATATAGCCTTTGACATTGTCTTATATATTAGAGGGCCATTTTTGAAATATCTCTTCTTTTTTATTGTAACTCTTATGCAATGGAGCAAAACCATTTATTTATTACACCTTTTCAAAACAACATAGAATTTTTTTTTACATCTTACTTGATTGCGAGATTGTTAAATTTCTGTATTTGGTCATACTAGACATACAATGTATATATCTACATTAGTCTATATGATATTTCACAGACTGTAATGTATATCAAACTTGTACTTAGATTAGATTAGATTTAGGTATATCATCCTAAGTGCATTTCTCAGATGTTTTTAAAAGCACCAAAGTGCAATTCCTGCCTGACTATAACATTACCCTCTCATCACTGTCATACCATCAGTCTGCTAATGCATCAGTGATGCAGGAAAGATACAGTGCCAGGTTCCCCAGCTGCCCATGTGTTACCATTATTTTGTCATCAGGAATAATTGGCATGTTATTGTCACGGGCTTGGACTAGGTCTGGTCTAGAATAAAAAATACCTTGGTTGCTATAATATTAATTCCCTGATGCTTGTACATTTGCAGCTTTTACACTATGAATATTGATTGCCCACCTTTTGGTATAAAGTTTCCTTAATGTGCAATGCTTCAAATTTTTCCTATCCTCTATAGTATAACTTATAAGTTTGTATATTTAGCTTTGTGTCAATTATCAGATAGTGGAATATGGGATCTGGTTATCATGAGGTCTGACCTGTAGGCATGCTCCCTATAGCTAATAAGAAATATTTGACTTCTGAAAATGTTCTTCTGAAAATCACAATATATATGTTATACAAGTAAACACAACTATGTTGTGTGTGTACTATTTAAAATGTCACTTTAAGGCAAAGTCTTGAAACCTTTGCTGCTCTGTTTGTATTTCAGATAAAGAAGCATTTGTGACATTGGTGACGAGTGACAGTTACTCGTTTGGTGCGCTGGTGTTGGGTCAGTCGCTCCGAGCCGTGCACACCACCCGTAAACTGGCCATCCTGGTCACACCACAGGTCTCCGACAATGTCAGGTAAGGTTGATTGATTGATTGACTTGATTGATTTATTGAAATTGCAACAGTGCAATACATGTGGGGCACAGGCAGCTTTTGCTGGTGACATGTCCCACACATAAAAACAAGTACAGGACAGACAATACTCATTTTCACTTGAGTTAAGTGTGGAAAGGGCACAAGATTGGTAGCTTGTCTGGACTCGAACCTGGGACCTCTTGGTTCCGAGTTGAGCACTCTGCCGTTACGCCACACAACCGCACCAGGTTGGACACCACTGTTCAGCACTTATCTCCAGTGGCATGAAATGGCCAAGTGGCTTTAAAGTTTAAGGCCAGCGGACACGAGATCAAGAGGTTGCTGGTTCCATTCCTTGCATTCCTGGCTAGACGTTACATCCTTGGAAAAGGCACTTCACATGTCTTGCCTCACTCCACCCAGGTGTAAAATGGGCACATGACTTATAATTAGGTTGGGGAGGTAAAAGGTGTTGGGAGGAGAAGGATGGGCTCTGCCTTCCAATACTGTTCTCTAGACACAGTGGATTAACAACCCACTGCCCTTACAGGCTATGGGACTACCTTTACCTGTTTTACCTACTTAACACTTTTTCTAGTGTGATACAACAACCTTTAACTAGTATCGAGATTTAAACAAGCTACTAAAGAAGGCCACCTGTCCAAGAGGACCACATTTAATGTTTGTCCCCTGGGTGGCCTTCTTGGACAGGTTTGACTGTATTTGATACTATTTAAGATACACCTCCATTTCCCCCCAGGGAACAGTTGGGTAAGGTGTATGATGATGTGCACCTAGTGGATGTGGTGGACAGTGGAGACACAGAGAAGCTGGCCCTCCTGTCCAGGCCAGAACTGGGCATCACCTTCACCAAACTGCACTGCTGGAGACTCACCAACTACACCAAGGCAGTCTTCCTGGATGCTGACACTTTGGTAGGTCCCAGTGGTATGGTCTGTCTCTGAATCACTTTGGCAGAACGTCTCATATAAGGTCGTACTCGCTCATATAAGGTTAACACTCAGTTTGTAGTTTCCAAATGTTATGTCGGAAAAAACAGGCAAAATTCTGATGCAACGTTGACCAAAAATCCAACGAAAACTGTGAAAAATGGGATTTGTGCAGTACATTCTACCGACGTGCTCCTTTCTGATAATGTGTAAGTAAACATATACACCATAATGATTATGATTCAAAGTACCTTAGTCTGATCCGTGTTCATGCTTGTCAAAACTCACAGATATACATGTAGATAATGGTCACTATCTCCAGTTGGTGTAACTCCATATATCCTTCTATCTTGATAGAACAGTGTTGCACAAAGTGCTATGTTCTGGAAATACTACATACAAATGCTCTGTGCACCCAAAATTGGAGCTGTGCAACTAAGGTTTGACTGTGGCTATGCCAGTGCACCTAGATATTTGTGTAGAGTTATGCAGGTAAAGGTACATAGTATATAATATATATTCTTAAAATTACGTTTTTAGAAAAAAATAAGAAAACCTCACTATTATTGTATTTTTTGTTTAGAATTTTGAAATATGCTGCAGAAGTTTAGTGTATGTTGTGCAACCAATTTTTTTCTGTGCACCTATTCCCAAAAATGAATTTTTAACCCTAGGTTATATTACCAGTTTGAAAATGAAAATGACAGTGTTACACAATGTAGAATGTGAGCTTAAACATACTACATTTGTATCTTTAAATCTTTGTTACTTGCTATGAATTTTGACGCATTTTCTCCCCCCACATGCAGGTTCTGAGGAACGTTGACGACCTGTTTGATAAGGAGGAGTTATCGGCCGTGCCTGATATCGGCTGGCCTGACTGTTTCAACTCCGGCGTGTTTGTGTTCCGACCGTCAGAGGACACCTACCAGGCACTGCTGCAGTGTGCCAAGACTGCCGGCAGCTTCGATGGTGAGATTAGTAGTAGTAGTAATAAAAAGTAACTTACAGTAGGTGTCATTGGAAGACAGAAGAAAAATGTCCAGACTATGCATGATGTACAAAATGACTAATAAACTGGTAGACGTACCTAATACCAGCCCAGAAAAGAACAAGAAATAGCCATGCCTTCAAGTGCCAAAGTTATCAACCAAGGATGGAGGGAGGTGTTCAAGAATTCATTCTTTCTCAGAACTATTGCAGAGTGGAACTTGCTGTCACCAAGTACAGTAGGGGCATTGTCAATAGATAGCTTTAAACAGTGCATGTTGCATGTTGAAAAAAAAGTTCTGGGAGAATGTTGAATGCTGTTTACTTTCTTTCAGGAGGAGACCAGGGTCTGTTGAATACCTTTTTCAGTGACTGGGGAACTAAAGACATCTCTCGCCACTTGTCCTTCCTATACAACATGACATCTACTATACACTACTCCTACCTACCTGCCTTTAATAGGTAAAACACCATACAATTATGAAACCTTGTGGTTTTGTCTTAGTTAGAAAAATAGATTTGAATGAGTAGTTTTTTAACGAGCTATATACAATGTATATAGAAGTGTTAATTTTCTATTGCATGATTTTGTTCCAATTTCATGGTTGATCATGTGTAAGACGATCTTGCAATCTCCTGGTAACTTTGTTGCTGAATGAAAACATATTTTACGTTGCAATACTGTGTCACGGAAGATGAAAATGAATAAATGCAATAGACACCACTGGAGTTCAAGAGGTCAGACACAGCAAATGGTTTGACCAGAAGTCAGCAGTAATTAGAGGTCGACATGGGAGAATTCAGGAAGAAAATAATTGCATGAGGGACCCTCTAGTACTTCTAGTCTGAAATCTCCAGTTTTTTTATTATGTTTACCAAAGGAAAACATATTGTTTTTGCTCAGTTTCCTCTTCTCCAAACACATAAGGTCAATAACCTGAGCCAGACGTCTGTTACCATGGTAATGTGTTGGGTTACATCATGTTGCAATTTCATAGCAGGAGGGATTTAGACTCCTGTCACCATATATATGAATGTGTTTGAATAAGAATTAACAATTTACTTTGCAAATGTTACCTTTCTAGTTCTAAGGATGTTTTTATTTCCTGTCTTAGATTTGGAGGTGATGTGAAAATAGTGCATTTCATCGGCCCCATCAAGCCCTGGCACCACCAGTATGATACAAAGTCTGGGACGGTGAAGCCCCACCCTAACCAGGACTCCTCCCTCCCCCCACACCACATGGACTTTCTCCAGGCATGGTGGGACGTATTCATGAACAGGGTCAAACCATTGCTGGAGGGGCAGGGGCAGGTTGGTCTCTAATTTTTTTTTTAATTACTACTTTCAGGTCTGATGTATGCTATTGCCTTGCGTATATTCCTGCATATGCAGTTATGTATCATCTACCAAATATCAGTGAATTTGTATGTACATGTACATGGGAACCAAACTGTTCTTAACTCATTTTGCATTATACAAATGCTTCTAAACATGTGTAAATTGTGTCTTTCAAACAACACTATCATTAATACATACCAGCATGTGATGGCATGTATATCCTTTCACAATATACCAGTATATAATGTTGTAGCATACAAAATCATGTAATTTGATGCCTAGATACTTAATTTCTTCAAATTAATGCATCAATGTATAATACAGTAATGTATCATACTCACAGTTAAATGTCTATGATTTCGGATACAAAAAAAACCCCTCACTTCTTGCAAGTATGTATAAGGTTAAACATTTTCAAATCACCATGGTAATCATGTCCCCCTAACATGTATAAAGCACAGGTAAAATATAGGTGTAACCTGAGATCCTTTCTCCATTAACCAACCACCTGTCATGTCCACTGTCCAGCTCCTCTCTGGAAACCATCCGGGCGGCACCCAGGTTTGTAACTCCGTACCGTCACATAGCTTCACTAACAACTGTTTCTATACTAACATTTTTACATCTATGTAACACTGGTGGGAATCTGGAACAATGGTTGCAATTTGAAAATCTGATCAGCTTTAGATCTGAAGATTCCTATTTTTTGAAATTATGTGAAATTATTTCGCAGGAAATTGTTACAGAAGTATTGTTTTGGGTGGCTGATTGAGTTGTGCGTTTGTGTGTCTGTTCATCTGGACAAAGAAGGTTGACAGCACATGGGTGAAATAAGATTGGCAGGCAGGAGTTCAAAAAGTCAGACACAGAAAGTACTGTAACTTGAAGGTGACAAAAAACTAAAAGATACTTCCAGAAAGTTTGAAATATCAAGACAAAAGTTTATTTGATTTTCCAATTCTTATTGTCTTAGGCCAGTGCTATATGGAAAGTTAAAGAATTTGTTACAGTTTCAAACATCTTAAAACTTTGTGTGCTGTGAGTCAGTCTAACTTGTATCCTTTCTGACTGGTTTTTAAAGCATCAGTTTTCAGGGCTCGAAATAGCATCTGTATAATATACACCTCAGATTGGTGCAGGTAACATAGGAGTTGTGCAGCTATTTCTGTCTACCTGCACCTAACCTCTAACAACCAGAGGGTGTAAAAATATACATGGGAGGTATATTTGACATGTACGCTATCCAAGGGTCTATTTTTTTTATAAAAGCACTGTTGAGTGGTAACAGTTCTTGCACCAGTTCCTGCAATAATATTTCGAGCCCTGAACATGGTTTGATGCTAGCAGACTTATATAGTTGTAGTCCCATGATTTACTTGCTAAAATATGTTTGATTACTAAAATATTAATCTGCCAAGGGTCTAATTAAGTGACAGTGACTTCATCACTGAGACCAGAATGAAATTTCTTCCCTTTTATTTTTTACTTCAATCTTTTTTTTCCAAGTGCTTCATTATGAATATTTTTTTTCAATGGCAATCTGCGCATCTTTCATAATTCAGCTTTGCAGTGCCTCTACGTTGGGATGCTGTGTGCTGTGCTCACTAATTACGGCTTAATTAACATTCATTTGTACAAGTTCTGCTGCAATGGCGCAAAGCTATTTTAGCTTCATTTGAATACATTATTATTAATCATATCTTGATGCTTCCTTGTGGATATTTGATTTCACCCGCTCCCAATAATTTTTGCAGGTGAGAGAGTTTACTAAAGATTGTTACCAGCATGTACATGTACATGTATGTCCCCATAGATAGTTTTGGTGTTGTAGGTAATGTAGTATCAGGTATTTGTTTATCTTCTTCAAAGTTTCTGAAGAAGTAGAAGAAACCTCTGGTTTGATTTTAGACTTAGCCTTCAATGTTTATGCTTCTGAAAACATTTCGCACTACATTTACATTATACATGTATATGAGGCTAATTGCATTCATGATAAAAATGACATTCATAACAGATCATTATAAGTAACTTCTTCCTGTTGTCTTTCCCTAAATTTGCATGATTTTTGTATAATATTATTCAGTAAACATGCTTTTTGGCCTTAATGACAGATATATTGGACATGCTCACATCTGTCACACCGTGTACATAGTGTGTTTGCTTGGACTTTGCGTAGGATAGAGTACCGGATAGGATTCCGCTGCCGCAAAGTCCACGCTTTCCACCATGGCACCCGCCAACCCCTCCCACAGAACATTTCACCCCAATGCATGATGGGAAGGAGGACGAGGGTAGGGACTTTGACCCCCCTCCCCCACAGTCACCCCACTACTGGCCACAGGAGCATCACGATAGCCCAGATTCTGGAGTAAAGGATGATGAGGATGTTGATGAGATAGAAGAGCCAGAGCACCATGGGGATGAATTTGAGGAGGATCATGGGATAGAAGAACCAGAGGATCATGGGAATGAATTTAAGGAGGATCATGGGATAGAAGAGCCATTGAAGCATCATGGGAATGAGTATGAGGACCTGTCCCTGTCAGAGTGTTTGTCAGAATCTGTGGGTGACGATGATGTGAGCTCAGAGTCCCCGTCGACGTTGTGTGAAACGCCCGTAGACACGTCGGGAGTGTCTTCCCTCGGGGATGCCGCAGAGGTACTGCGTAGAAACTCTGACACGCTGCAGCAGCTACATGTACCCGCTTTGCTGCCCCCCCCCCACCTGTTCCAGCTTTGCGACTTTGTGCCGCTTTGCACTGTTCATTCTCTCAAGATTTTGTTGTTCTCTTGACAGTATATAAAATGTTCAGTTGTGTTTGGTAGAGAAGGGATCTATATTCACTAAACCTCAGACTGTCCAAGAACTTTTTTATGTCAGCCGGGTGACAATTTCTTTTGATGTTTTTCTTTGTTTTTGTTTATGGGGGTGGGGCAATGGTTTTCCATGAAGAGGTGAATCTTTGACAGTTCTGAAACCATCTATATGTATGGATGCCTTATCTACATATTAAATGAAGTATCCTTTGACCTTGTTGTATATATGTAGAGTGTAGGGTTATATGTGTTTTCATATAGACAATGTGAAATGTTCCCCTGTCATGATCATACACCAGCTTTGCTGCTTGCTGCAGACTTCACTCATATCACAGGACAACTCTGTGCCATTCCATTGAAAACCTCTACATGTACATGGCATTGTGTATAGCTCTTTGATTTTAAATTAGTCTGGAGTGTAGATGTGCTAGATGCTGTCATAACACCTAAACATTAAAACAAAAGAAAACAAAACAAAAGAAAACAAAACATGATTTGTAATGTTTTTCATCTGACTAGTACACATGTACAGTTCGATACCAATTAAATCTGTTTCTAGCTTGCTTTTTATCACATTTAAAAAGAATGTATGCTTTAATCTCTAACTTTTTTTCTTCAACAAGTACATGTAGCTACATTTGTACTGAAATAAAGATAATTATTCTAAAATCAATACTTTTGATTCTAGATTTTAAATGTCTTTTAAGTCACTGTAAATCATAAGTAGTTTTTATGGGCTAATGATTTTTGTTTGAGTTCTTGAATTGAAAAATCAGGCCATGTTATGACAGCATCCAACTAAGCCCAATATATTCTGACCATTTCACAGTGTAGTTAGTCCATGAGTATTAAAAATTGGTGTTCTTGCAACTTACATTGTAGAAGACCACACACTTAAAAGTTCATAATCATAATAGCAGAATGCATTGTTTTGTGACAGTTTAATTCTCCTAACATTTTTAAGATTCAGAAAAATGTGTTTGACCAGCCATGGCATGTTGCATTGAGCTTTAATAGCAATTTGTTTTCGTTCCTTGAACAAACTATTTTTGACAAAGACACCTCAACTTGCTTTTGTGATCCTAATTTTGTCTGAGAGGATTGTTGCAGGCTTTTTTTGACATTGACTTTTTTTCTTGAAGACATTTTTTTGTCAGGAGTGTGGTCTTTTACATTTGCATGATTTAAAACTGTTGATTATCATTGTCAAAGTTGTTCCTGGGCAAGCTGCATTCCCCAAATATCCATTATTGTCACAGATCATTGCTGCAAAATCAAGTGTCACAAACAGAATTCAGAATTTGTAAGTCATGTATACTGATCCATGGTGCAGTACAACTTTTTTCACCTCTCACAAACTGCATTTTGCACTTTTTTCCTGGTTACTGTCTTTTTGACTTAAAAAAGATAAAAGAAAGCCAAGAAAGATGGAACTACACTGATGGTCTTATAAAGTGGCTGATATTTACAGCATAATACTCATGATGCTGGGTCATACATATTTGGATCTAGCTGCCCTTATTTGGTGCCTATACCAAATATGGATCTAGACGCCCTTATTTGGTGTGTACCTGTGATATGTGCGGAGACTCTGGAGTTTGCTGCAGGCAGGAACAGTTTGACCTGCTGACCTTTGAACTCTGACCTCGGCACTCAGCCAATATTCTGTCGTCATTCTACATATTACCCACATGCAGCATCTACTGAAGCTCCTTGTGCAAGCAAAGCATAATACATGTACTTGTAGCATGCTGTTGCAAGTCAGCGCTCTTGCCCAAAATTGGCTTCATTTAGCATATAACATTACCATCAAAAATCAAAGTCAAAGTTTAATTTTCTGATAATATGACGATAGTCATGATACTGAAATATTCAGTCCTGATGTGATTTTCTGAAAAATAAAAAAAAACACTGATTTATGAAAAACTTTAACTGAAAAACACTGATTTGTCCAGGTCAAATGTCAAAGTTTGGCATAGATAGAAGAGACAGGAGAGCCCATAGGTCAAATGTCAGGTCAAAGGTGATGCTAATTCTTGACCTTCAAACTTTGTAGGACATCACCGGACAGCTGGCGCAGCTCCAGGTGCAGGGCGCGAACCCGCCGGCGATCTACGTGTCGTCCGACGACCACCGCCGGGCCTGGGAGCGCGGCGAGATCGACTACACCGGTTTGGACCGCTTCGAAAACATCCAGAAGAAACTGGACGCTCAAATCAAGAGTTAGGTTTATATTTCTACCACAGGACGTCCCCCGTGAAGCAACAACATAGTTCAAACAAAGAAAAATTGCCCTGAAATTGCAATAAAAAAAGATAGTTTCTTATAAAAGCTAAATCCTTATAACAAATGGTGAATATGGTATTGGAGAAAAATATTGCCCTACCTTTGAAATTCTTCTGGAACTATCATCTTATTGAAATCCTCTGAAGAGAGTTTTTTTGTACTTCCTGAAGAGAAATCTTTGTCAATGCAACAATAGACCAATCCTGACTGCCCACCAAAGTTAGTACTCTATAGGACAGTGGTCTACATCTGTCACATTTTTGCATTTGTACTACTAGTATTTGTTATGCATTTGTATGTTTCGATGAGGTGGGCTGTGGAATTGGTCTATGTGGTACTTTCTTCGAAGGAACAACTGTCTAAATTTAATCCTTCAACAACCCATCCTGAACACTACTTTCACAAAAGAGCTTAAATTCCCTTTGACTTTCCTCAGCAGCCTCTATTTATATGCTCTAAATCCACTCAACAGAAAACTTGAGAATCGTCAAATACGGTTAAACATTGATCAGTCATCTCAATGAGGTTAAGCTTTGTGTTGAAAGCCGATTACCATCCAAGTATTTCATCTCAACACTCAGGTTTTTTTTCTTTCCTACACAACTTTGCGGAGAAGATTTGAGTACGGTGCTTCAGCGTGACATTCAACATCAGGACTTTTTATACAGATGATCCACTGGTGCTCATGATCGATCAGTAGAATGTTACACATTGTGCAACTGTAACAAGGCAATCAGAGATGGCACACTAGAACAGCAGTATAGTTCAAGTCGTAGAATACTTCTCTTCCTGGGGGTAAAGTATGTGTAGATTTAGTGCTACAGTTAGACTTCTGAACTAATGCTGTTGATGCATACACTGCAACTGCCAGTATTCTTTACTCAATTAGCTATGTTTCGTCATATATATGTAGGGTATTAAGAATGAAACAACTGGCCAGTCACTACAAGTACAGTACTTCTCCCACCACATAAATTCAATACAACTTCTTATCCATGCTGTTTTAATTTTCACCGAAGGAAGCACACCCATACAAGAAAGGTTTTTTCAAAAAGCTTCAGTCCAAGGAGGAAAAATGAAAGATTTAAACTTTTCCCAGTATAAATATTCTTTATAAATCTTCCCTGCCTCCTACATTAAATAATTGACATTATTATGTAAAATCAAATTTTATCAAATTTCACTCCCTTTATCATTGTTTGAAAGTTGAATATGTGAAATGATAATTAGCCTCCTGTATGAGAGATAATATTTACAAGTGCATATGTCAATTGATTCTAATTTTTCCCTTTAAACAGAAGGGCTCTTCCTACAATGCATTTATTTGTCAATGAAAACTATAAGATTGAATCCAGTATTTTTTGCTCTATTTGAGAAACAAGCAACATACAACTTTACAAACATGTTTATGCCTTAAGCTCTTGGGCAAGCAAGGACTAAAATGCAACACCTGAACAATTAAGTATAAGAAATGAAACCTTAACAAATACATTGAAAAGGCAAATCAAGATATTATCTTTAAAAGCTATCACGTTAATTGCTTAATTCTGTAGGTGGAATTATCAATATATGGAGGATTATCAGTGTTGATAAATAGGTAGGTTGTAAAGTGATAATTCTTATGTATTCTTATCATATATGTATAATCAATGAATTGAATATTTGTGAGATTATAGGTGCATGTAGAGCATCTCCACAGCTTCGTTTGCTGCTAATTATATTGTATTTGTCATGCATTTTGTAGAATTATGCAAGCTCCTAAATTCTATGTTAACTTCTATCAATGATTACAGAATTTCAATGCAATTTTTTATGCACTACAGACCTACATATTATAGTTGTACCAATTTTTATTTTATTCATTACTTATTAATCCAAAGACTGAGCAGAGCCATAGTTAGTCAAGGACATTATTTACTATAACTTTTCTAATCAAGGTTTCTTACAAGTAAAGCACACTTTACAAGTAAAGCACACTTTTTCATACTGCACAAATTCTCTTCTATACAATTAAAAACATTAAAACCATTGCACAGAAGCTGAAATTGTTTGATTTTGTTGACTGAAAATGCTTTGTTAGCACTAGACAATTCTGAAAAAGTTGATGGCAAAAGCTTGAACAACTATTTAGAATGGAATGGGAAAGAATCTATGGTTGGTGGTCTTCTAGAGAAAACATTTCTATGTAAATCAAATACTGCCTTGCTTTAGTATGGTCATGAGGAAAGTGTATTGTATTAGATATATGGGTGACTTTGAGTTGATGCCGTAAATGAAATAGACTGAGGGAAGCCTAACACATTTGACTGAAACGTAATCTTGTTTTTTGGTTCATAGTTGAGGTTCCATTTTCAGTTTTTTTCTCCTATTCAAAACAGTGACAAATTGTGGTCAATGAATTCCACTTACTGAATGCTTTGGGACAAAGTTTGTTTTACATATGTCTGAAAATGGAACTTACACTGCAACAGGTACATCAGAAGGAAAACATTTTTTTGTATAAATGACTGTGAACTTATGCAAAACATGTTGGCAGGTCAAATCAAGCTAGTAATCAAACTCTACTTACTTTGCAATGTAAACTAGGCTGTTGCAAAACCACAACAAAATCTGACAACTGAGAAGAGTTACTGTGTAACATAGCTAGAACTGAAGCTTATGTTCAAAGGATGTAGTTTGTTGGAACTACCACTGCATAGCTACCAGATGTGTATTTATACTAGGAGCGATTTGTTTGAGGCTGAATCTGTGGCAAAATGTATTCAATGATTGCATTAAATGATTCGCAATGGAAGAGATGTGATCTAAATGGTGGTGTGTATTTGTCCATTTCTACCTTTCTTACAAATGATATTAGTGTATGATCAAAGTTATGCAATCCACACTTCACAACTTCTTGTTATTAGCCCTGTCCTTGGTGCTGAAAAAGAATCAGTTGATCGATTTCAGTTAATCCTGATATATGTTGGGCTAGTTTACTACATTTTGTCATTTGTCATATGGTTTTAGTCTATTTGTTGTTACATTGCATTATCCCTGTCCTTGGTGCTGAACAAGAATCATACAACAATTGTAGAAGAGATACTTGCAGTATATAAATCAATATCTAAAGGTCACACATTGGACATGTAGTCTTTTTGCCCTTACACTACAGGGTATCAACTCTGTCCTTGGTGCTGAACAAGAATTCAATTCTGGCATGTACAATTCGTAGTGCTACAGAATAGATTGTATTTTTCAAATGAATGAACATCTGAGGATCACATATTTTCCATTGTCCGTATGCTTTAGTATATTTGCCATAATCACAAGCATTCCCCGCCCTTGGTGCTGAAAAAATAATCAAAATGATTTTAGACCTTTGCGGACAAAAGTCTGAACGCTGATTCAGTAAATGCCAAGTTTGAGCCATGCGGTAAACACACATGCAGCTAGTGCCATGACAGGATAGTACAGGGTGATGGTAGTCCCAGCCGAAACCGGGCCCTCCTCTGAACTCTTTGTTGAAACCAGCGGTTTTTGTGTCGTTTGCCTCCCTGTTTCGGTCGGGGCGTTTATTTGAACGCTAGTTGTACGAGTTCCCGGGGTTGTATGTTCATTGGTTTGGGGTTCGGGTGAAGTCGGGTCTCTTGTAAACACTGAGTCGGTTGTCGGTTGTTTCGTGGACGATTCCACTCCGTCGGTGGGAGGGGTGGTTGGTGTGGAGGATGTGTGAGGCTGGGTCGTTACGTGTGAGTCAGTGGTGGCGACATCTACCGAATGGGTTGTGAATTGCAGGGTCGTTGGCTGCAAGTCAGGGCTGGTTGTACGTTGGTTCAAGTCTGGCGTTGTCACAGCGTGTGTAGTGTGAACAGCGTTTGGCATAGATGAGTGTGATATGTGGGTTGTAGAGGTGTCTGATGGATCAAGCGATGTTTGCCCAGGCTCAGAGATGGCTGTATATTGGTTGAAGTCGGGTGTTGTCACTGCCTGAGTACCATATGTACTAGATGATTCAGGGTTAGTTGTATGTTGGTTGTAGTCTGGCGTTGTGACTGGGTCCGTAGCAAGGATGGTCGGTGTAGCCGAGATTAAAATGTGGGTAGTAGAGCTGCTGATATTCATGAAGGCTTCGGTTGTTTGTTCAGTCAATCCAGGGATGGTAGTACTGGTATCTGTATGTTGGTCAAAGTCGACCGTTGTCACTGGCTGCGTTGTAAAAAATGGCGTACTCGCGCCGTCATCTGTAGTGTTACAACTGTTCGGTCCGCCAGGCGTGGGGAGGGCTACGGAGAACTGGGATGAAGCGAAGGCGTCGTTCCCGCCACATCTGCTGACGGACTCGTCCTCTGCGTGCGCGGTCTCGTCCTCGTGAACCACGCCCTGTCCCGGCGTCAGCACGGCCGTCAGACCAGAGGCAGAGTCACCCGCATCCCTACAGGAAAAACAGTAAGTAGCTCTTTTACATCGGGATAGACGTATCACTGCACAAAAACCATGCTCACCAATGGTGAGGCTAAAATGAGTATTCGCTAGAGTTGTTCACCAATGTGTTTTGTACTTTTTTTTTATGTCGTTCAGTAAAAAAAATCCATTCTTTAAGCACACCTTGTAAATTAAAGCACGCGTATACGCTCCGTTTCTTCCCTCGGGTGTACTTATACGCATGCTTTAAGGTCTGCTTTAAGATAAGATTTTGTGCAGTGTACTTAAATGTACTTAATGATCGTCATTAGTATCACTATACAGTTTTTACTTTTTCACTTGAAGATAGGCCTTGCGCCTGAATTACTTGATTACCTTGCTATTGTTTTAAGTATTTGAAACAACACTGTAACAAACTTACTAGGTGAGGGATTTCTTTGTGTTGGATCAAAAGTTTTAACTTTTAACATGTAACTACCAACACAGATGAACTTTGATGAAACTTACTTTGAGTACACAATGGCGTCCATGAGCCCATCGGCGGTGACAGCCATGCCCACGGCATAGTCGGACGGACTGCCGTAGTACAGCGCCACGGCATCGGGACCGTTCTGCAGGAGGTTCCTCTCGGCGGGAAGCACGAAGTCCGCCGAAGGCACGACGTTCGCCGATCCGATGACGAAGTACCCACGAAAGGTCACGGACATTCCCGAGAGGTGGATGACGTCATAGGCGGTGTTTCCCGACGCGCCGTTGAAGAGAACGATGGTGACGTCATCGAGCGCCACGGTGCGGTTCTCCAGACTGCGGAGTTCAATGAACTCTGTTTCGTCGGCGCCTGGGTCGTCGGAGTTCAGTTCGTTTATAAGAATCAAGGGGGCGCTGCTTGTGTTGGTAGACTCGGGAGAACGTGTAGACATCGAAGCGACAGTGGTGGCAACTGCTGCAAATTTAATTGAGGGGGAGTCATGTAGTCTTGAAAAAGATCTAGAAAACTTCTGACGGAAAGTGAAACACCACAATTAATGATTTGCAAAAATAGTACATCTTAATTATCTTAGTACACACTCAAGAGATGGACGGATTCAAGTTCACCTACATTACTTGAGCTTAACTATGTGTGACGATGAAAGTCAAATGTACAATGCGAAAGAGTCAATGACCGGTAGGATGACTCTTAAGGTTTATCTTGAGCCCCTTTTTGACACGACTGACTCTGTGGTTTGGTGCACGTGCGTCCTGAAGACATAGGTACACACACCTGTCACCTTTGGCATAAGTAAACACTCTGCTATTAGACAAGACTGGGTCATGAAGACTTTCAAGCTTATCGCGTGTGTTCCCCCACCGCACTTGACACCATGACATGCGGGGTATGTGTTCGTGTGCCCTGGAATATTTGATACACCTGTCCTCTTTAAATGGTCCAGAGACATGACACAGATGATAAGAATTTGGTCAGACTATTTCCCAACTACCAGCCAGCTATCCAACGAATCGATGTAAAATGTTTCTGAATCCTATGTTTACAGATATGTCAAGGATGTTTCCTCACAAAATGACTCAACATGTGTCTTTAGGTTTAACCCACCAAGATGGCGGACACCATAAACCAATGACCCTAACCCGATGACGCACCTGTACCATTACAGCTGTTCTCGCTGCCGGGCGTGGCGTAGGTGATGACGAACTGTGACGTCATGAGCGGCTGGGTGCCCCCGCACCTGCTGAGAGACTCGTCCCCCGTGTGGAAGTTCTCGTCCTCGTGCAGGAGGCTCTGGCCAGGCGTGAGGACACCGGTCAGCCCCGGGGCGGAGTGGCTCGCACTTCTGAAACAGACAATCCACGGCATAGGTTTGTCATTACTCTTACCTTCATCTCAGAATGAAACCATATCGTTCTTGCCCCCCATCGCCTCTTCCTCTGTTCCAAACATTTAAGGTCAATGACCTGGACCAGATGGCTGTCACCATGGTAACTGGTGCTATGGTGTCGGATTACATCATGTAGCAAGCCGGCAGGACAAGGGCTGGCCGCCATATCATGTATCAATTTGTTTAAGTAAGAATAGATAGAACAGTAGTACTTTGTCAGGCTAGACCTAGAATCGTCCAAACAAACAAACAAACAAACAAACAAACAAACCTTGAGTACACAACAGCATCCACCAGGCCATCTGCAGTCACCGCCATACCAGACGTATAGCGGGAGGGATTACCCGAGTACAGCGCTATGGCGTCTGGACCGTTTTGGAACAGATTAGAAGAGCTCGCAAGTACAAACTGTGGCGTCGGGTCAACATTTCCCGACCCTATCACGAAATACCCAAAGGCGGGAATGGACTGTCCGGTCAAACGAATGACGTCATACGCGACGTCGCCGTTTCCGTTGTAGAGAACCAGCGTGTAGGTGTCCATGGCAACGGTCTCGTTCCCAGTGTTGTGCAGTTCGATGAACTCGACGTTGTCAGTCCCAGGGTTGTCTGCGTTGATTTCGTTAATGATTAGTGCCGATGACGTCAGCTGCACCACGGCTAAGAGTATAGCCAGTTGATGCTGCATCTTTACAGTTGGCTCTTTCTATTTCATAAAAATGCTGGCATAAAAATTACTAGAACACAAAATATGAATTTACTTGGATTCATAAGAAAGACACATCATTTGTTACGGCAATATTTAGAATGATTACAGTACTGAGAAGCACAAGGGAGAAAGTCCGGTTATATGACAAACTCTTTGAAACTGCAGTAAAGTAATATCATGTGAAAAGTTGTGAGGAAGAGGAAGAGAGATCAAGTCAGACATGTTTTTTCATTCTTCTGTCAGCAGTGCCACATTTCAGTTCCCGGAATTTAATTAGGAACTGAAATTTGGCAGTTGGAATGAAAGTGTGTGTTTTAGTGCAGTTTTTAGGGCTTGGAAACCCGATTTTTCGGGTCAAGTCAATATTCTAGTCACTTCTCTACATACTGAGTTGAAACCATACTATCCCAATTTGCTACCCTCATGGAGCAACAATTCTCAAGATTCTGACGGATAATGGTTACTGGATCGAAGGGCCCTGGGCTGATTTTAGGGAACCACCCAGAAAATAAAGGACTCATCTTGGAGCTTGTTTCTGCAGTTTTAAATGTCCAAAGTATGAAATAATGATTGAAAATGTGCTAATATAATGTGAAGCAGTGTGTGTCAATATCATAAAGATTGCCTTATTCAGAATATTTCCAGTTTTGCTGCCCTGCTGAATCGTATTGGAGGCCTTTAAGGGTGACGGCCCGATTTGAAGGCTTATATACAAGTCTTCATTTCTTATCAGCTCTCTTGTTTACTGACAAAGCCACTCCCATGGGTTGGGTGCTTATACATTTATTGCAGGATATCCGTATTTGAGCAAACGTTAATTACTCGCATACTGTATGTTGTAAGATTTCGGTGTGATAACACCTTCCGGTAATAAGTCATACATCTATGAGGAAACAGTAACAGGCTCGATGTTTTGTTAAATTTAATGGCATCCAATTCTCAGATTTCAGGGCGACACTGAAACTGAAAATACTCTGAATAAGGCAATCTATATGATATTAACACATACTGTCCCATGGCAATATTAGCACATTTGAATCAGTATTTCATACTTAAGGCATTTAAACCAAGCCCCAAGATCAGTCCTTTATTTTCTGAGTGGTACCATTGAAATCAACCCAGGCCCTTTCAGTAACCGTTTTTCGTCAGAATTGTTGGCATTTTTGCTCCATGAATGTCGATATACATTGGGACAGTGTTGTTTAAACTTAGTCTGTGGCTGGAACATTGACTTTGAAAAATCTGGTTTCTAAGCCCTAAAACTGCACTGGATGCCTTTAACATGTCCTGACCAGGGATTGTTAATTCTGCTGTACTGAAACAATGTTGATATAACCTCCAGCTTCTGTTTGCACACCTCGTACACCCCCTTAGGCAAAGACAACTGCCGTTTGGGAATTATAAGATAGCTACCCACTATTTCCCAGAATAATAAGTCATATACATTCATGTTTCTTTTTTGGGTGAGATATTCCGTAACATGCTTAGCGATTATACTGTAATCCATAATCTGGGGAAAGACGTTTTGTGAGGTTTCAATGTACCACCATACGTAGAGCTTACCAAGCCTTAACATTTCTACAACTCAAGTAACTTATACAACAACATATAACCTATAGCAATAAATTATATATCTCAAAAGGACTCTGGAAAAATGTAAGTTATCCTACCTTTTTGCTTGATCAATTCTCTTTCTGAACAGCACTTATTCTGTGAGCCGCCTTTGCGTTAGGCGGCGTGGCTACTAAAACATGAGAATTGTCTTTCTCTGCAGACTATATACATATACCTGACGTCCTTACCGGCTTCCAAACGTATCAGGTTTCAACAGTTCTCTGTCTAACAGTAAATTGAACCATTGTTATCTATCTGTCAGCTTAACCATTGGGTAAATGAAAAGTGTTGTATAGGGTGGGGACATGTCATGTGGCGTTGACGTGGATGGAAAAGAGGCGTTTATGGTACATATATACTTAGTCACGGTAACGCCTAGTGAGATTGACTAGATTGGTTATGTGACTATATTTCACTTCATACCATAGGTAACTACTACTAGTGTACTGTATACTACTCCCTTCCACTCCAATCTATAGTAGCTATTTTAATTCTGCTGCGCCCAAGTTAATGTCGCAAGTTGATCAACCGTGGGGTCGTGTAGCGTAGCGGCAGAGTGCTCGACTCAGGAATCAAGAGGTCCCGGGTTCGAGTCCTGACATGTCACCGATCTTGTGCCCTTGGGAAAGGCACTTTACACGACTTTCCTCACTTCGCTCAGGTGAAAATGAGTATTGTATTGTCCCCTGGCAGTGGCATTGGTAGTGGCATTAATATAAGTTGAAAAAACTTGAGTGTGCCGTCACCACGTCTTATGATTAGATGTTGGAATATAAAAAAAAAAGTTGATCGACGCCATTTCTCGCCCTCGTTGAAACTGGGGAAAAGTTGTGAGTAAGAGACACTTCCTGAAAACAGATGCGCAAAGTCGACTGAGAAAAAACGGAACATTTACGTATGATTCAAGCTATTCGTAAATACAATGTGTCGGATTTCAGACAGTAAGATATCAGATTGGACGTTGTTGTAGTCAATCTTCCTCCCGCAGTGCCAAATTTCAGTTCCCTGGAATTTAGGAACTGAAATTCGGCATTGGGGATAAGAGGGTGGTGTCTACAGACCACTGGATAGCCAGATTGAAACAATGTATAGCCAGACTGAATAATGCTTTTCCCCTTATCTTTAAGCACTCAGTAGTGGTGCGTCGTTTTAGTGGTGCGAAACGAAAAGAGAGGTACGAAACACCACAAAAAAGCGGATGCCAGACATCTACTTTGGAGATCAGCCAGCATCAAGGAGGTTTAAAAAAAGGTTTGCCAGCATGAAAAGATTTTCCCTCCTATGCAGCGTCTTATTGGAGACTGCACATAACGGGACAAGTCCCGGATGTTTGGCACAGGAAATGTTCACGTTCCCAGGGGTCAGGAAAGTCAAGGCGGTGCCAGCCGGTTCTGTACAAACTTTCAAACACGTCACAGGAAGTCTCGTTCCCTGAAGATTTTGTAATAACAACAGTTCTCGTTTCTTAGTAGGGCACACTTGCAGCAAATTTGTGGAGCAGACCTGTGTGAGGGTGGTTGCTGAGATATTTTTCTGAGGTAAATATCTGTTTGCTAATTACACTAAGTGGTTATGTTTCTTAGTTTGGAGAGGGGGAGGGGGCACTGGCTTGCACGTGTACATGTTAGAGAGTTTGTGTGTTCAAAACAATCTGTGTCAAGAAGATTACATCGATTTATAAGATTTTGTGCGTGTGGTCTGGGTAGGTCTTGGAAAAGGGAGACACTGTTATATCTTGGTCACTACAAGTAATTGTGTATTACATGTATTTCGGACGACGTACCCTATATACTTGGACTTTACTCCACAGTGTATGAGTCTACTCTAGGGCAACGTGGTGAGGTGATTACGTTATCAACACAGCAGGGGCACGACGCAGGCGTGTGTAGGGCGTGTACGTGACGTCACGTGGTTTGTGTACAGTACATGACATATTAAAGCAAAGATGTGGTATCATACAAAATGTATTTAGTGACAGAGTGATGCTATCATTCTGTGTACATGTCGCCAAGTTTGCTGCGGTCAACTAGTGTGTAAAATTTCTTAGTTTCTAACTACCGGTCTCCTACGCAGACCTATTCCCGACATGATCCCAAGGCTACTAGTATTCGTTTTGCCGTAGCTCTGTGTGGGAGAATGCCTAACTAGAAAAGACCAGGGTTACCTGAAAAACGGGTTATTGGAATGATTCTGGTAAGTTAAAATAGCAGTAAAACGAAGAAGAATATTTTGCCATTCATTTCTATAATATGATGTGCATTTCTCTCTTCCCAGCCTATAGCTAGCGCTAGTCCACTATTCTCTCTTGTTTTGTGTACTGACTCAGGGTTTACCATGAAGGTAGAATTTGAAAAGGCCTGTTCAATTCTACCTTCATGGGTTTACAAAGTACATTTGTACATGTGATGTAGGCCTCAGCTTGCACATGGGGCTTGGTTGAGTGAAACGTGAAGACGACGTGATTCTGCCTTTCTTAGCCTCTCAACTGGCTTCGCGCGAGGAGTTTATAAATGTCATTCTGACTTTCTACCGAAAACTACGTACTATTTCACAATTGTTTCCATGTTTTGCTGTATAGTACAAATGTGTTAGATGGTTCCAATTGGAAAATGGTCCATAATAACTTAAGATACGGTAATGTCAAAACGCCACCCAAAAGGCCTGCTAACATGCTATGGAGGCTGCTATCCAATTGGCCAATCAACGACCTCCGTCTGCCAATCTCTGTCCCATGTCTAGTTTTGGCGGGAAATCTCGTGCCGTGCACTTTAAATTAGTCAGCCATTATTTGGCCGCCATCAAACACAAATTGCTCCGTCACCACGGATTGTGAAAGGTTGGTCAACAAGAACTGGTGCCATATCGTGATAACACTACTTGTCCTTTCCCGCCTAAAACACACAGCGTCTGCGAATCGTCCAGGGACAGTCATTTCGTAGTGTCCCATTTTACAGTGACATCTTGACAGAGTTAGGAAAGTACTGTTGAGGAGATTGTCACCAAGTTGCTTTCTTGTAGGTGGGTGTAGAATTTTTTCTCATTCTTCTGTAGTTAAGGATTTATGGTAGTAGGACAGGGCCTACAAAGACTGTAAACTGGTAAACATTGATATGCTTTGTACGTGGCAGGAGTTACCCAGAGTCACGTACCAAGTGACAGTTACCTTTTTGTAGTTAACGGACCATACTTTGTAGAGATATATGCCTTCATGATTATACATGAATGTTTTATGTTGGACTATTTGTAGACCTGCTACAACAGAGAGTTTAGAGAGCTAGTGATTGTCAGGACTGGCGCCAAAAATCTCAAAATGGCGCGAAATGTCCAATACTCAATGCACAAAACCTATGCTATTACAATGCTGATAACTTTGCCTAAATGTTAGACATATGTTGAACACGTGTGTCATCTCGCCTGTCACTACTAGTACTTTAGACCTTGCGTTTACTGTAAGAATTCACCATAGCTACTATTATGTGTCATTTTACTTGGGCCAAGGGCGTCACGTTAACTCACTTCATATTACATGTATATGATAACTGTAGTAGACCTTACGGAAGCTTCTGAACTTATACCAAAATATTACGTTGCGTACAATGCTGAATAGTAATTGTGGAATCATAAGTTAAATAAGTACGATATTCCCATCTGTAAATACGTTCTCTTTGTTTCTTGTTGACTATGTGACGCCATATGCTATGTACTACTAGTACATAATAGTGTCGCGGGGGAGGGCGATTGTCTTGGGTGTTCTCCGGAAAGCATTTAAGACCGTGTCAGTCTCAGTAAGGACGTTATATTAAGTCCTTGGTCTTAGTCACGCCGTCATTATTTCCCAAGACGATAAATTTAGCTATTAGATTGGCTGTGGTTTTCAAATTACATGTTGTTTTTCTTGAGTCAATTTACCATTTGGTCTTTGAATCCTTTCTATCAACAGTCCTATCTGCCAAAACCGACATCCTTGAAGGGGCACCATTGTACGTTTAGCTATGTGACCTTCATGACCTTTGTACCTTCGTGCAGACTGCAATGTTGTGCCTTCACCCTTTGTGGTGAAATTCTTCGCTTAGGCCCCTGTCACGTACGTCTTACGACAAATATACGACATTCGTAAGGCAGTCGTTTCATACAAAATTCAGCTGTCTTGTGGCGGGAAGGTTTTGGTAGATCGTTGTCAATGGCCATTTCTGTCATAACTTCCGTGATATCCATACGACAAAATGCGTACGACGAGTGCAACTGTACTTTTACGGGAAATTACTTAATCATTGAAACGTTTTCGTCATTGTCTGCCAAGTTCGTACTCGCCCTTTGCCCGTTATAGGGACATTACGCCCGCTATTGGAAAGCTATTTTGCCCTGCTTGTCTGCAGAGCTTTTAGTACAGTTCCTGAGTGCTACATGTGCAGCACGTGTTCATGTCCCAGACGTGAGAGCTTCACGTGAACAGCACGCTCATAGTGCAGCTGAATCAATACACTTTCAAGTACGTAATGTTGAAACAAAGGGCCTACTGCAAAGAGTCATAACGTGGTTCAACCAAGGACAAAGTGCTTTATATCACATAGTTGGCAGGTGGGTAAAAGAGGGAATGGAAATGATATAATAGATATAAAATAGATATCTTAACCTCCACGACGATACGGTTAAAGTGAGGGAATGCTGTAGCATGTTCTAACCTCCCCGTTTCTTTTCTGACAAACAATCTGTCTCAAAGGCAGTTAGAAATGTTACAACCTCTACTTGAAAACTGATAAACGTACGCCACGTGCCGAGGTTAGATGATAGAATGTGCTTACTTTTCACCTTTTTAACTATTGTCGTCTTCTGAACGTGCTGCCTTGAGCATGAAGAGTACTTCAGACCAGACTTTGCTCTCCTATTGAGCTTTTAAAACCCACGACAACTTGTTCAAATACGATCAAATACAGGGGCACAAAGTTCTGTCTGAACTCCCACCTTCTAAATAGACCATGCGCACAGCGTTGTTAAAACTTGAGTGCCGATACATTGTGTGTGTATTTTATATGTATGTTGTATATGGGCGAGTTATGCCTGAAATAAAGAAATAAATAATGTTTTGTGTCTGTTTTGTCTCACAGCTGATCATGAAACCCGAAATGCCATGTCCACGTACATCTAAGGACGCGTAGTGGTGCAGCATCATTTTAAGTGACCAGGGGTTTTCTTTTAACTTTATTTTCAGAGAAACGAAAAGATGCTGCCCAGACTCCTGTCCCTGTTGGCCATGCTTCACATCGTGTCGTCTGGCGTCATAATTAACGAACTGAACGCCGACAACCCCCAGTCAGACGACACGGAGTACATCGAACTCTACAACACCGACAACAGCGTCGTCGCCTTGGATACCTACGTAGTCGTTCTGTACAACGGCGCCGACGATACAGCGTACGACGTGATATACTTGACGGGGAAAAGCATCCCGGCACGGGGGTATTTTGTGATAGGGTCGAGCAACGTGGTACCCAGGCCCGACTTCGTCCTGCCTACGGATTCTAACCTTTTCCAGAACGGTCCTGACGGAGTGGCCCTGTATAACGGGGACCCCGGGAGTTTTACCGTGGGGATGGATGTGACGAGAGGGGGACTTGTAGATGCTATCGTCTACTCAAGGTAGATATATGACTTTTTTTATTTTCAAAAGGCGGGGTGCAGAAAATAGAGTGATGGTGATTAAACTTAGAGTGATGGAAACACAAAATCGTAGATTTCAGTAGACATTCGGGAGGTGTTTAGTTTTTTTTGAATGTATTGGAGCTGTTGAGGGGATTGCACGAACTTCTTGAATTCCTCAACGTACCGCCCACTTTAATTAATACTCCCATCCGGTCGGCACGTGCTGGGTAACCTTCAGACTTGACCTCCATGTCAATCAACTGTATCCAAATATCCACCCACTTTCCCTGCAACCCTCTGCAAATCCACAAAAATCCACTTATATTAGATATTTTTAGGGACTTATATTTCTGACTACATAATAAATCATTTCTGAGCTCGAGCCTCTCTCTACATGTATTGTTCTAATGATGGTTGACGTGTGTACGATTCTGTCCCCAGGTATGCCGATAGGCCAGCAGACGGTCTGATCGCCATCCTCCTTCCTGGCCAAAGTGTCGTCCTCGAAGACGAGAACTTCGACGTCCTGGACGAGTCCCTCAGCAGATGTAACGGCACAGACGCGCTCAACACCGCCCAGTTCAGCACCAGCTACCCATCCCCGGGCGCCGCGAACAACTGTACCCTTCCCCCGGGAGGTACGGTCACCCCGCCCGCTACCGTCCCGACCACCACCCCGGCGGGCGGCGGGGCTACTGCTAACCCCGTCCCGGACGTCGTCATCAGCGAACTGAACGCCGACAACCCCGGGGCGGATGACCAAGAATACCTGGAACTACGCAACAAACGTTCCGTCACGGTCTCCCTCAGAAACTTTGTGGTCGTCTTCTACAACGGCGCGAACAACCAGGCTTACTACGTTCTGGACTTATCCAGCTACTCTATCCCCGCTCGTGGTTTCTTCACCATTGGTTCAGCTAACGTCAACCCTCAACCAGACATTGTAACGACTGATCTAAACATTCAGAACGGTCCGGATGCCGTGGCGCTTTACTATGGAGACCCTAATAGCTTTACCGTCGGCATGACGGTGACTAACACCAACCTTCGCGATGTCTTGATCTACTCCAAAAGAGCTGGCGACACGGTAGCTGGTCTCACGGACGTCCTGGCTCCCGGTCAACAACTTGTTGTCGAAAACGAGCAGGCTGTTGCCGATGACGAGTCTATAAGTCGGTGCGGTGGCCTCGACGCGAACACTCTGTCTCAGTTCCAGGTGACGTATGCCACTCCAGGTGGGGAGAGCAACTGCGCTCCTCTGCCGACGGTCACGACTTCAAATCCAACGGTCACAACGGCCACCCCGCGACCGACCACGCGTCCGTCGACGTCCGCCCCAAACGTCGTCATAAATGAGGTAAACGCCGACAACCCTGGCACGGATGACCAGGAATACGTCGAACTTTTAAACAAAGACTCCACGTCCGTCAATCTCAACGGGTTAGTTCTCGTGTACTACAACGGCGCAAATGACCAGGCCTACGCTGTGATAGATCTCTCAGGTGGGACCATACCAGCTAACGGGTTCTACACTATCGGCTCCAGCAATGTCGTGCCTCGGCCTAACGTGGTGAGCGACACTTCGATCCAAAATGGACCCGACGCTGTGGCCTTGTATTACGGAAACGCTGCCGACTACATCGTAGGCATGCCGGCCTCGCGGGCCAGCCTGGTCGACGCCGTCTTGTACTCTAGCAGAACTGGGTCTACCGCGGACTCTCTTATGGCTACTTTGGCACCGGGGCAGCAACTGGTGTACGAAAACGCAGCGGGTACCGATATAGACGTGTCGGCCAGTAGGTGCGGCGGTTTAGACGCTGTGACGATGTCCGCGTTCCAGGCTACCCGTCCGACTCCGGGAGGAGAAAACAACTGTGCCGCCCTCCCCACAGTTGCCCCCACTACCCCCATCACCATTCCGTCCATCATAATTAATGAGTTAAACAGTGACACGCCGGGGACAGACACACAGGAGTACATCGAGCTCTACAACAGGGACAACACAAATGTTGATCTGAGCGATTTTCAACTTGTGCTCTACAACGGAGCCGATAATCAAGCTTACTTGGTTATTCAGCTGACTGGGTCAATCTCGGCGCACGGTTATTATACCATTGGGTCAACAAACGTCCAACCTCGTCCTAACTTGTTATTTACCAATACAGAGAATGTTATACACAATGGCATCGATGCGGTGGCACTGCACTATCGGCGAAGCGACATAGTCGTGGGTACAACCGTTAGCACTGTCGGACTTGTAGACGCGTTGGTCCATACCAAATACGCGCCCCGTACAGAATCAGGCTTGATCGCTGCGTTAACTCCAGGACAAGACCCGGCTTTAGAACTGTCTTACGTAGCTGCTGGAGACGTCTCTCTTGGTAGATGCTCCGGAAACGATCCTCTGACACTCTCACAGTTTCGCATGACGATGCCCACGCCCGGAGCCCCTAACAACTGCCAGCCCCTCGCCACGCTACCGCCCCGCACCACGACACAGACACCGCCCGTCTCACAGATCGTCATCAACGAAATGAACGCAGACAGCCCCTCCGTAGACGACCACGAGTACATCGAACTGTACAACAAAGAAAACCGCGACGTGCCTCTGGACTATTTCGTGCTGGCGCTGTACAACGGTAACACCAACACCGCGTACAGGGTCCTGTCTTTGAACGGTCGCACCATTCCCCGCCAGGGCTACTTCGTCATAGGGACTCCCAACACAAATCCAGGGCTTCAAATAGACACAAGTTTCATTCAGAACGGCCCGGACGCCATAGCCTTGTACTACGGGGACGCGTCCAGGTACTCTCCCGGGATGGACGTCACCACTGACGGGCTCGTAGATGTAGTCGTGTACGTCAACAGCGGCGGCGACAGCGGAGCAGGTCTCACGGCGGCTTTAACTCCCGGCCAGCCGCCGCTCCACGAGGACAGCCGCGTGCTAGAGTTAGACGAGTCTCTCGGCCGCTGCACTGGCAACTCTCCCATCACGTTATCTCAGTTCAGGGTCATGCTACCGACTCCCGGGCGACCGAACGACTGTTCTCCGCTCCCGACGTCTGTCCCGAACGTCGCCCCGGCGGTCGTCCTGAACGAGCTGAACGCGGACAACCCGGGCAGCGACAACCAGGAATACATCGAGCTGTTCAACACGGAGAGCGTGACGGTTCGCCTGGACAACTTCGTGCTGGTGTTCTACAACGGGCACGACAACGCCGCGTATACCGTCATAGACCTGTCCAGAAACTCCGTCCCTGCAAGAGGATACTTCGTCATCGGATCGCCAAACGTCACGCCGTCCCCGGACGTAGTTCTTATGAACTCTGAGAACATTCTACAGAACGGCGTGGACGCTGTGGGGCTGTATTTCGGGCGGCCGAGTCAGTTCGTGGTCGGTATGCAGGTCACGGGTGTGGATCTGATTGACGCTATCGTCTACTCCAGGCGGTTCAACGACAGCAATCCGCAGCTCATAAGCGCCCTCACGCCGGGCGAGTCGGTACTGCACGAAGATGACCGCGAATTCGACGTCGACGAAACTCTGAGCCGGTGCGGCGGTACAACGCCGTTCAAACTTTCTCTGTGGCAAGTCACGACTCCGACTGCAGGCAGTGAGAACGTCTGTGCTCCTCCTATAGTAATAAACGAAGTAAATGCAGACAACCCCAATGTCGATGACCAAGAATTCATCGAACTTTACAACACTGACTCTGAAAGGTCATACTCGTTAGACAAAGTTGTGGTCGTTCTCTACGATGGGAGCTCCAACCTGCGAGCTTACGACGTCATAAAGTTGAGCGGGTCCATCCCGCCGGATGGCTATTTTGTCATCGGATCGGGAAACGTGTCTCCCCGGCCGGACTTTGTTCTTCCTAACGGCGAGAACATTTTGCAGAACGGTCCGGACGCCGTGGCGTTGTACAGCCACCAGAACCCTGACCTTTACACCGTCGGGATGGAACCTACAGACGCCTTCCTAGTGGACGTGTTGGTATACTCCAGGAACAGACGGCCCACCGAACTCATCAGCCGCCTCGCCCCGGGACAGGAGGTGGTACTAGAGAGCTCTATCGTACCGGAGGTGTCCGTGAGCAGATGCTTCGGGAATGATCGCGTCACACTGTCACAGTTCCGGTCCACGTACCACACGCCCGGAGGGCCCAACGACTGCACTCCACTTCCCACCAACCCTCCTCCGACCGGTTCCATGACCACCGCTGCAATGGCCCCCTTGGGTGTCGTCATCAACGAAATCAACGCCGACAATCCGTCCTACGACACCGCCGAGTTTATCGAGCTGTACAACCCGGGAAAAATCAGGGTGTCGCTAGACGGCGTCTTTTTGGTCCTCTACAACGGCGCCACCGACCTCGCGTACAACGTGGTCGATCTGGCCGGCAACGAGGTGGCGCCCGAAAGTGTCTTCGTCATCGGGAGTGCCAACGTCGACCCTCGGCCTGATCTGGTGCTCGAGAGGAACGAGAACATCCTGCAAAACGGCGAGGATGGCGTGGCGCTGTACTACAACCCGCGAGGCAGGTCAGTGCTAGATTTACCCATCTGCGTGCAGTCTGCATTTTGGAGATATATTTTTAATACTGCAGAAGAAAAATTAAGCAACCTGCAACTTTGCAGACTAAAAGAAAATCGGGCTACGCGTTCACTGGAGGTAAGAGCTTTTGTGTTTACTACTGACTGTAAAATAAACAAGTAATTTTGCGTGTATTTTTTCAAATTGCATGTAAAATGTTTGCCAACATGCAATTTTGTATATGCTATGGGTTTGTATATGCCATGGGTTTTTGGCGACGCCTCAGGGGCGGAGGTATTTTTACAGTATATTACGATCAAGCTGAAAGAATTTAGAAAATTTTACGAATGCATTCCCTGGGGAATTGGTTTTGAGGTAGCCTCCGGCCTTATGTCTTCGGACCCAGCAGGAAAGGCCTATGTTACCATGCATGCAAAAAGCACCTTTTCGGGCAAACTGTGCCTTTTTGCACACAGAATATTAATGATTATCTTTATTGATATTTCAAATATGTTTTCTCCTATCAAGAGAGAACAAATTTTCTTGCTCATAAGAAAGAACAAGGAGCGACATTCAAGCTTATAATGCTTCAATTATGTTTTTAGTTTCAATTATATGATGCTGGTCGTTTTTTTTTATAACTTACCTGTGTGATACATGTAATAGTGATGTTTTGTGTAAGGAATTTTATTCACTTGTGTGTTTTCTATGTAACACACAATGTATGCATGTTTGTGTCAGTCTTGCTTTTTTATTAAGTGTGTATCTGCAGAAAGTAATTTCCGAATTGCAGAACAAAATGTTGACATTCTGCAATACTGGAGAGCAATGAAAAAAAAGATTTCTACCTCTCCAGGTACTACGGAGGGATGACCGTGACCGCTGATAACCTGCTGGACGCAGTCGTGTACTCCACAAGTTTCTGGAACGGCAGTAACCTCATCCTGAACACCCTGACTCCCGGTCAACAGGCGCTGCACGAGTACAGCCGTCACAACCCGAAAGACGTGGACGAGTCTCTCAGCAGATGTAAGGGAGTGGACCCTGTGACGCTGTCACAGTTCGTCCTGGCCTACCCTACACCGGGCGACAACAACAACTGCGAGAATCTACCAACCACTGATAGATACTCGGCAGGTAAGAGCTTTGAATTCGTCGGCGAAGGTTAGACATCCAGTTAACAAGATACATAAAAAAACAGTTATTCAAGCAACTGTCAATTGTGACTGTTTCTAAAATCATATCCAGTTACTTGAGTAACTGTTTCTTTGGCGCAAGAGCTTTGAATGTTATGGCATTTCGTCTTTCAAAATCCTTCAGATAAAATGTGCGATTGAAGCTAGTTTTGTTGGTACCAAATAGTCAAGCATATATGCCGGGTGCAATATGACTTGTGTCAATAGCTGTAAACGTCTGAGTATAGAAGAAAAATGTTCCTTTTTCAACTTGACATGACTTGCAGGTAGCCTATTTTTTTCTGACCCAGTATTTCCCTCCGTGTCCAGGCCTGTCCGGAGGCGGTGTAGCCGGAGTGGTGATTGCCGTTCTGATCGTGCTGGGAGTAGCGGCGGTGGCAGGATTCATCCTCTTCAGGAGAAAAACATCGTGAGTCTTTCTCATCCGGGATTTCCCTTCCACTTGTTTCTGAACTTGTGTTAACCTGTTTTTATTTATTTGATATTAACACAACTGGGTAGCCCCTTCAACTTTACAAAAGTCGATGTGCAAGAAGGCCCATCTGAAAAAAACTTAACATTTAGCGTGGTGAAGAATGAGGACAACATTAAGTTGTCCAGAGATCCTTTGCTTCAAAATCATTTTCCATATCTCAAGGGCTCAGCTGTTTCAATATCAAAATCTATAATTTCATTAATCATTCCATTTGCAAACAATAAAAATTTTTGGCTGTATTTTCTGACTAAAAGACATACTCGAAGATTTATTAATGCAGTGACAGCATCACAATTTCGTATGTTCCCCCTTAAAACTTTCCCATTCTTATAAATGTTTACTTCTTCATATCAACAGAGCGGCAGAGTCAGCGGCTAAGGCTGAGTCGGGGATAGCGTACAACAACATGCGGCCAGACGACTCCGTCAAGGTGACCGGCCTGCCTGTCGCGTACGACGGCTTCGATAACGTCCTCTACAACTTCGAACACGGCGACAACCTCAGTAAAGTCAACAACGAGACGGACACGTAGAGCTAGAGCAATCTCCAAGCAGGCCTTTTTAGTAATAATAGACCAGGCTGTAGCCACTTCGGTGGCGAAATGGTATTAAACTGTCTGGCCAATGGAAACTGCCTGGCCAATTTGATTCTGTCTCTGCAGCCACCAAAAGATCTGCTTGGAGATTAGGGCTAGAGTACAAGAGCCAAAGGAGGCAGAGTTATAGGTAGCTATGTAGTACTATTGTGTGTGAACTGTTATTGACAAGCACCATTATGGATCCGCGTTAGTTTTTCATGATCACGTCTGTTTAGTTGTTTTGTAAATCTCTCTCTAGGCAGTACTAATCTGTATGCTTTTTATTTCACCCCAAGGGAGTGAACTAATGCTTTTTGCTTGTCTTTGTGTATGTATGTGTATGTGAGTCTGTCTGAAGATGTGTGTGTGTGTGTGTGTGTGTGTATGTATGTATGTATGTATGTATGTGTATGTGCAAGAATTTGTGTGTGTTCCTGCAACATAAAACACAATGCAGCATTGTATCAGCATTGCTGCTATTTTTGTCATTCTTCTAAATCGTAGAGAAAATTTTGAACAACTACTTGCTGTTGTGTCCACTGCAGCTAATTTGACAACAAGTAATAGATGAGTACGTAATAAAGAATGATATAACATAGTACATTAAACTTAAAGTGAAATTCATATTTCCTTTTAAGGTTGTATATTTCTCTATGAATACCTATGTGAACATTGTGTGGTATAAAACTTCTTGAAATTTCTTGGGGGAAAACCCAAACAAAAGACAAACTACTATTGATATATTTTTCTTGATGTATTTTTCTCGTATAAATAGTTTTCTGCTGTATCCATATCTTTTATACTGATATTGATCTATCATTGATCTCTAGACTTCAGAAAGCAGAGCTTCTACTTTGGCTACAAAATAGAGCTACTTGAAGAAATAATGGAGCAAATTTATGCAGTAATTGAAAAAAAATTGGAAAACGATGCTGCTCTTGTTTGACACAAGGGACACTGCCATTAGCATGGAAAGTGTTCAGCACCAGGGACAGTGATGTTAGTGTGGAAGGCCTTCAGCACCAAGGACAGTGCCATTAGCCTGGAAAGTGTTCAGTGTCCATTTGTCTCATTAGAGCATTCATAGTATGATACTCCCACTATCCCACATTTGTAGGCAATTCTTAGACTGACTTTTATACAATAAAGATGTTCTCATAAAATGCACAAATGGGTTAGCCTAACAATATCACTTATGCCTGTTCCAAGTATTCCAGGAATTACTTAGGCATTTCTGTCATGTCCAAGAATGCCTTGTTAACATATTTTTGTGCCCAGAAGTATAGGTTAGATTTGAATTGCACAAATGCACATTTGATTCATAGTTCATCCTTTGTAGTGGGTCCATCTGGACGCACCAGTCGACCCAGAAACAGGATAGAGTTTGAGTCATTGTCCCTGATGAAGAACAGGAAGGGATGGTCGGCAAAGAACGTCTCCCCATCCAGCGACCGTTTCATCATGCTCACCGCCGTCGCCGCCGCGGCCTCGCTTCCCTCCTCGTTGACCTCTACAAAAGCCTTGTGTATGACGTGGCTAACGTAGAGGTCGCGGGAACCCGTGATCCCGGACAGGTCCGCGTCCGCGCGGCTGAACAGGGCCGTCATCCCCATATCCGCCAGCTTCTCGTTCAGGACAAAATCCTGGACCAGTTTGAACCTGGGGATTTGGACCATCGTGGAAACCTCGCTCGAAGATTTCTGCCAGCGACGGAGTAAGTCTGGCGTTAACAAAGCCTCGATGGTGCTCAAAGCGTCCATCTTGTCTGGTAACACAAACACCATGCTGAGATACTTGCCTTGATACGGCATCTCCAGGATTTGGCAGTTAAGGTCCTCATCGTAGGCGAGTTTGAACTGGCCCTGCTGACGCATCATGGGTACTTCGACCTTCTCGTCCCGACTGATGTGGAAGGTGTCGAGCCTCGTACGCGACTCCTCAAACTTGCGCTCCCAGCTGCCCTTGAAGTAGATGGCATTGACCAGTACTAGCATGGTGCTCGGGGTCACAGTTCCTTCAAAAATAAAGCAAGGCTGATGTCACATTATGTAAGATGCTGATCTGAGGAATATGCCAGAAAGGTGCACCTTGGGTGCCCAACATGCAATAATGTAGAATGTCAGCCATACCTAATCATAAACCTTACGAGTAATGCCTCTTTTTTAGAGCTTGAATCTGAAATTTACTAATGTAACACAATATAAATACACGTATTCAAGTGCACCAGCACACCCACAGGACAAAAATTAGTTGCACAGCTCCAATTTTTGGTGCACAAAACTGCATATGCACCCAGTACGGGTATTTACAGCCCTGCCTGTATTATAAATTCCATGCTAGACAATGCCATGTGAATAAATTAACAAAGGAATAAAAGAGGAAATAACAGAAGAAATGAATAAATGAATAAATCACACCTGGTGCTAAAAGATCTTGGATCTTCTTCTCTGTCTGTTCCTCCACCCAGGTGTTGATAGTCTGACGCGCGCCCTCCGTGTTTCCATGGAAGTCCACGGGAGCCAGCTGCGCCCTGTAGTGTCTGGACGTTTCATCCAGAAACTTTTGCACGAACTCGAAGGAGTTTTGACCGAAGAGGCGGTTGGCGGTCCGGAGTGTGTAGGGCCTGTCGGAGTGGTGCAGCTGGGTCAGAAGGTCGTGGAACAGCATGTGAAGGTCGGAGGCCTCCATCTTGTGGAAGCGAAGCACCCGACTCATCTGTGGAAAGTACAACATCGAACTTAGAATGTATACTTTGGTTTGCACAATGGAAGTGTAACACTTTACACATATTCTTGATGATGTGATTTGTATCACAGCCAGGTATTGCTACTGAATATTACAGCAGAGTGTTGCTGCCATATTCGTAAGGGAGTTCTTGGATGCGGCAAATGTACTTCCTTAGCAGAACAACTCTCCTGGCATTCTATCTATCTATTTGGCCAATTTCTACTCTTTCCAGCTGCTTCCAAAGCCTGGTAGAGGCTACTACTAGTACTAATATTCATAAATTGTGGGAGGAGGGTACTATGTACTTACTATGAGTAGTAATCCATTGTGTGGCATTTCCCTATGATCATACAGTACAGATTCACGGATACCCAATACAATCCTGATTTCTTGTTCAAGGGGTTCGATAAAATAGGAGGTGGGGAGCAGAAAATGACGACGGCCAATTTATCGACTCTAGGTGCTAGCCGCAACTGCAAATGGCCAGTAGCGCTCTAAACAAGATGGACTAGCAAACTGAATGTAGGAAATCACTTTTCAGACATACCATGCATGATATTATGTCAGGTTTTATTGAACCTCTTGTCCCCCTCTAATAACTATCTCACCTGTTGTGCAGTGTCATTCCTTGCCCCCAGGTAAGTCATGGCCAGACAGGTGGAGATACTGAAGGGTGAGAAGAAGATGTTCTCGGGATGACCCTTGTGCAGCACCCTGTACAACTCCAGGGCAAACTCACTGTTCACATCAGCCAATGGGCTCGACTCTTGTGTTGAGGAGCCTCCCATAGTTGCCATGGCAACTAGAAGGCCCAAGAGGCCATAACTGTGTCCAGGCATGGTTACTACCACAGGGATACTGTAGAAGAGACATGTGAAAACTTGAACACTTAAAAAAAATAGAAAAAAAAAACAACATGTTTCTAGAACTGTGAAATGCATTGAAAGCTACATGTATTACTTTCGTGCACGTAAGTATAGTTTTGGGTGGCTGAGTTGCAGTTTTGTGTCTCTGTCTGTCCTACTTTTTCTTCAGTCGCATGGTGGGTGGGGGGTAATTCTGACTCATGATTGATAAGAAGGTCAAGTTGGAGGGTGGGCAGCACATGCTGGATAGGAGTACATGGGCAGGCAGTACAATGTATATGAAGGAGTTCAGAACATGGTGTATTAAAACAGCCAATTATATCATTTATCTTTTTCACAGTTTCAATACATTCATGAAAACCCCAAATGCTCCTCGGAGGTCTGAAAACTTCAATTACTTGTTAAAATAGTCCAATACAGATGAGCTACTCTAGATTTAGTTATGTGACCCTAATTTGTGTGTGTCACAGGGGACATTTCTCACAATTATGAAAATTCATGTGAAAGAATTTAAAGAGAATCTCCTCCTTTCCCCTCCCCTACCTTAAAAGTCTTATATTAAAGTTTCCATACCTGACTGTCCCCCACACAAGTGGTGTTTTCTTCTGCTTATTCTGCAGTGTTTAAGTTAACGCTGTTATGTGATTATGTCACTTAAGTACACGTGTCAGATTGGCACTGGATGTGTAAGTCATACACGTGGCAGTTTCCTGTTCTCCAATTCGTGCACTTTGTAAACACGTTATTTCCCCTTAACTCTGATGTAGCCTTTCACCCTGAGATCCTTCGAAAGTTTCCTATGATGACGTTTTAAGTATACAAGTTTATAAACGTTTAAACGTTGCGTATAAGTTATACATAGTACACTATGTCATAGTAAACTGTTACCAAGAATGTTTTAGCCTACTGATTTTCGTATTCTACAAAGCATTCGAGACGACAGTAACGTAGAATGATTCTCCAAACCCTCAAGGTTTATGAGGGCCAGAGACGCCTCCAAAGACAGCCAATAGCACGACTAGAACCTAAGAAAACTCACCTGTGTACAAACAAGTCTCACCACTTCCGGGTTCCGCCAGGTGAGCAGCGTGAAAGCGAGGCTCCGACCCCTGACCTTTCACCGCCCCGCCCTGAGTCAGCCGACATTTTGTTTCCGTGTGTTGTCTGAGATTTTCTTCCCAACACCACAAAAATGGTCTAAAAACGTCCCGTTTCGTCTTCCCGCTCGCCCAAGGAACCGGATTTCTGTCCCCAAGACTGTTGAGAAGTGCCTTAAAGACTGGAACGTGTCGTAGTTTGCGTGGCGTTTGCGTAAAATCCATTGTTTGCTTTTTTTTTTTTTTTTGTGAGGCGCTTGAAGTTTTTGTTGATCCTGAGTCCGGGTGAAGATATGACCATGGGGGACGATGCAGAACACTCCACAGTCGTCTCACTACCCCTGCACGTCGTCCTGTATCCAGTATTAGACGAGGTACGGCATTTTAAATCTTTTCTACTGATATCGACAATATTTTCCATTTCTATGCAGGTCCCATATGTAGTGTAATTAAGGGCGTTTTCCCCATCTTCGCGTGACACACTAAAAATAAACATCCAAAATTTGTTTGTCAGCAACAAGATATCCCTGCTGTACCGCAGCCAAAATACACGGTATTTATAGAAGTAGCTTACCATGGAGCATCCCTATCCTTAACATAGCACAGTGCAAGTCAAATCGTAATTCAATCAGTACTGTACTTATTTTGTTCTTAATTGTATTAATTAAGTTAGCAGTTGTTAGCGTAGTGATGTAATGTTTGTATTTCTCACGTTTTCTCCTATTATCTTAAGTGATATATAGTAATTATATTATTTAACATCCCTTTCTTGTGGAAAATATGGAAAAATACTTAATGTAGTTTAAAAGGGAACCGTATATAATTTTCACTGTATCCATTCCACAGTTTCTAATAGAATTAAGTAAATGATCTACAGACTTACACACATGCAAATTTGTTTAAAGATTGTGGCAAGTTTGGTATAATTTGTGACCTATTATAGCATTCTTTGGTGAAACAAAGATATTTAATTTCCATAGCTTTCTTGTCCTACTCCTAGAAGCATTAATCTACCATTTACCTACTGTAACTATAACAGACCTTTTGAATTGTTTGGAATTCTATTGTTTGGTATCTGGAAAGGGATAAAAGTAGATGTAATCATTTATTGTGACTCTGATTTGATATTCGTTGTCACACTTAAGACTTGCTAGGAAGGCGGCATGAATTTTATCATGTTTTTCATCAGAAATTAAGTCACTGCAATGTTCCTTAGATTAGTATAGCTTCTAGTTATGGTTCTTACAATAAATTCCACTAGGCCTAACAAAATAAATGTTGTGTTTCCTATTACAGTCCAGAAAAAATTAGGGTCGGTAGGTAGGGATTCACTTTTTTTTGTTTTTTTTAGTTCAAAGCCGGGACAATGAACGTATGATCTGTTTGTACTACACAGACAGGGATCTCCCCAGAAATTCAGAGCA